TTTCATGTACCACATGGTCTGAAATACGGCAGGGTCTTGGTGCCACCTGGATTGACCCTTTCCTCCGCAAGGTTGATGAGACCTGTACGAACTGGTGTTGTTTTCAATGTCACTCTTGGCTTGTTTTCTCTTTTTAAAACTCTCTGTTTTCCTCTTTGCTCGTCCTAACTTTCATTATTTCTCATTACGTGATTTATTTTGCTTTTTTTAATCCTCGTTTTTTCTTTTCATTATGGGCTTCCTTGATGCCTTCAAAGCCAAGTCTCCCAAGGCAGATGTGCCCGGAGACAAAGCTGAGCACAAGACTGAGGACAAAGAAGTGGCACCCGATCACGACACTCATGCGCGGTCTGAAGTTCAGACTTCAAAGCCCTCCAGTGAAAAAGAGAGCACCCTAGTCGATGAGCCTTTGCGAAATTTAACTCCCTACGCTGATACCGAGAAAGAACTTGCGAATCGTGACACCCCAACTCCTGTTCACAACGCGGAAATGAATGGAGACTCCACCCAGGAGTTGTCTCCCAAGGGCATATTCGAGAAGCCAACACAAGAGGAGAAAAAGGAGAACGGTGATACCGAAACGCCACAGGATGAGGAAGAATATCCTTCCGCATGGAAGTTGACGCTGATCAGCATTGGTCTCTGTCTATGCGTGTTCTGCGTGTCCTTGGTATGCACTGCCAGTTTTCCTCACTTGATTATGTCCAGCTAACCCCAATCCTCTAGGACAACACGATTATTGCAACCGCAATTCCCAAGATCACTGACCAATTCAACTCACTCGAAGACGTTGGCTGGTATGGAAGTTCGTATCTGCTGACAACATGCGCCGTGTCCCTGATGTTCGGCAAACTCTACACATTCTACTCGATCAAGTGGATCTATCTCATCGCGCTCTTCATTTTCGAGTTGGGTTCGCTCGTATGCGCTGTCACCCCCTCCTCCGTCGGACTCATCTGCGGCCGAGCCATCGCCGGACTCGGAGCAGCTGGTCTTTTCTCGGGCTCTGTCCTCATCATCAGCAAGAGTGTACCACTAGCCAAGCGACCTATGTACACAGGTATCGTCGGCGCGATGTTTGGCATTGCCAGCGTAGCCGGCCCTCTGTATGTTACTCATAGCTCTTGATGACCGAGTTATGCTAACGTTCGACAGTATGGGAGGCGCATTTACTGACCACCTCACTTGGCGTTGGTGTTTCTATATCAACTTGCCTTTTGGAGCAGTGACCTTCATCTTCGTGTTGTTCTTCTTCCAAACCCCCAAAGCCATTCTGAAGAAGAACACGTTCAAGGAACAGCTCGGGGAGCTGGACCTTATCGGTTCCTTGTTTTTCCTGCCAGCTATCATCAGTTTGTTGCTTGCGCTACAATGGGGCGGCACCAAGTATGCGTGGGGCAGTGGGCGCATTATCGGCCTATTCGTGGTCTTCGGCGTTCTCGGTCTCATCTTCATTGGCGTCCAAATCTGGGCCGGGGACCGCGCAACCGTCCCACCGCGTCTGTTCAAGAACCGTAACGTTTGGGGATCGGCATGGTATTCCCTTGCTCTCGGCGCTGCTTTCTTTGTCTTGACATACTATGTGAGTCCTCTCCATTTGCTTCTTCCCCCTTCCCGTTGTTCCAATCGAAGCTCTAACCTTCTCAGCTTCCTATCTGGTTCCAATCAATCAAGAGTGCAACCGCCTTGAAATCCGGCATCATGAACCTGCCCACAATTATCGGAGTGGTGGTTGTCTCTATCCTATCCGGTGGCCTCGTTACCATCTTTGGATACTACACGCCCTTCATGATCGCCTCATCCGTGCTCATGACAATCGGCGCAGGACTCCTGACAACCCTCGAGTTAGACTCAAACCACTCCAAGTGGATCGGATACCAGGCGATCTTTGGTATCGGTCTGGGTCTGGGCATGCAGCAGCCTATGATCGTCGCTCAGACTGCCCTCAAGGCCGAAGACATACCTACTGGCACGGCGATGGTCATCTTCGCCCAGACTCTTGGTGGCGCTATCTTCGTCTCCGTCGCGCAGAATGTGTTCCAGAACCAGCTCGTCCAAAACTTGGCTCACTATGCGCCTGAGCAAGACTCTGCAAAACTCATCTCCGCTGGTGCTACTATGCTTCGCACTCTTGTTACTGGCGAGGCCCTACACCGTGTCCTGATTGCCTGGAATGCTGCTATCGTGCACACATTCTACGTCGCTGTCGCCATGGGCGCATTGTCGCTCGTCGGACCCGTCTTCATCGATTGGTTGTCTGTCAAAGGAAAGAAGGTCGACGTGGTCCCTGTTTGAGCTTCAGGCTCGGACTGAACTCTTTTCGTGCACATTCTTAATCTTCGGTATCTTCTTTTTGTTCCCTCTTCTTCATGACATGCTTAATGCCTATTGTAGTGGGCCATGTACTCACGCCTTTCTATTGTTTATCATACTTAGTGCGTACATTAATGTCAGATAAAAAACCAAATATCCTTGCTTGTGCGATGGGATTTATGTTTCGAATGGATTCTTTTTTATTTCTTGATTGGAACACAAGCCTCTTTCCTCACTTGAGGGGCCTAGATATGTAGTATATTTCCCCAGTACGTATGCTTGTGTCATGGAGTAGTGCGACGGTTCGATGGAGGTGATGAGACTTGCGGGTCCACTCGGTGATTGACAGGTGCTTGGGAGCTGGCTGATCATGCTTGCCGGTAAGGATCATGAGCGTCGAGAGCACACGTGAGTGTGGTGGATCAGCGTGAAATTGCGGAGAAGGTAAATTGGGTTGACGATGGCGTCGATTCTGATGATGACATCGAGGTCGACGATGGGGAGGATCTTGATAGGTTTTCAAGGACTCATAACCTGTGATGAGAGTCTACAGAGACATCTAGGTGCACGGTGCAATATGAGATTGATTGAAGGGTTGAGACAGCCAAGTTCTAAAGACTACGAAGTGTGACACGCTCATAAAAAAAACCTTTGAACTTTCTTCTCCAAATGCCCGGAAAAGCCGAATAGGTGATGAAAAAAGGCGTCGCATCAGCCGGGGGTAGTGTAAGCCCAGCGACACAGTGCAACGAGGCATGTGCAAGCACGGGGGCCAAGTCACGAGGTCAAAAGATTGGAATAATCAGCCGAGTTCCACCGTGGTGAAACTGTTAGTGATTAGACTAACAAGAACAGATACTACACTTAATCTAAGCCAGAAGGCAAAGGGAGCTGGAGAAAAAAAGAGAGGAAGAGGAGAGGGGGCCCGGGGGGTCTATATATACCCCCGGAAGCGGTGCGGCTCTGCGGGTCTTCCCGGAATATCTGGATACCGGGCAGTATTACCGGTACGTATATTTCATGTGACGAAGATTATCCTCATCACTGATAAGTACTCTTTGTATGACTTAACCATATAAAAGATTCCTACGTATGCTTACATATTACGAGCCTTTTTGTAGGCAGCTTGGCTTCGCAAAAACCCCCCACTACGCGGGATGTTCTTGGGAGGATCTCAGGCTTTGCTGGCTCGCCCTGCGGGTGACCCGCCTAGCCGCACTTCCACTACATAGTTCCCTCTGGGTAATGCGGGGACGGCCATTCACATGCGATGACTGGCATATCCAAGATAACAAGATAAAATCTAATAGAGAAATTTTCCTGATCCCCGCGCATTGGCCCGTATGATTGATATTCTTCTAGGCTCACTTTCAATTGTGGGGGTAGACACGATTCACAGTCAGCTGCAGTAGACCCCGGGAAGATTCTAAGGTTGTATAGGGAACCTTGAAACATATCTAAGATACACCTCGTATGTCTCAGTCACCCAGTTGTTGATACTATCAACAGGTAAATAAATATCTTCCCGAGTCTTTGGACATTTAACCTAGTTTCATCCTATTTATTCGAGCTCATCATAAGGATAAAACCGTTTGACATATTATTGGATCAATTTCTTTCAAAGTATAATAATACAACGCTGAAGTGACACAAAGAAGCAGATTGACAGACAATACCTAAACACCGGCATATAAGCTCAAATAGATACCCCAGATCACCCCACATGCACTTCCAAAAACCACTCGTCGATCTACAGGAATAACCGTGTACATTAAGACCGAAACAATGGGCCGATACTTCAAACGGGCACTCATAAGAGGCCGGAAATCCTTGTAGATGTCAGCATATCTGTAATCAGTATTATTCACCTGTAGAGCAACTTACCAAAACAACCAGTTCCCATGACTTTTTCAGACTCTCTCCCTTCAATAGATTGATGGCAACCACAAATAACACGAGGTTTACGGTCGAGGCAGCCGTCTGATCAAAGAAGAACTTCATGATGAAGCTACGCAGCCCGGATGGCTGCGTTCGCGGTGCCCATCGGACATGTTTTTCTTTCTCCTTGTGGCTAGGAAGCGAATCTTCCGGGCGAGCTCTTGAAAAGACTGAAAGCCATGAGCGAGGCGAGCAGATTGACTTCAGCGACCGAAGACTGAACACTTTTGAGAATTCGGCACGCGTAGGAAACCCTGGATAACGCGCTTCAAGGGCGCGTTGCCAGTAAAAATTAGGGGGCACGATTAAGATGCCATAGCCCACAAATTGCAGGAGAGCCACTGTGTTTAGAGTGAATGGAGCCTATTATTTTTTGGTTACCTTTGCCATCTTTGATCATATAAAACATAAACACTTCTTACTTTGTTGTTTCGCTGGTCAATCAGCTGCGCGAGGACGTTGGAAATGGCGTTCAAAATGGTCGCTTGCACGAACGTCACAATCAATGGTGAGGTCATAATGGACAAGACCCTTTGATCAGATCCATTCAATGTTCCAATGTTCCAATATACACAAGTAAAAAAGGGTCAAGGATTGTTGCCAAGACGCGCAACCGTGTCCTGAGAAGTTAAAGAGGTTGGGGGGCGGATAAGAGGCTGAGAGATTAAGCGACTTTTTGTTTCAAATTCTACATCTTCGACATAACCGCTTTTAAAGAATGATAAAACGCCTAAAACTTAATTGCGAAATTACTTCCGTCTAAATACAACATTCGGCCCATTCTTTGCGGAAGTGAAGTGATCCGTCAGCGCCAGATGCCCCCCCGCGTCCTCGCCCTCACGATCCGCCAATGACATGTCGAAGAGGAATACCAGCCGCGCCACCGTCAGCCGCATCTCCATAAATGCCATGCTCTTACCAATGCAGCCACGGGGCCCAATGCTAAATGGGCAGAATGCGTGTCGCGCAGTCTCAATGCTCTCCTTGGTTGTCTGCCAAGACATCCCAGATGCCCTGCAAGTGGCGTCTTCAATCCAGCGCTCTGGAATATAGGTCCCTGCTTCCCGGTAGTATCGCTCTTGACGGTGGATTGAGTATGTCGGTGTTCCGCAGTCTGTGCCGGCAGGTAAGAAGACGCCATCGACCACGGCGCCGCCTTCCATCACTTCGCGGGGAATCGCGCCGGGCACGGCCGGGGCCAGACGCAACGCCTCGTCGATGCATGCTTTGAGATACACCAGTTCGCCGAGCTGGCTGCCGGTGACGATATCTTCGACTTCGTTGAAGGCGCCGCGCACCTCGGCGCACAGCTTGGCCAGTGCCTCCGGTCTCCGAACTAGGTAGAAGAGTGTAGCTGCCAATGTAGTCGAGGTTGTGTCGCTGCCCGCAATCATGAGAACGTTTGACTCGCCCCAAAGCTCGGGGGTGCTGAGTCCGTTGCCAGTCTCTGGATCCTTCGCATTCAACAGGTAATAGAAGAAATCCTTCTTAGCGTCGTGACCAATCTGGGTGCGTTCCTTGGCGCGCTCGTTTGCTTCAACGCGCGAATTCATAATGAAATTCCATCGGTCGCGCGTCAGCTTGCGGATGAATATCTGATCCAAACCCCATGTGTCTAGGGGCATCCAAAGTCCACACTATAGGAGAATCAAAAAGGGATTCCTAATGAAGGGAAAAAAAATATAGAAATGCTTACCACATAGTGCCTATTCGCAGCACGATCCACTAATCCAACTTTATATCTCATAGCCTCAGAAATAAGCATATCAAAACTTTTGCCGAAACATAGCTCGCCCATAACATCGTACGAGAGATAACTAAACCAGTTACCCATATTCTTGACATTGCCCTTCTGATCATGCGATTCGAAATCCCCATCATACCCAGCCAGCACGGAACACAGCTGACGCACATGGAGGAGCATCACATCCTCCATGCCCCTGAGAGCATTCTCCGAGAAAGCCTGGCTAAGGACTCTCCTTTTGCGACCATGCATGGTTTTATCAATGGCGTTGTGCGTGTTATACACGCCCTTGATGGCAGGGAAAGCATTATAGAAATCGGCCTTCTGAAGGCGTTTCCCGTGGCCGTAGATATCGTGCAATCCACGATCGGAGTTGACAGAGACGAAATTAGGCGCAACACGCACATGTGTCCCGTACTGATTGTGTAGCTTGTGTAGCCAGAGATGGCGATCGCCCTTCAGGCCATGGTAGAGTTGGACCCAGGGTGTGATGGATGCGAGGAGGGGGCCGTTGATACGGCGGAGAGGGTGAATGAAGCGATTGTAGAGGGCGTAGGCCAAACTCTGGAATGCATTAGATTAGCCTACTTCTAGGGACATGATACTTGGAAATGGGGGATAGAAAGGCAAAATGTATCAAAGGGACAGGATATGCGTACCGCTACTGCTAATAGCCCTACCAAGCCTCCCAGAACCCTCTGTAGAGAAAAGCACTCCAATACAGATTCAACAAGCATATTGTGAGATGACCATGAAGAAACAAGCTTGGATTAGCTCTACTTGTTATCATATGTCTCAAACTTCCTTTATACATCTGTACTCTTCCGCCGCCGATATCCGCACCCAACCGCAATCAATGACGACGGACCCATACTACGGAATGGGTCTGGTAGAGCTGGGAGTTTCAATTAAGACATTTCTTCGGATAAGGATCTTGTCTGACTTCCGTCGGTTATAGGCGGTTGTTTTGGGAATACTATACAATGCACCTGTTATTGGCTATGCTTAAATCCACTATTGACTTGCATCCGCGGGGAAGCCTCATGTCTGGTACTTTTGTGGGGATTCGGAATCCCAGTTTATAGGAAAGATAGAGAAATAAATATTTACTCCAGATCTTGCAGTGAAAATGGATTGTTCATGGTCGTTACATAGGAATGCAACATCGACGGATGTATCTTTTCTATTTTCGGCGGACCGCCGTCATTCACGAATTCGGTCGTACAGTAGCATCTGCCGGTCCCTTCTATCGAATCCACTCGCTCGGGTTGTCCTGGGAATTCTGATAATATCCCCGTTATTAGCCGATTTACGGCCGGTGATGAGATATCCGACATCCGCTCCGATGATTCCGTGCTTATGAAGACCGAAGGATGTGCCAGACACAGGGATACGTAGTAAACACGCCTTTTGCGTGAGGTTGTCTTGACGCCGATATCGGTAATGAAGCTAGTGAGAACCCCTATGAACTGCCTCCCGATATGGTTGATTCAGGATTGTGAAGATGTCCCGAGATGGTACTTTTTGAGGCTCACGCTTTGGGGCTTGCGGTTAGATCCACGTAAGATTATGTTTTAAGTGGTGTGCCCATGTATTCCTCCATCCAAAATCCACTGCTCGTTATCGTCGTTGTCATCTTGCACACGTCGCCAAGTCTGTTTTCGTTCAGTCGGTTCCGCTGCTTCAGTCTGCTTTGTCTCTGGCGCACGCCAAACAGGTCGCATAAGACCACCAGCTGCAAGAAGCGGGTTGCGGCTGAAAACATGTTGTCCTTGCGAGCTGTCCACCGCACCTCCTTCCTCGACAGGTTCAGGCTCACCGGCCTCTGGGGTTGGTTCTGCCGGTGCGGAATGATAGACTCGGCGGACCTTGCCACCCTTGATATCAAGACTCATCACAGTCTTCTTCCTCTCCCATTCAGGACGAGCCTTCTCGTCCATCTCGCGCTGAATTCGCTGCTGCTTCTTGAGAGCCAGTGCTCGCTGTGTAGGTGTCATCCACAAGGTTGAGGCGACATTCGGAGTCTCGAAATCTGCCGTTTCATCAACAACCTTGGTCCGACGCGCGTTTTGCGCCTGGAACTGGAGCAGCTTGTCCCGGTGTGCTTTCGCGGCATCCAGGTTGCTGGGAGGTTCGGCTCCGCCGGTAGGCCTAGGAACCCCTTCATGATGAACACCTTCATTGTGTACGCGCATCTTCTCTTGTCCACGCTCCGCCCGTAGTTCCCGAATCATACCTTGCACTTCTTCGGCGGAGAGGAGTGGTGTGCCGCAAAATGAGCACGGCTGTAGACCCTCAAGTGAGCAGATAATTTTCCCGCAGTTGAGACAATTGGGTGCCGGATCAAATACTGGATGTAGTGACCCGTAGCAGGTGCACTTGCGTTTCTCCCCCAGACTTGGATTCGTCGATACCTCCAGCGCGGCGATAGCGGCGGTGAGGTCGGAGATGTCGTTAGTTGTGAGCGCTGGGTTTCCCTTGGAAGACGATCCTCCTCCTCCGCCTTGGCGTGTTGACTTGCTCACTTTTGATCGCACATTTGGTAACATGTCTGAGATCGTGGGGCCACTCGCAGATGGAGGTGGCTTCGGGGATGATGCGGGTAATGGGGAGGGAATGCGCGACGAGGCAGAGGACCCATGCGGCGATGGCGCAAGGGTAGGAGCAGCTGGTTTTCGAGAAGACATATAGTCTTCTTCGTCGGCTTTCTTGTAGCCACCTCCTACATTGCCGTAGTCGTCGGGTCGACGTGGTGGACCGGCACTGTGCAGCGGAGCCTTCTTTTTGCCCTTTTTGGCTCCTCCACTTGATCTTGATGTATCTCTGTTTTGTGTGGGAGGGTTCTGAGGCGGTCGCTGGGGTTCTCGGCGTGCATTAAAGGAGGAGATGAATTCTAGGGCTGCTGGGGAGTCCCCGAGGAGGTTTTTGAGGTGGTCCGCACATGCCTCTCTCGAGAGGCTGACGGCATAATCGATAACCTGAGAAAGAGAATCTGGATCCAGCGGGAGGAGCTGGGAGAGACGAGGAGCCGCCCATGCGCTAAGATCAGCCATGTTAGAAAGTATTTAGGTCTGGTTGGTGAATAACAAGGTGAAATGGCCGCGGAATCCCCGCACTTATTAAGCACCTATCCCAGGGCCCGGCCAACTGGCGAAAATCACCTACATATCGGAGTACAACGTAACATCACTGGATCGTCCTTACGCACCTCAACCACATAGATTTGTTGGCTCATGCATACCGCTTGGCTACCTTGGGACGACAAGAATAAAAATGGCGAACCTCAGACAAAACTTCTGGGTATTAAGATGCTACCCCTGACTGTCTATGTACCAGGTATCTATTGACTGTTAGGTGCTATTGTTGTCATAGCTCCCAGTGGTACAGGGGAGTATATCCCTTTAGAAGCCCTCAATACGAACGGGGAAGACAACGACGATGAGGCCGAAGAGGAACAGCCCCATCGCCAGCGAAGAAATATCTGGCATAGAATCGATACCACTAGTATTTTGACTATATTCCTCGGCTTCCCGTTTCTTCTATTCGCAGTGACACTCTTGGCCCTGTTCTGGCACGAATCAATGAAAGCTATCGACGGGGCAGAGCCAGGTATCTACTGCGCGTCGTCAATGCAGGCTGGGCGGCCCAGCTAGTGACGATATGCACCGCCTCTATCCAAACGGTGGTGGCTTTCCAGGCTGGACTTGCAACGGCTATGGTCATGGCGATTGCTTCGGAAACCACAGGCGCACCTCTTCTACATGTTCCATTTTACTCCATTCTCCGAGCAGTCAAGGTGGCTCCTAGTAACTTTTGGACTGCGACCAATTTCCAGCCTCAATTATCATACTTTATTTATGTGATGGTGCTCACCGAGGTGCTGGTGACAGCAGCGTCCAAGTTCCTGTCCACTATCGTCTTGGCTGATTTTGGTAATGGGACCTTCTCCTAGCCTAGTAACTTGACCAATATCAGTATATTATATACGGAGTATCACGCCGACATTGCATGGCCGATGCCTACTGCGGTGAGTTGGACATTCGCCGAGCTGTCGGAGTCATTTAAAGACCGATCGGGGTTCCATGATACCGGGCCATACCTTCCGAGCTTTCCTCCTTGAGGAGGCGCAAAGAACTAAACTACCCCGGCCGCGTTCGAGTGCCGGTCATAGACCATCGGGTCGTCTGTGCCAGTTCTCCTTTAACCAACTTGAGCCTAGATGCGGCCATGCAGAATTATGTGCACCTGTCCGGACAGATCCCCACGGAGACCTTGACCTATCCACTTTTAATGGACTGGGATTATCAACCCTACAATAACTTCACCTGCAAAATTACCAGTCCCAATACAATGGGATAATAACACGGTGGGCGAGACCAGCATATGCTTCCCCAATATCGGCTCAAACTGGACAGTCCTCAACGAAGACCATCTGATCCAGCCCTACGGCTACCCCGAAGCCTCGTCTTTGTTGATGGTCCTCGATGTCGTTTCCACCGCCGCAATGATCGGCACACTAGGCTACACCCGAGCCTTGCGGAGTATCCGAACCGACGGCCCTTGGACAATACTCTCTAATGGATCCGCCCACATCAAAGCCATCCATATCTCCGCCTGCCTCACCAATTTCGCCATGCAAACGCTCATCGTCGGAATGAACAGCACACCTAACAACCTAGAGCCCAAGGCTTCCTAGGACTACCGAACCGAAAGCTATAACACTAAATCCTCCCGCCCCCAACTAGGTGTATTGTCTCCAAGAAACACGAGCTCTAAACCAACCACTGGGGTATCCTCACGCTAGACCCCCGATCCCAAATGGGAAACCTTCCATATCCCAGCTGGTACCCCAGGACTCGGTACATTTGGATATGACCTAACCACCTTCTTGTCTATCCTTGTTAGCTTCCCTAACTTCCTCATTTCCCCCCTCAACTACACCTTCGACTCTAGCGTGATCCTCTCTCGCATAAACCCCAGTATCAGCTTCGGCGGTGCCAATAAGACCCATGTGGAGCTGTTTCAGGACACCCTGATTACAACGGCCAGTCCAGCGTTGGCCCTCCAGGCTCTACTCCCCCGCATCTGTCAAATGGCATACTACGAGCAATTGGTCGTGGTTGAAGAAACCGGTCACTGCCGTGACAGCATTCTCGCTCGCCGCGACGATTCCGGTGCGGTGGGCGGGTTTCATTCTTGGTATGGTGCTCATTGTGGTTCATTCAGTCATTATAGTGGTCGTCATCGTCCTGTTTGTAAGGTCGACCGACATCTCGTTCATTGGGAGTTACTGGCAGAGAGTAGCGCAGATAATTTCAAAGGAAACGCAGCCTATACTAAAAGAGGAAGATCACATGGATGATGGGACTGTAAGAAAGTGGGCGAAGAGTGAGCAGGTAGTGGAATCATTGGGTGATTGCTGGGCTTTGCGGGAGAGTGGTGGGCGGGTTAACTTGGGGCCTGTAGAGAAGGGGGAATAGAATCTGCGCAAGCAGTAGCCTAGATATACACATCGACAATATGTAGTGAAAGGTAGAGCCTGACTCTGATCTCTATCATTAAAGCAGCCCCCATGATAGGCAAACCCACCTAGAAGAAATGCAGTACAGGCTCAGTTCCTTCTTCTTGAATTGTGAAGGCATGTTCTTGGTTATAGATGTTAAACGCCTTTTATCCCCATCCGATGAAATACTGTGGACAACAACAGTATCTAGATGAAATGGACCACTATATAGGATGCGTTAAACATACCGGCCTAGGTTAGGGTCTATTCCGAATAGTAGAAATAGATATACGCAACTTGTGCTACTTTATATTGGCTATATTCTATACATGAATATACGGTTAAATAATGATGGGTGTGTCATTAGGGCGTTGCTAGTGGGACATATTAACCGGCCGGCAAAATTGGCTTATAAAGCGTCAAAGCAAGCGCACTTTCAATCCAAGCAAGATTAAGAGGATACAATATCAGGACATATCAGTTTTAAAAGGAGCTTTCAAATTCCGACGATGAGTAACAATCACGCAGAACTGGACGTCGCGGAATATGGGCCTCGCAACTGCCCCCCAGGCTTCTCTGATCACTTATTCAAGACCGACAGCGGTGTAGAGCTCGCTGTACGAATCTGGCCCGCTGATCCTCCCATTGATACGCCAGCTCCAGTTGTGTTTTACACCCACGGCGGCGGCTGGCTTGCAGGAAATCATTTCGCGCCGCTCCCATGGATGCAACCTGGCTTCCGCCGGCGAGGCTACCATATGGTATCACATAACTTCCGGCTTGGTCCGCAGGCGAGTTATGAAATGCAGTTGCAGGATTCTATGGATGCCGTGGGTTGGTGCCGGGCCAATCTCCCATCCATACTCGGCACAGACAAGGTAGACGTGAGCCAGCTGATCGTCTGCGGTGACTCAGGCGGCGCACTTCTCACTGGCCTCCTGGGACACCATCTATCGCCCCCACCAAAGGTTGTCATTCTCGTTTATGGACTAGTTGATCCAGCAGCAGCGTGGCCCATCCTAGCACCGGTTCCCGAGAACTCTGGAGACGCGCCGCCATGGGTTGGCGAGTTCTCTGATGCTGAGCTAGAGGAATTTCTAAAGGACCGAGATGAAACCAACATTTTGACGGATGCGCTATGGGCTGGTGAGCATAAGACTGAGTCTGAGGAGGTGCTGAGTAGACGCTGGGGGACCGATGTCCGCTTCACCCGTCGGATAAGACTTCAGGCGGAGCTTCACCAGTGGCGATCTGACATTGCTGTGCGTGTCGGTTCTACTGTCAGGTCGATACGCCTAGGCTCGCTACATGCTGAGCGATTTGCGGATGAAGCAGCCCTGACTGAGTTTCTGCTTTCTATGTCACCATCTCCGCTTTTGGAAATGAAGACATCGTATCCGCCTACGGCTTTCCTGCATGGCACGGGGGATAGTGCTGCTCCACTCGCACAAAGTCAAGCAATGGCTAAGCGTCTCAAGGCGATGAATGTACCCGTCGTCGAAAGCTACGAGCCTAATGAAGATCATGTTTTCGACCACAAGTATACTGTGAGTAACCAATGCAGACATAATGCTAATACATGTGCTAATTAGTAATGTAGAGCCCCGATGTGCCGGGATGGGACACATATATCCAGCCTATTCTAGATTTTTGCAGCCAACATATCTAGTAACGGTGGATGGTCTTAGGATGGGTGGACTGTACGGGCAACAAATGCTATGGTAGGACAGCTGTTCGTGATACCGGATTTATAAGGGATATTTATGCAAGTGTGAAATTCATTATTTCCGTCTTAATGGTTTCCTTCACATCGTGTATATAGAGCTACAGGAGGGTCCACCCTCGATCTGGCAGGCCATATCGCATCACACAGGACGGCATCCCCCATAATTGGCGCAGGCATTGCTCGGAAAACTCTATACAAAAGTTACATTGCTGAAGATCACGCGCAGTGAGGCTTAATGTATATTATAAGTTCTTTTGAGACATATTTAGCCTATACATGGGCATCTGCTTCTGTAGGAAACCAACCATCTTCCTCCCCGCCATAGGTTATCGCATAATAGTCGCGATATATCATAATGAATAAGCAACACACCACATAATAACCAACTGATGACATGACTACGGGTACCTAGGTAGCGTTGAAAGCGACAGGAGGTATAGAAAGAGAAATACACCTACGTATAGGTACAAGCATCGGCAGATGAGGTAACTTAGGATGGCGTAAATATGGATACTGGTAGTAGTAGCACACATAGGAATGGTGGAGGTCGCTAATAATATTCAATAAGAGAAGCAAAAAGCACACTAATGCCTGGAATCACTCCTTTAAAGCGTATGAGGGTGAGTCGTCCATCGTCCATCGTAACCAACCGGTAATTGTGCGACGACCCAAGTTTCAGTTTTAGTCTGTTTAGAGCTTGCTGTGCTTATTGCCCAAGATGGCCCATGGGGATTCAGATGTGCTGTTGTATATGATCACATACCGCTGGGTGGTTCGGGGTGAGATCACTTTACAGTGTACAGTGTACAACATACATGTTGAGCTGTATGCCATGGACCTTTTGGCCATTCAATGAGTTCAAAGTAACAAGAAACGAAGAAAATATTCATATTAGCACGAATCAGTTGCATATTTCTTGCAGTGTCCCTGTCAGTTGTATTTCAGGTTATCAAAGTAATGTACATCCTACAAAGCCCATCCCCCTCGTCATCATTCATCTATGCAGATTTATTCGAAGGAAAGGTCAAACCATGACCAGACCAAACCAGACCCAGAGACGCCTTGGACATGACCAGCCCATGAAAACAAAGCAAACGCCGCGGACACCATGATAGGAAAAAAGGGTATGGGAAAACAAATGGAAGCTCAGTCGGCGTTCTCGCTCTTGATGTCGTCGTCGTTGTCCTCAGCTGTGAATGATTGCTTGAGCTTACTTGGCCCGGGCTTTGCGGTGGACCCCTTCTTGGGTCCATTCAGCTTCTTCTTCTTGGTGGGGCTGGGACTTTCTTCGTCGTCGTCTGCATAAGGGCGCTTTGGTGCTGATGAGTTGGGACTATTGCCATTATTGTCTGTGGGGGTCTTATTGCGGCCCCCATCGCGGCCGCCGCGGCCACCGCAGACGCAGCGTTCAAGATGTTGGGCGAGACGAGTCATGACAAAGTAGCGTGGACAGATAGGGCATTTGGTAGTTGGAATTTCGGGAATGGTGCTGTCTCGGTCACCCTTCTTTTTCTTGGGGTTTGGCGTGACTGCAAAGAGCTTTCCGTGGACGTCATGGCCGGGAAGGTCGATCATGGGCATATTTGTACAATATTCAACGTCGGGATCAAGAGGGGGCCGAGAACGAGCCCCAGTAGTCGGGTACATGAGCCTTGGGAGGCGACAATCTGGGCACACATGCTCCTTCACGGTTTTCATCGGATTTCCTTTGAGGAAGACCTTTCCGCGGTTGTAAACGGCTGCATCCGTCTCCATGCGCATACCCGCAAGTTTCTTGGTATCGAGAACAATTTCTCTCTTGGTATCGGTCGAGGTTTTGCTGGGGGCCTCCTCTGGCATGATTGCATCTTCCTCCGCCTTCTGTCGGGCGAGAACCACTGCAGACCGCATGCGCGCCACCTTCTCTTCGCGGTGGACTTTGGCGACAAGGTCGTGAATGATGTTCTGGAATGTTTCATTCAGGATTTCGGTAGCCTAGACAGAAAGTTATGAGAATCCGTATTGCTACAACCCATGAAGTTCGCTCGGGGTCAATCATACCACTTTAGCGATCGTTCCGGCAGGGTAAGTCGGCCTGCGACCACCGCTGCTGTTGGAGTCGGCCATTTTCGGATTGCGGCCGGAGATGGATGCGCCGAATATTTATCGTCCGGTCCTGATTGACCGACGGCTGTGTCTGCCCGCGACACAGGTAGTGAGTGCTCCGAACCGCTAGGTCCGAGGTTTAGTTCTCCATGTACTGGAAATCTATGCAGGGTTGACGCAATGGGTGCACGGGTGTAGGGGAGAAGAAAAGAGCAGAAGTCCCAAACATAGAAGCCAAAATAAAATGGTGAAAGAAGACAATAGGGAGGGCTGAATTGTATAGCCTAGTGTAAGGCGTATTGTCAGTGAGCTTCAATAATGGGGGGGCGTAGGACTAATAGCCAGCAACAATAGGGGAAGACAATGTGGTCAATGAAGGTGTTCTATCGACGCATACAATAGGGAGTAGGCGCCGACAGAAAATAGGGCACTGACCTATTGAGGTGTCTATTTGTATGCGAATGAAATATCACTCTGGGAGATGAAGAGACGGATGAGGCTGGAGCAAGTTGTTCACTGTGCTTATCTTATCGTATCTCCGCATTCGCTACCTCTCATGCTTTGTTCTTTCACAACCATTAAACTTACTCCAAGATGGCATACCAGTTCTTTTCAAAGAATCAGGCAAGGCCAGCGACTTCTTCGTCTTCGCTTTCTCCTCCCCCAACCAACCGCCAACCTGCGCGGCCTCCTATCCACCCCCGTCCAGTCCAACCGCCTCAACCAGCCGTCGCAAACACGTCGGCCCGGAAACACTCGAAAGAAGAGATATTTGACCTATATCCTCATGATATTCCAGCTGGTGCAGCAACTCCACATCCCCATATAACAGTCGAGAAAGTCAATACGGCGCATATCCCTTCCTTGACGCGGATCACGGGCTTACTTCTTCCCATGCGCTACCCGAACTCGTTCTACACAGCTATCATAACCGATCCGGTGATCGCTTCTATTTCACGAGTTGCTATCTACCATGACCATCCTGTTGGTGTAGCCCCGGGGTCCGGCACATCTGCTGGGACGGACAAAGTGATCGGCGGCATCCGGTGTCGGCTAGAGAAAATCCGACAGGCAGAGGACTCAAACAAAGAGACCCAAATCACAGGGAACGGATGTCGCACAAATCTCTACATCCAGACGCTACATCTTCTCTCCCCATACCGGGGCTGTGGTGTGGCTGCATCACTGCTGAATTCGCTTCTCTATGCGGACCGCAAGGAGAAGGACTCATACCAGGTGTCCGAGCTTGTTAGACACTATAACATCCGCTCCGTAACAGCACATGTCCATGAAGCAAATGAAGAAGGGTTGGACTGGTATTTTGCGCGTGGATTTAAGGTTGAAGGTGATGTAGCCGATTACTATCGGCGACTGAAGCCGTCGGGCGCGAAGATCGTACGACTAGACTTGAACTGGAACGAAGAAGCTGAAACACATGCTCCGAATGAAAGTCCCCAGATTATCACTCCGCCTGGTGAAGTAGAAGACGAGGACTGGGAGAAGGTGGAGGTGGAGGATGGCGAAGAAGGTGACCATGGAATACAGCATTTGAATGAGTCGCAAGTCCTTGAAAAGCAGGACACGCCTTCGCGTAAGCGCAAGGCTGAAGACGACAATTACAAGCCCCTGGTTGAGTGAGATGTGCTTTGCATGTGTGGCTTTCTGATATACCTTGGATACCCTTTGCATTTGTTTATGCATCTGATCTAGAATAGTGCCTGTGCTAGATGACCGCTACGTGAACGATGATATTATACTTGAGTATGTGAGATGATTTCTCGCGATATACACTCCTACGTGTGGAAGTTGAGCACCAGAAGAACTGGTATAATATTCATATATCTGCAACGCCATGGGTATAAAATCAACAGAAGACAGCAATGCTACATTAGACGTTATAGTTCTCAGCATGCAAAAAGATCTCATCTCTTGACGAGTCCATAATCACCTGCAGCTGCAGCTTGGCTACCGCGTTGGCAACCTCAACTCGCATGCTCGGTGGACCGCAGACGAAAACACACGCACGGCGGCCAAATGTTTGGGAAAACTCATTGACCATCTGAGTAATGTTCGGGCGGAAGTAATCAGTACGCCAGTTATCGCGTGCACGTGGTTGATAATAAGCAAACCGTGGTGCAGGTGCTGGCGGTGGCCTTTGTGGCACAGTTTGAGGTGTGCCGAATCCAAAGTCGAACTCTGGGCTGCCATACCCAGTTGATGCAACGGAGCTATGAGGGTTCATGGTAGGCTGGTAGTATTGGCGGGTATTGGATGCATGGGTGGCGGTGTATGCATTGGGAAGAGCAGCGACGCCGTCCTCATTCTCGCGGCGCAATTCCTTTTCTATATCAGGGTTTCCGGCAGCTTCATCGCGGATATAAGCCGAGTTCCGCTTGTCGATTCCCTGAAGCATGCTATAAATCTTCTCTTGGACCGTGTCCCGTCCAACTTGGTCATTTTGTTGCACTCCGGTGAGGAAAAAATGACAGCTCACGATGTTCGAAGGTGCATAGTCACGGCAGATGCGTAGTTCTTCTTGGAACCATTCCATTGTTTCGGGGCTCTTCAGCGCCCAAATGACTTTGACCGACTTGGCGATGGCCTTGCCATCTCGAATCTTCTTGATGAGGTCCAGCAGTTGGCTTGCAATGGCGGTAATACCACTTCCTCCGGCAAAGAAAATCACGTCGTCGAAAGCAGCGATCTCGCGCTGCATACCACCGTAAGGCCCTTCTACAAATGCGCTGTATGTTTTGTAGGGACCATGTTCCAAGGCTTCCTGGAATACATCGCGTGTGAAACCTTTGAACGGTCGGAAAACCAGTGTCATGTCACGATACTTTTCACCATACCCAGAAGGGAAGTCGTCGCTGCAAAGAGAGGCAATCGTGAAAGGGTGGCTCTGGATCACGGAAATCCTCGGCAGTCGTAGGTAGACATACTGACCGGGCCTCCAACGCATCTTTGTGGGAATGGTGATCTTGATGGCATTTTGTGGGAGAAGTGTTATGGCCGACTCTTCTCCGATCAAAAATGATGAACGGAACGGGTGTGTCCAGTTCAAGTAAAACAGCCGGGCGGTATATGAGATGACCCATATGGCAATGGTTGTGAAAAGATAGGCCCACGATGACAGATAGTTCCTCGTGTGCCAGAAGAGCATCGCCACAAAGATGTAGGAGACTGGAATATGAACAAAGACAAAAAGCTCATACATCCGATTGCGAAAGATTGGAAGAGAATGGATGCACAACACAAGCAGAGGAACTATCGCCGCGATTCCAGTCCCATATACATAAGCGTGTGGTGGGATGCCTATGCTATAGTTGATCAAAGCGCCATCTTCCCAGATTGGAGTGATGTAAAACGGGCCCATGTGAACCAAACTGAGGAAGAGGCAGATATAGGCAGACCAGCGGTGAAGCCCATTTAACCGCTCAGGACCAAGGCCAGTCATCATAGTGATAAAGTTCGCCTTGGTGCTGAGTGCAACAATCCAGGGGATCATAGCTACTGCGATCATGCCTGCCCGAATGGCCAACGGCGGCGACCCCAGCGCAATTGACCAGTAGTATAAGGGTTGCGGCACAAAGCAATATAACGTGACGAAGATAAATGCAACCAGGACAATTGCCGTAATTGCCAAAGACGGGAAAACAATTTCTATCTTCCAAACCCTCAGGGAGGGAACTGGTCTGTAGAAAATCCATCGCATAAAGGCAATTGCCTTGTTCAAGGGAACTATGCTAGCAAGAATCGATTCACGCCTCTTAGGTGGAGAGATTGCGTTTGGTGATGGAAAGAAATGGGCGTTGGAAGCATCAGTGCCTGCACTCGGGAGCTCATACTCGTCCGGTACTGAATCGTCGCGAAAGATCTCTGGTCGGTTTTCTTTATAGAGGGCGATCCGCATCTTGTCGCCCCATTTATGCCAACACCGGACAAAGGTCGTGATTATCAGCAGCACAACAGCAAAATAGACGAATCCTACTCCATATTTTGCTGACTTTGACCATGGATCTCGCTGCATCTCAGCAGCCTCCTCTGCAGTCGTCGACGCCGTGATTGCGACATTGATGCGCTTGGCGATGGAAACAACGGTGCTCAGCATTTTGCAGTGCGTTGTTCGAAAACCGTGGCTTTGTTCTACCATCGCTTTTAGTTAGATCCATCTCAAGATACAATCTTGCATGGAGTAGCTTACCTTTAGGTATCACCCGCGCACAAGGGTATTCCTCTCTTGTACTATAGTCGGACGCTCATATCTTTACTGGAGCCCTGAATATTGATGACATCAAATTCAAGAAGCGGAAAAGCAATCTTCGAGGGAAATTTCGTCTAAATGTATGGGAAAATGGAAGCGGGGAGTCACACAACCTTGCAGTCTCGGCCTTGTGATAGAATAAGCCCAACAGAATAATTGTGGCTGGCCGTAAATTGAACCAATTGAATATGAGGATTGCAGACCGATTGATAAAAAGTACAGGCGTCTCGCCATTGTGATAGGGATAGTGATGTGTGACGGTTTAGCGCTCTGCAGCCCAATCACAGCCGATATTAGCAGCAGAGTGACTGTGATCGAGCCGCATTAGCGTGGGTGGGGAATATGCAGAAGAGGTTCTTATTCTCTCATCAATATCTTCTAAAGTAACTATATCTTCTAAAGTAACTATCTAATTATCATCAAACTACAACAGATAGTTCATAATCACCGGTGCTATAGGAACTATGTTGTATACATATATACGCTAGGCTTAACTTACTTCCTCTGGGTTAGCGTCTGCGACTCCATGAAAAGGCCATGGAAGAGATCAAAGGAGCTGTCAATGCGGAGTATATGTATGAGGGTTTAGTTGCCAAAGCGCATAGCAACCAGAAGTAAGTCGTATTCCCTGGCGATGACCTCCATAGTCAGATATCAATCATACCTACCTATTCATTAGAATAAATCAAAATAATAAACATTTCAACCCTTTTAAAAGAGTCATTTCGACTTTAGAGCTCCTTTTCGGTTCCTGCATAACGGCAAGGATCTCACCCGGTGGTACTCCGTATACAACAGACAACTGTCGTGGCATATCCAACCTGGGAAATATCAGACATCACGTTGTACAGGAATTTTTCAATTTGTTCCATTATGAAGAGTACTTGAGTGTCCTATATAAGCAATTGAATCACCCGAAATCACTATTTTGTCCTAGTCTTTTTTTAGTCTTGACTTATCAATCTACTACGTATTTAGTGGCCTTTTAGTTTTGAAAGTGATATAGTGAAGAAGAAGATTAATTGCCTAGGGCGGGAATAGGTCTTCATCCTTCATCCGGTACATCAGTTAGAAAATATTAGTGCCAGGACCCTACCTAAGCAGGTACGAAGCAGTAATGTTAGTCTTGGCAGATAAACTCTTGATGCCTGGGGCATTAGTGACAGCTTCCACCGCTTTCGATAGGAAATTATTCTGCCAGCCTATGCTCGTCGGCTTTTTCTGCATGTTCAATTATTTCTACATCACTCTTGGACAAAAGTAGAATACTTTCTCTTTAGCCATGGCGTCCACCACTACTCCCAGCAACCCGACACCTCCATCATTATCCCTTCCACCATCTCAATTCGCCCGCCTCCAACCTCACGCCTATCTTCTCGCCCACCTCTCTCCTCCACCAGCGAGCAACCAGCCCTCAATCCGCGCGAACGGCCGTGCCACCTCACAATTCCGTGTCACATCTGCCAATGCTGGCTCCTTAACTCACACAAACGGCAGCGCAGTCGTACGAATTGGCGACACAGCCGCTGTCTGCGGCGTTCGCGCAGAGATCTTACACACCAAGGACATCGCTTCCTGGAGCGTGTTGCAGGCATCATCAGAGCAAAATTTCGACAAGTCAAATGAGGCGGGAGCCTCCGAGCCCCAAGATGAGGAAGATAAAGGCCACATCCAGGATCTGAACCTACTTGTTCCCAACCTTTCTCTCAGCACTGGCTGCGCGCCAGGCTTTACACCCGGTGCACCACCTTCTGCGCTGGCCCAGTCACTTTCCCACCAAATTCTTTCCCTCCTGCACACCACCCGTCTCGTTCAAGCAGACGACTTGCGCATCTGGTATCAGCCACCGAATCTGGACTCGGAAGAATTCCGCAATGCGGGCGAGGGCATGGACGTGGATACAGAAGAGAGCGGGGGCCCTGAGCGGGAGATTAAGGCATTCTGGGTGCTCTACATTGATGTCATGATCATTTCTCTGGCTGGAAACCCATTCGACGCGGCCTGGGCCTCTGTCTTGGCTGCGCTTCGGGACACAAAACTTCCCAAGGCTTGGTGGGATGCTGATAACGAGACGATCCTTTGCTCGGATGATGTTGCCGATGCGCAAAAGTTGTCTCTGCGTGGTTTGCCCGTTTCTAGTTCGTTCTGTTCTTTCGAGGGCGATGTCGCTGCTGGTTGGAGGGCGGTTGTCATTCCCGATGCTGAGCAACAGAAGCAGAAGAAGGGTACACAGCAAAGGTGGATCCTTGCGGATCCGGATGGATACGAGGAGGGGTTGAGTCAAGAGCGGGTTTCTGTTGTTGTTGATAAAGAGAACGGGAAGACGGTCATTGTGAAGATGGAGAAGCATGGCGGTTGGACTGTGGACAGTGATGATCTGCGCCACCTGGTGGATGTTTCTGCTGAGAGATGGGAGGAAATGAAACGGATACTGGATCAATGCTGATGGAACTGATATGCACTACAACTGAATGATACCACTACAAGTATTTCTTGCTATTTTAGCCTTTAAATATGTAGAGCTACGTATCGGAGTAGATCGAAAAGGTGGCTATCACGCTGGAAATCCCTAAATTTATGGATTCTAGCTAATACACTCGCTTTGTCAGACTCAATCGAAAGGTCACATCGCTTAATCTGCTGATTTTGTGTTCATCATGCTGCGTCGCCTTCTCTTCAACGGCGGTTCGTTGTCCGCGCTGATATCTCTGGAAACAGACACCTCTTCGTCCTCTTCCGTTGTCGGCGAACTATGCTGGGTTTCACGTTTGGATTTGCGAGGAATTGATACGGAGAAGGAGATCAGGTCCAAACTGTCACGGTCCTTCTTGGGCTTCTTCGTCTTGGTATCACGTCCGCCTTCTTCGGATGATTTAGTCTTAGATTTTGAGTCATCGACTTTCTCTTCTTTGAGTTCTTTGGCCGATGTTGTGTTCTTGTCATTTGACGCACGCAGAAATTCGCCAGAGATGATGCGCATGAAGAGGCTCTTCTGATCTTGAGCAGGCTCGTCTTCGGTTTCGTCTTGCTTCTTTTTCTCTTCAACTTCCACCTCATCGGCATCAGAGAAGTCCCACATTGTGTTAACCTCACCTCGAATAAGCGCAGTACCCCAAAGCGATGTCAAAACGCCCGGTACCAGATAGAGAAGAGCTGGCTGGGCATGATTTGAATATTGCATGGCAAGGAGGGTGGTGACCATCCCAACAATATAGCCGAATATACTAGCCTTGAAGTAAATCTTTGGGAAATGTCGGGCATCGTGGTAGGGAGGTTGAAGTTCCGGTTGGAGTGGCTTGACTGACGGCGCCCAGAACCGCTCTCCCCAAGCGCCGGTTGCCGACTGATACTCAGGCTTGAGAGTTGCCTGGTCTGACCCTTCAGTACGTGGTGTTTGAGCGCCTTTCCGCTGGTAATAGAGGAATAGATCGAAGCGAAGTGCTAGCCCAATCATCATTCCCGGAATGACAATGTCACCCAGTCCAAGCATGGCCAATGGCACGGCGCCAGGAGCATCACGAGAGGTGGGTGGGCGAGGGAACAAGAGCTTGATTGGTACATCCAACTTGGTTGCAACAGTTACCATCAACGGCGTGAAGAAGACGAAGTAGATATCATAGAAAAATAAGGATCCCATGATGAGGGTTCCTGTCCAGAACGTGGAGGGCGACATGAATTGCAGGGTGCCATAGCAGAAGCAGAAACCGAGGAAGTTGGTCAACCACCATGGGTTTGCCACGAATGCAAAGTACCCTACAGCAGACAGTGCAAAGATTCCACTTATGATATCAAGGAGACCAACAAGGCACTTGAAGTCAAACAAGCCACGTATGTGAGCCCGCACCTTGAGACGCTGGTAGAAAACATTTCGGTATGTCCAAAGCAGCCCTGTTACCATACCTGGGAGTGGCAATCGGCCCAAAATCCCAGGAAGAGGTGAATGCCGGATGGAGAGTGGGTTGGCTGGATGGTCCTCGGATGCCACGAAAAGGCGTTCGGACTGTTTCGCTTTCCACAATCGTCCACCTTGACGATAATATCTAGGAAACACAAATGAACGAATCATCAATAATACATCCTTCAGGAATGCAAAAGCAAAGAAGAGTCCCATTTGAGAGAAGTAGAAGCTAAGGATCTTGTTCAAGATGGCTGGATCTTCCAGCCATTTGATCACCAAGTATAACCCACCGAGGGTGAGTCCTGCAGTCAATGGAAATACGAGGGCATCTGAGGGCTCAAGCCCTTCCATCTTCTGCAAAGGGCCTTGTCCCTCTTCATCATCCGTGTCATATTCATCTTTATCCTTGTCGGCTTTTTTCTTCGGAGGTTTGGCGGCGGAGGAAGGTCTTGTCAAGGATGCATGTGCACCGATCCAAATTGGAAAAAGAGCAGAAACAATTAGGTGTCCGTAAGTTGGGAGAAGTGGCCTCAGACGGTCGAAGTGGTAGAAAGCTTGTCCTAGAAGCTCCGCGACAGGGCTGACCTCGGTCATGGTGAACAAGATATTGTAGACTGCAAACTCAACGCAAATGACAGTAAATTGAAACCAATAAACAGAAGAATGAATCAGACCATGATGTCCATAAAAGGATGGTAGTTTGGGATATTCTTTGAGGTGACCTGTTGAACTTCCCGAGGCCATGCCTAAGGGCACGGAGGGGCTTAGTGACCACACCACAATTTAGTTCACCGCTTTCTGTTCACATCTACACCTTGGTTTCTTCACGTTTATCCATTCATCTTTTTATTTTAAATTCCAAGATAGCTACAGCATAAGCCTACTTCTTCCTCACGTCTCATGATTGTTCTCGCGATTGTCCAATTTCCTTGGTCTACTAGTTGATAGTTAACGGACATACCCGAGGTCTAGGGATGAAGATGCAGCACATGCTCAATGGACAACTGATAAACAAAAAGCAAGATTGTTAGGGCTGAGTTGTTCATAAAAAAGTTGGAGAGGCATTCATGCTTTCCCTCTGTTTGTCAGTTGCCTTGCCAAATTCACAGTGAAGATTCCCAGCACTCCAAACACTCTGACTGCCCCTTCCCTTTCTTCTCCTTGCCCTCCTTAAAATTGCCGCGCCTGGGACAGAGCACAAACATCTTGCCTTTTTTTCCTTTACTTCGACTTTGACAATTGTAAGTTGTAATGTAGACGATTGAATCATATAGATAGGGCGGTACTGATTTTCTGCCAGGCAGATTGGCCCAATGGGAATTGAGACTCGCATGGTCGCTGCACTCCTCCCTAACGTTGGTTGATCCCGCTTCTCGCAAACTCTCTGCTCTGGTTTTCAGCTCTTTTATTTACGATCCTACACTCACATCTTCATCATGACTACCGAGGTGGCTTTCGACACGACTATGGTAACTAGCGCTTCGTTGTTCTCTCAAGATCACTTACTAACCCACTGCAGGGCTCCTTCTCCGTGGAGCTCTACAATACCCATGCGCCTAAGGTATGAGCCCTTTCACAGACATTCTAGGGAATCCTCACTAATGTCTTACTCTTTAGACATGCAAGAACTTTGCGACCCTCGCCGAACGCGGCTACTACAACAATGTCATCTTCCATCGCATCATTCCTGACTTCATGGTCCAAACTGGTGATCCCACTGGCACCGGTCGAGGAGGTAGCTCCATCTACGGCGAGAAATTCGAGGACGAGATTCGTCCAGAGCTGAAACACACCGGCGCTGGAATTCTGAGCATGGCAAACAGTGGACCCAATACCAATGGTAGTCAGTTTTTTATCACTCTTGCGCCAACACCCTGGCTGGACGGTAACCACACAATTTTCGGTCGAGTGAAAAGCGGTATGAGAGTGATCCAGCGCATGGGACTGGTCAAGACTGGTGCGGAGGACAAGCCAGTGGATGAGCTGAAGATCATTCGGGCTCGGGTGGTTGAATCAGGTACACAGGAATGAGAGTCGCGTAGTGCGGCTTATTCCATCGAATTACGGTGGAGGGCCATGCATATCAAGCCACCTCTCCCGAAAAAAGGTGCTGCCCAATTTGGAGAGTTTAGATTCCATCTGCAATACGGGTTGCAGTCACAACCTTCGGCGCGCCCGGACCAAGTCATGCTAGGGGGCAGCATTGCCTTGCTGTTGTCTCATGGTGCTCTTTGCAAGCCTCCTAGACTCTACAGACTACAATATCAGAGTGGCACAGCAAGGTGCCATTCTAATAATGAGATTATGGATGTATCACTACAAAACGAACCGCTTCCATCAAATGAACCATCAAGAGCAGCAGATACAGAGTGACAAGAAATCTTATCTACCACTCCCAAACGAAGCCCAGTGAAGGACTACGTTAACGAAGACCAGGCTACAATCGTATAGTAACCCGTTCTGTGCAGAACACGGGGAGTGGTATGGAGAGAGAAAAGTGTTCCGCTGAAATTTCAGTTCATATAGCGGTGCAGCCTAACCTCTTTGGGAATTGCTGAGTAATCTGTAGCTTTAGGCATATTTGCGCCTGAGGCAGCAATTTACTATATACGTAGATGTAGACCAGCGTAAGCATCGTCTTCTGGCGTTAGTAAATACCTAGAAGGCCAAAAGGAAGAGCAAAAAATGAAGTTACGCATCCGTGTGGCCGTTTCGATTACAGAAGCTGTTCCGAATACGATCCTTCTTCATTCTTCATTCTTCATCTCCTTGATCAAGGAAATAGACAAGGAAATAGAAGATAGCTCCACTCAGTGCCCCAGCAATGACACTTCCATGGTCTTCATCTTCATATTTTCTTCTTATGATTGACCGCACGCATCCACTTTGCAGAAGTAGAACAAACATTTGGTCGCAATTATCACACATGAGACGTCCGCTGGCTACCGCTAACCGTTTTTCATATTCTTCCAAGGACGAGATTTTTTTGACATATAGGATACTACTCAAGTGATCCATAGGCCATCCAAACTCTCAGCCGATGATGTGATTCTGGCATGTTGTAGAATTGCTCTTCTTCCTGCAACAGGAATCCATCGTTCCACCAAATCGATGGGCTTACAGCAAGATAAGCGTCGAAGCTTGCGGGGGCTGTGTATAGCGCATGGAGAGCAAACAGGGCCCTAAAGGAGTGTCCGAACAGAGCAGTCTGGCAGACTGATATGCGAGGGAATATCGACGAAAACACACAAAATGGCTGGTCAGAATGTTCTTGTGTACATTCGCTATTAATTTCGCCGATTATTTAACTCAGGTGTATGCCCCATACGCAACGAGCGACTTCGAGCAGCACTCTGTCATGAGCACAGCCCGCGTGGTCATGAACATTACGCATATCTCCGCCTATCCCATTATAGTAAAGCTGGGAGATGTGAGTATCCTTAAGTCTTCAACCTATTTTATCTTACTTACATGATGCCTAGGTTTTCGGTAAGGCTGAAATGTTCATCTTGTCCATTCTGATGTCTATTTCAGGCTATGCCATTTGGGCAGCCTACACGAACATCACGCAATACATAGTAAGAAGTCTTCCCCTTGAATTTACCAAGCATTTCACAGTACTGATTGTTGTTGTCTCACAGGCTGCCGGTATCTTCGACGCTTTCGGATCAACTGGATTTGCCCTCACACAACAAATCTTCATGGCGGATATGATCTCGTTAGCCAATCGTGGTATCTGGTCAACGTTACCCGACTCTCTCAACACAATTCCGACTTTTTACCTTGGCACTATCATCAATCAACGTATCCTCGATCGTTCAATGTGGCGATGGGGATGGGGCATGTGGGCGATTGTTTTGCCCGTTGCCTCGCTTCCATTGGTCGGTACCATGCTGTTTTGCCAACGTCGGTCACCATCTCCGGTATCTGTGTCTGGGACTTTGGGCTGGAAAATCAACGATGCTTGGTGGAAGAAGCTGTACAGATTGTTTTGGATTCAGCTTAACTTGCCAGGAGCTGTTCTCATTGTGGCTGGGTTGTCTCTCCTTTTGGTTTCTCTGCCCTTGGCGGGCTCTAATAACAGTGGCGCGTGGACCAATGGGTCGTTTATCGCCATGTTGGTCCTAGGCGTGATTTTCATAATAGCGTTCTTATGCTGGGGCGCATGGTTCGCGGAGAAACCATTTGTGCCTTATCGTATGGTCAAGAATCGCACAGTGGCAGCTGCATGTCTTCTTGGGGCGTTGGATTTCTTCCATTGTTCAGTGTTCAGTGTCTTCTTGACGAGTTACCTTCAGGTAGCTGGGAACTTCTTGCCGGGGTCTGCAACCAGAATTGAGTACAACCCCCCATCCTTTATTATCTTTCCCCTTTTGGGACTAATGTCAAATATAGTAACTCCCTCCGTGTAGCCTTTCAAGTAGCCGGAATATTCGCGGCTTTCTTCATTAAGTATACCAAGCGCTCCCAGATTTGGGTGTTGATCGGCGTTTCGCTCTGCGTTCTTGGAATGGGCATACTTCTCTATCTAGTGGACATGGGAGATGGTCGCAGTGATGTTGAAGCAACTTTCGTGGCAGCCAGGTCATTGATTGGTATTGGTCGTGGGTTTTACCAAACAGCTTCACAGGTCTCAGTGCAAGCTGTGGTCGCGAGGCAGGATGTTTCCGTTGTTACCACAATATTCATTTACATCAATGAGCGTGGGTGGTGCAGTTGGGACAAGGTACGCAGCCACACGCAGTCATATCATTGAGTCCTTTCTAATCGATTCTTTTAAATAGCGTCGCCGGGGCAATATGGTGAAACACCCTCCCGAATAAGCTGCAAAAATATCTTCCAAGTGAACTAAGGAGCAGGCTAACAGTATCTTTGGATCAATTGTGGTGGCTCAAAAATATGCCATGGGTATTGAAGCTCGTGATGCCATTAACCGCAGCTACCGAGAGTCACAAAGAAACAACAACATAACTTTCTTCATAAAATGTTCTTCAAGCTCGATTTTAGTTTGTCAGAATGGTGAGGGCGGGCTGTTGCTGGAGTGGGGACCTGGTGACCGCCTTCACGCGCACTTCCCGTGTTTTTCTCCAATTTTTTCTTTTCTTCTTCTTCTTTCTCCCAACCTTAAGTTCATGGGATTTCCAGCATCGAAGCTTGTGGAAATACCAGTAATGCTTTGGTTGCACTGAATATCCCAACTCTCGACCATATGAGAGCTTTGAGCTGCCAAATTTGGTTGTAACACTCGGACTTACCTGCAGCTAGGACGTTGTTCCTGATTTCCGTACCATGGAAACTCTATCAGGCACGACTTGGGATGTGATCATTGATGGGACTGGGGTTTCTCAGTCCCTTCTGGCACTGTGAGTGACTCTTTTAGGGTGGTTGTGAGTAGCACTCACACTCCCAAAGGGCCCTCTCACGATCTGGAAAGAAGGTTCTTCACATCGACCGAAACCAATACTATGGTGGTTCAGATGCAGCCTTCAGTCTTGATGAGGCCCAGGAGTGGGCAGAGAAAGTCAATAAAGGTGAGCTCCCTCTTGTGTGTGGCTGGTTGGTTCATGGCTAATATTATGTTGCCGGACAGATGAACATGAATCAGCGTTCAAAGATGCCTCGATCTTCAAACATGATGCATCTCCTTCATCTGAGGAGACGGGCATTTCCCCTAAACTTGCATCCAGCCGTGCTTACACGTTGTCCCTCTCCCCATATTTTCTATATGCCCGTTCCCAACTAATGTCAGCGCTTGTATCCTCGAAGGTCTTTCGCCAGCTGGAGTTTATGGCTGTTGGTAGCTGGTGGATCTACGCACCTGAACAGCCAGACTCTAACAATGCCGAGCTTGGTGCTGAAAAGGTTCTCTACCGTGTGCCTGGCAACCGGGAGGATGTGTTTGCTGCAACTCATATCAGCATGAAGTCTAAGAGAACACTCATGCGGTTATTGCGTCATATCACCAAACCCAATGAGGATGATGCTTCAAATGAAGATGAGGATATGTCACTGCCCCTGAAGGATTACCTGGCTTCCAAGTTCAGCGTCCCAGGGGAGCTTCACAATCCTCTGCTGTCATTGTCCTTGTCCCAGCTTTCTCAGCAAGATACTTCCGCCAGCTATGCTGTGCCCAGGATTCAAAGACATCTGTCATCCATCGGCCATCTTGGCGCTGGGTTTGGGGCTGTGATTGCTAAGTATGGCGGTGGAGCTGAAATATTGCAAGCTGCCTGTCGCGCATCCGCTGTCGGAGGGGGTGTATATGCCCTGGACACAGGGATTGAGGATTGCTTATGGCGCACAGGCTCTGAACATTCCGACCATCGTTTTCTAGTGAAACTGGCCAATGAAGGGTCTGTTCAGGCAAAATGCATGTTTAACTCAAATTTCGACACCTTTTCGAAAGTGGGCTCGACACCCTTAGTCGAAGTCGCCCGCTCGATCAGTGTTGTGTCGGCTACTTTCCCGTCTCTTTTCCCTGTTGCAGTTGAAGGTGCTCCTGTGCCCGCAACTGCAATTCTCATGTTCCCAGGGGATACGCTGGGCAGCCCCCACTCCCCTCCAGTCTATCTCCAAATTCATTCAAGCGACACCGGCGAGTGTCCACACCAGCAGAGTAAGTCATCCCACGCACAACCCTACCTGATATTTCTCCCACTCCGCTCGCATGATGATTTTTTATAAAAAACTTATCTACATTGCCTGAACTTGCTATGTTGAAAACCTTTTCACCTGATCACGAGCACCCTCCAAACTTGATTCGTCAACAATATTGTCGTTCATGTGGCTAATTCATCGTCACAGGTGTTGTTTATTGCAGTGTGGCACTAGCTGGGCCGGAAGGTCAAGCACTTATCGAGTCCGCCGTCGATAGACTAATCCGGGCAGAAGGTCTACCGGCCACCGTGCTGTGGTCGTTGCGGTACACCCAGAGCGGTCGTCTCAGCAATGGTGAACCCCGTCGTCTTATTGCCGAGGATGGAGCTTCTGATTGCTACACTTTTCCCCCATCGAGCCTCGACCTGGCATTTGAAGACGACACCCTCGACCTTGTAAAAGAGGCCTGGAAGAAAGTCGTAGGAGATGAAGTTGATGATGCCGATTTCATGATATTTGACGATCGTGATGGCACTTCTGATCAATGATTCGTAGCATAGCGTATTGGTTGCACCTTTATCCATATTCCCCTTCTGAAATAGCTAATGAGATGATTCTATCTGTGCTTTCAATATTATCGTTATAAACTATTCAATGCTCCAAATTTCTTCTATAATGTACCAATGTGTAAAGCTTAGATTGTTATACTACTCATGGAATGATAAAATACAAGCAGAGTTGTACGATATACAAATAGCCAAGTGGCTAATATTAGTGACGCAGGTTTAATATCGACGAACACAAACCAGTTGCTAGAACGCCCCTGACGTCATGTGATGGATCTGGTCCCTTGATATAGATATGAATATCAAGCTCTCAGGCGTAGATTATCTTCAATAAAAGCTTACCATCTCTGCTTCTATCTTCCACCCTCATTGGTCGCAAATACCTACCCTCACAATGCCCCTTGATAATCTCACCAGCGGCGTGACCGGTGTGACCGGACAAGTTCCTGTTGACAAAGTCCAATCAACAACAAGCGGCGTCAAGAAGACCACCTCAAAAGCACCTAAAAAGCTAAACAAAACAACAAAGGACCTGACCGACCCTGTCCTTCCAGGTCAATTTCCTTCAGACGATGCTCCCCCAAAAGGCCAGGACGTCGACAACAACCTCTCATTCTCATCGATATGGTCCACCATCAAAGCATGGTTCGCTACACTATTCCCTCAAGTCTTTGATTATTTCGAGTCCTGCATTCAGAGACTTGTTGCCTGGTTACTCCCTCCGCCCCGTCAAGCGGCGTTGTATGAAGCTGCTTTGAAGCGCCCTGCTGCATCAACCTTGATCGTTTGTCAAATGATTTGCTGTGGAGTTCCTCTACTGGTATTCTTGGCTGGTGTGTTTGTCTTTGCTGCGGTGGCAATACTCCTCTGGGCTATTCTGTCGTTGCTTATCCTTGGTCCGGTGTTGTTGGTCACGAGCATGATGGGCATGTCTCTCTGGGGATGGGGTTGGATTCTTTATGGGTTGGTTAAGTGGGCTGATCAGAAGTTCTTGGGTGGTCTAATTGCGCGCTATTGGCTTCCTCAGACGCAGTCGGAGTCGGCTGGTGGAGAGGGTCAGCCCGAGGAGGAGGGAAAGGAGAAAAAGGGCGAGGGAAAGGATGAGTAATGTTTGCGTATTCATTGAAGTTGGGAGGACATGAGATTCTGTATATACACGCTTTCTGAATCACATAGCATATAAAATTGATATTGATATTGAACATCAAGGGGTATGAAAAGCGCTCAAACTACCTGGAGGGTAACGAATGGTTCCCCAGTGAAACTCTCAGGCATCGTATATGTAACATTGTAATAAGAAAATTCGTTGACACCGCCAGAACCGACATAAGTGATCGTATAATCCGGTTGCGCGTTTGTCTCAACCTTGACATTTAAACCAGGTAAACCTTCCAGTCCAGTTACATTGAACCCATTGTTGATGGTGAGGCCACTGAACAAGAAGTTGAAAGAAATCGGACCGTGTGCAGATGTCGCATTTGGATATGAGATGTGCAAAGACCGAGGGGCAGCCACGGCATGAATAGATGCCTCTGTGACCCAGTGTGAAATGCAGCCAATTTTCTGTTCGTCAATAGCCCACTGGATGACAGCAGGACTAAATTGACCGGGGTTCTTAGCGGGACCACCAACGACTTCCTCGGCGATCGTTTCAGCCCCGATTGTCACATCCTTGGACATCCAAGCAGAGATATTGCGAGGATAAGTATCGAAAGGCGGCGAGTAAGCCTGCGAGGTAAAAATGTGCTCGCCCTGGAATTTGAGCAAACTCGCCTTTGCCTTTGCAGGCAGAGTCTTCACCATTGTAGGCATCGACAGGGCAAACAGAGGGTAAAAAGCAAAATCGTCTTGATGGAACATGCCCAGGTTCTGCTGAGGGACAGGGGCATGTTTGCGGCCAACAACACCCCAAATAACGGCGCCAACAAGAGAAGCGTACTCCTTCATATCATAGCCATATGAGCGATCCCAAGGACCAGCAAGATTCTTCAGGTTTGCGTTATAGAGCTGGGCGAGCTCATTCCAGCTGGCTTTGAGCATCTCCGGTCCATACTTCTTCAACGAACTGCCCTTGGTCGCGTACTGGTTCCAGAGAGCCAGAGCCCACATGGCGACACCAGCGTAGGTGGGAGAATTGAACTCAGATAATGTGTGGTGCATGCTCCAGAGGTCGTAGATTTCCTGTGCGAACATCTCACCGGAGTGGGTCAAGTTTGCATCGCCGACTCGGGCACCAACCCAGTTGTGGAAAATGGTTCGCATCAACCAGGGATTGGAGTAACAGGGGTATGAATTGTCGCCATCGACTCCTCCAACACGGTAGAGATCGCCTTTGGCTGCGATGTGCAAGGACTTTTCCACCTTGTCGACTGTCGCTCGTGGAAGCAGGTGACTGTAATCATTCAAGGCTACAATCCAGGAACAGCCTACGAAGACGCGAATGTTTGGATCCCACTGCCCATAATCGTATTAGCAAAATAGCACATGGAAAAACCCATCGAAGAGACTAGATATCGACTTGCCGAGCTGTATGGACCTTCATCGGGATAAATCATCGTCCCTGGCTGAGGCTCCGAAGGTGCTTGTTGATAGTCTCCATACCACTGCTTCGACGGATCGAGATATTGACCGGAGATGACATTGTCGAAGATGCGAATGGCCTTTTCAACATCGCCTGGTCCATTTCTGGCTAGTAATTGAGGTGCATACCAAGCCGTGTGTCGACTATCATAACGTCCAGGACTACTGGCTGCGCTGATGAGATAGCCGGCCTCGTCATCCCAGTACTCGTCATTCCATTCAATGGCAGCGTTGAACATGTCCACCGCGTGCGGGGACGCATGGAATCTGGATGACCATTTCTCTAGTGGAGAAGCAGAGACAATCCCGGCACTTAATCCAAGAAGAGTCAGTGAGAGCTTCATGATGTCGGAGATGCCCCGATATGAAAATAGTAAAGAGTTGTCAAAGGTCAGTTTCTTTTCCTCAATTTCCCCGTGTTCTTGCCATCTTTTAAACGGTTTCGATTTTTAAGTTGCATAGTATATTGACGATACCGGCACTCTGGTAAACACCGGTGATTTTAGCCGTGATCACCGAGTATGCCGGTGTTGTATACTCCATTGTCTGATTTGTTGACCGCTTCTTCACCTCTGGATATGCCGAAATTGGCGTCAATGGCTTGGAGAACAACCCAATGCGTGTCATATTACATGCCCTTATCTTCTAACCCTGAGATGGCAGTTCTCCGGCTTTGCCGACTTGTACTGCCCTCCGAGGCCAAGAGCATCGAGAGCTTCCCCGCTCAAAACACGGGATGTACGAAAAATTAATTCCACCTATGATGAACAAAAGCTACAGACCAGTTTCATTTCCTGACATATCATTACTTGAGCCACTTAGAAAGGAAAACTTGATCCCGAGTCATAAACAAAATATGCAGAAATCACAAGAACTCCAACGCCAATGACCCACTTCGCGCGAGCGGTTGTTGTATCATTGCCATCCCGATCAAAAGGTGGGGTGACGGGTGCGGTCATCTTGTGAGCCTTTTGTACCGAGTAAGGGGGGTACCGTGCGGCAATAAGTCCCTCCAACCACGAAGGCAAGGCATTGATATGCGTACGGAGATGAGAGAAAGTCAAGATACCATGCGGGCCATGATAACGCCCCTGACCAGAATTCCCAACACCACCGAATGGCACATCGCGACCAGCTACGTGGAGACCGCAGTCGTTGAAGGTCACACCCCCGGACTGGGTTTCGTTCAAGATGCGAGCCTTTTCAGCATCTTGAGTAGTGAAAGCATAGATGGCGAGTGGATGCTCTCCCTCACGAGTGCGAGAGATAGCGGTATCGAAGTCTGCATCGACGATAGGGAGAATCGGACCGAAAAGCTCTTCGGAGAGAAGGGAATCTCCGGGTTTAACGCCGGTGACGATCGTTGGTGCGAAGTACAGACTTTGACGATCACGCTGGCCACCATAGACGATCTTTCCGGAGGTCTTTTGGAGTAGACTTTCAAGGCGGTCGAAGTTACGTTCGTTGATGATGTGTGTATAATACTCTGGGTTGTTGGCTTTGCCTCCTAGGAACGTGTCAAAGTGTCGAATCAAATCAGCGACAAGGGGCTCCCGTAGGCTCGGGTGGACGAGAACGTGGTTCACATTCAAGCAAACCTGTATTTAGTCGAGATGGGTTAGCTTTTGATGGCTGGGGATGAACGGTGTGAGCCTACCTGTCCAGCATTCATGAATTTGGTAACGGCAATGTGTTTTGCAGTGAGATCGAGATTGGCCGATTCCGCGACAATAGCAGGACATTGACCGCCCAACTCGAGTGTGACGGGGGTTAGATGCTTTGCCGCTGCTGCATGGATGATTTTAGCAATATTGGGGGATCCAGTGTAGAAAATGTGGTCAAAGCGATGTTCAAGGATGTATCCCATTTCTTGTGGACCAGCGGCAACACATCGAATCGCATCTTGGTCCATATATTGGGGGACAATTTCCATTAATACATCCTGGGTGGCACTTGCTACATCTGATGGTTTGAGAATAACGGCACACCCAGCCGCAATCGCGGCAACCATTGGCTGCAGAAGCAGACTGACAGGGAAATTCCATGCGCCGATAATCAGAGTCACACCAAGCGGTTCTTTGCGGACAGTGGCTCTTCCTAGGAAGTTGAGAGGATCGGACTTTTCCGGTCTCTCATCTTTGGTCCACTCGTCCAGCTTTTTGAGAGTGCGTAAAATATCCGCTTGGATGTTACTGCAGTCGCCGGTGTAGGCTTCTTGATAGTGCTTGTGAAGATCGGTATAGATTGCATCACAGATGCGCTCCTTGTTGTCCTCAACCATCCACCAAGCACGTTTCAGTTGACGACGCCTCCATTCTTTGTTCTTGGTGGTGCCAGAGGCAAAAGCACTCTGCACACTTTGATATGCCTAGAAGATGTGAGCTGCGATATCGAATAGTATGAATAATAATTACCTGATCAAATTCGACTGTAGTGCTGAAACCCATGGTGAGCTTATGGGGTGGATTGATGCGGAGAAACCCCTGAGAGAAAGACGAGGTTATAAGGTGGAGCGGGGGTATATCAAACAACTGTTGAATCTGACTTGCCGAGGACCCCGGTCCAAGATTGCATTTATTTATCATGTAGCATGTCAGTATGTCGTGCATCGGAAAATTGCATTAATTTACATATATTTAGACAAGAGTAGACGGCTGCATATGCGGCCTTGTGATGTCTTTTTAGTAGTCTTTTTTGGGGGATTCTTTTGGTCTCAGGTATTCTGCTTGCAACATAGATGCCTTTTAATCAGTTGTATAGGTAGACAGTAGAAAAAGGCACAAAAAGCATAATTTATGCCAAAGACTTTTCTATGGATAACCTGGGTTTATGCGCATGATATATTTGCGGAGATTGCATAGACCGAGGTGCATATTGTATTGGAAATAAGCAAAGAAATCCGTGTCTCTATGTCTTCTAACCCTATTATATTACCCCCGGAATCTCTTAATCTCATCAAGAACCATGCTATCCTCCCCTCACAGCCAAGTACCCCTCGCTGAAGAAGTTCATTGATGGAAACGATGTCAAATCCCACGATGGGCGCGAGGTCACCCTTCTAAAATACATATATAACAATCCTGCCTTGGATAAGCTGCGCGGCTAACCTTCAGCCATCCTGGGCGTGATAGACGAGTTCGCCGCACAGGAGGATTTTTTTAATCAACATTGGCCCCCTGATGAAGCCGAAAAGATTCGCGAGATAATCCAATAGGAGAAATAGACCTTGGGCGGATATATCGGTTATTCTGCGATGTATTTCGACGAAGCTATGCGTCAAGCTCGCAGGGAAACACAGAAAGACCAGAGACTCTGGGGCTTGGAACTCGACCCGCTGATCGTCTCAATTGCTATGAATTTGATTGAGTTGACAGGTGCGAGTGGCATTGTCAAATTGGTGGTAGGCTCTGCATTGGATTCGCTGACAAGACTTACGAAGAAGGAGTTAGTCGCCATCGATCTCCTTTGCTTGGATCATGTCGAAGATCTCTATGTGGCTGATCTGAAGATCTGCGAGGAACTGGGTCTTCTCAAGCCAGAATCTTTGGTGTCGGCTAATAATGTCCTTCGACCTGGAGCCCCGGAATACTGTGGTTATGCTCACCATCATGCGAATTTTCAAAGTTAGGCTGTCAAGGGACTGATAGCGCCAGGAGCCTTTGAGGTAAGTTTAGCTCATATCCGCGTTGGGCATCCTAATACTGAACAACAAAGGATGAACTTGAGGTTAGTAGAATCTAGTAGCTGTTAGGGTACTTCTAATCTGGTATCTCATTTTTCAAAATCAGTAAAGATATGGGAATGTGAGCCTAAAATAGAAATTAATATAATACGAAGGCTAAGAAATATACTTATCGCACATATAAAGAAAGTCCTCTGCAGAGTGAACGCTGAATATCCGCCATGACTGCAATTTCAAAAGCTCATACAGGGTGTTTGACATGTCGTTTATGACGCATAAAATGCGACGGTAATTTCCCATGTACTTCTGCATGACCATTCTAATTAAAAATGTATTGGAAACCCAACCAATCTGCCGTCGCTTTCGTCTAGTCTGGCACGAGGAATCTTTAGCCTGAGGCGTTTGCCATGGAAGAGCAGGGGTATGGTCCAAGCGAAAAGGTTCTCGAAGGAGGGACACACTGGAACAAGTGGACGATGGATTGTCGCTAAGGTTGGACCATGCGGAAGATGATCGGACCTGGATGTTTTTGAACACAACGATGATCGATCTCCAGGTCCATTTTGATGGCAACCAGTCCAATTACAAAGGAAGGAAGCTGTTTTCTTAACCAAGCCCGATGTCGCCTTGGCTGAATACTATCTCTCCTAGCCAGTGATCCAATTGCGATCCCGTGCTCATGTCTTATCCCAAACACATCATCTGCAGCCCCTAGATCTATGCCTTCAAACAGCAAGATGCTATACGAGGAAGGTGCCATGACAATGGGCTTCAAGGTGGTATCAGAAGGCCGCTTTAGCAAGGAGAGTGTCCGGAAGTTCTTATATGATGAGCCCGCTTCGTACCCCAGTTGCAGTGGCACCCGGACATATGACGATAACGTCTCAGACTTTAAGGTTGCTATGGCAGCAATTCACAGGGGTGCACAGCTCCTGGAAGGTCTGGTAGTCGAGAACACATTGGAAGTCGTCCACTTCTACATGGACGCAATCAAGCGCAACGCAGAAATTGCCGTCCGTGAACTGCTTAAGTCCATTGGCCTCAAGAACAAGGGAGCTCCGATCCGATTCTCTGACTTTATGAATGACGGCACCGAGATCAAACTGGAAATCCGCATGAATTACGAGACTGGGTCTGCCGACTTCGACTTTACATGCACTGGCCGGGAAACATTCAACTGCCTCAATGTCCCCAAAGCCATCGCCCACTCGGCTATCATCTAGTCTGCGGGCGCTGATTGTTGACATTCCTGTGAAGGGATAGACCTAAGCATAAACGATGCAAATGGTCGCACTGCTCTAGAGTATGCTAAAACGCTCAACAAAACTGAAGTCGTGAAAGTGCTCGAGGGAGCGATTTTTCCCCTGGAGACAAGAAACATTACCCTCTGAATTGCATGGAAAATGACAAGAATAGCAGATATATATTTGCGCTCTGGACAACCCTAACCCGAAGTTCATTTTACGTCGTAAATTTATAAAACAAGGATTTATTACTGTGATAATCTATAGTCGCCGTTTACTTGAAATTGAAGTTGCTAAGGATCATATCAGGCAAGGAACGCTATCGGTTCGAGTTAATAGAGCTGGAGGTTATAGGAGCAATTGGAGATATAAATTGTTTCTAAGAGTAAGTCAAAGATATATATGACATCACGTGACCGTATCCCGGCGAACCAGTGTTTACCAAAAGTTTTGGCTCCCTCGATGGCCCGACGGACAATTTTACCCTGTGCATTCATCTCACAGAACCTCCTTCCCTGAGCTCTCACTTCTTCCTCTTGACTCCTAATTTACTCAACCCCTTGACCACATCCCATCTACCGTCATGGAGTACCACTCCGTCCCACCGGAGGAACGTGCTAGAGACGAGGATGGCAACCTCCTCCCTTGGGGTTATGTTTACAAAGAGTATGTCCAATGTAACTTGTAGCTCCACTCCTATCAAAGCTGACAATATGTTTTCCCAGTGAATCTCGCAATCCTCGACGACCACCTGAAGAATCAGGACCATTCGGCAAGAGAAGAAATGCTCGATACGATAATGCCCGCTCACGAACACGGACTGGAACACCAGCAAAGCGCGAGAACCCCAATGTCGCCGAGTTCGGTCGACTATTCTCACAGCAACAACAGGAGGATGAGAAAACACACGGCTTGCCCAAGTCATCATCGTCATCCAGTCTTGATAATCCACGGAAGCAAACAGAGAAGGTCGCGACCGAATGCATACTCTACGGATACAAAAACAAGGACAACGAGTGGAAGGTAATCGACAAATATGAGCGCATCTCCCAGGGCATGATCTGCGAAGACTACCCTCGCAACGACCCGAATTCAGCGAACCACTACACCCAGCTATTGAGCGGAGGCGACGTAGTCATCCGAAACCTGTCGGCTGATGCGAATCGCAAGTCGAAGCGGTATGCCGGTGGGTACCACTGGATCAAGGTCACTTACGACTCGACCCAGTCCGCAGACCGCGCGTGCTTCTACTCGCCACAGGAAATCGATGGGCACATGGTCTTCTGCGAGCTGTACAATGGCCACGGCCCAACTGAAGACGCCCCCATCCCTGTAGACTCTGCTGCGAGCAGTCGGATTCGCAATAAAGCACCGCGCACCTTGACCACCTCGCACTCGACTACCTTCCTTTCCAGCTCCAGCAAAGACCAGGATCGCATGACATTGCCTCGATCCTTTGCCATGAACAACCTTTCCAGTGTACCGGATTTGCCAGAGAATGAAAGGCACTCGGCCGACTCCTCCACGGTCGCTGGTACCTCCGATTATACAGCCACATCCACTGCAACTTCTGCAACTGCCACTGCCACACCCTCGTTCCAGCAAACCAGTTTCAATACAGCCACTTCTTCATCAACGTGGACAACAGGAGCTTCGTCCAGTAACGATCGCGCCTCAGTGCACCAACGCCGAGCTCCTACCCAGGTCGAACCCACCGCCGACAACGAATTCATGACGCATATTCCAACCGTTCGCCGTACCAAGCTACGCCCCATGGTCGAAGCACTCCCTCCACAGCCAACCATGACCGAGCGCATCCTCCGCTCAATCCCCATCCTGAGCTGGTTCACAGGTGACATCGTGGGCGATGGCCCGCTGCTCCGCGAGGACGGCACATTCGACCAGGAAAAATCTGGCATTTATTGGAGGTTCTGGTATACGTTCGATTATTTCCTGAAAACGGATATGTGCGGACTGAAGGAGGATAGTTGAGGCGACACGAAGGCCACCAAGCACTATGAAAATGGAATACCTTTCGTCTTTTGTTATTCCCTACGTCACGGATCTTCGCCACAATTACCGAGTCTTGCGCGCGATCAACCTAAAATCCGAATCGCTACGCAGCCTGAGGCGTCAGTACCCAAGAATACTGCGCTCATCGCAAGGCAGGGGTCAATGGTTTTGTAAGATAACTTGGGCTTTGATCAATGGATAATGTGTACGATATCTGCATCTGCAGACATAATGAACTGTCCTGTCGAGGGATCGCGCGCGAAATTCATATACCGTAGAACAGCCACAAGTACAATTCCTGAAACTTCTGCTTCAGCTCAGATAAAACCATCGAGTCAGAAGTAATATTCCTGCCAGCGCCAGGCGTATCAATTAACACTGGCATTGTATAAACCGATGCATCAACCCTGCCCGTAGGAAGAGACGAAAGCAAGAAAAGAACGAGGTTCAACAAAAAACAACTCTCAAACCGGAGCTTAAATTTCATTGATCATAGACGAAAGTTTTTAAAGACTCGATTTAATTCGCATCTAGGCGTATTTATTCCTTGGTCTCGAAGTTCTCGCCCTCGACGAGTTCGGGGATATCATCCTCCTCGTCGTCCTTCTTATCACCCTGCTGCTTCTGCATGTTCTGGTAGCTCTCAGCGAGCTTGCGGAGGGAAGCGAGGGAGTCGGGGCCGAGCTGGTTGAGGATGTTGGGGACGAGCTCGGTGAGCTCCTTCTCCTCGCCGTTGCCGTACAAGGCGAAGGTGTTAGAGGGAACAGCGCCGTGAACTAATTGCGACGAAATGATTAGCCTGGTCTTTCTTTTCTCGGTCCTTCTTCTCTTTGTGTTGAAAAGGGCGAAAAGGTGGCTTCGGGTGGGTTCTACTCACCACGGGGGTTGGCGAAGTGGATGACGTTGCCATCCTCCTTGAACATGTTAACCTCCTCAATGCCCTGGATGGGCTGGACGTTCAGCTTCTTGAGAGCGGCCTGGAGCTTCTTGTCATCGGCGCCGGAGTTGCGGACAACCTTCTTGACCTTGCGGCGGGGAGTACCCTTGCCACTATAAAGTTGTTAGTTGGTTGGACATTGGACGGGTTAAAAAAATGTGGTGTTGTTGTGGATGGGTGGTGAATATGGGTGGTGGGGGGATGAAATCGAGGTTCCGAAATGATCGAAGGAATGCGAGGATTCATGACAGGCCGAGAGTCAGACCGGATTCTCTTCGCCATGTGATATCTATTTTCGGTTCGACATTTGATATTTGGGATATAGCGCCGTCGCATAGATTACAAAATCGAGAATCCGTCTGACTATCGGCTGTGTCGAATCCGGGTATTGCAGTTCGAAAATTCATTTCACCGGTAGGAGATCGAGGGGTCGGGATGAAGATAATTCTGGACAGAATATACATACCCTATCGAGGAAAATCATGTTAGCTATCAAATTTGCACACACCAAGGTCCATCAAGACATGCAAGGAATTGCAGGATTGAGATATGACCAAGCTCCATGGTTACCAATTCCACAGAATAGCTCCACGTCATGACCCAGATCATATCTCAAGCTCAAAAATCCTCGAAAAGAGACAGAAACGTACCGATGCGAACGCTCGCCTGCATTCTAGCCAACTTTGCTTGATCCATGATGAAGTCGGGAGGGGTGATCGCCTGGCGCAGGATTAGCCGGTAATTCAAGGTAGGGCGATTTGAAATTCGGGGATTTCAATAGAATTGTTTATTTCAGCAATTAGTGTGGCGTACCGTTAAATAAGGGTTGAGAGGGAGATGGTGAGAGGGAACGTGAAGTGGAAGTGGGTGGAATGATGATGCATCCCCAAGAGTTTTGTGTGGGGAGTTTGCCAGAATATTCGCTAATGCGCCGACTTGGGTTTAACGGGCTGTTTTTTTTTGAATGTCTACACTCTGATATGTTTTATAAATTGATTCTATTGGAATATACTCTAGCTGTTGTTCTTTTGGTGATTTTGGTTATTCTCAAGTCCCAGCCTGTTCGATTGTGGGATCTTGATGCTCGGCTAAACCCTAATCGGGCCGCTCTATGAGGGAGATCTATAGATCAAGATTGGAACATAGCAACATTGCGATATTGAATTGATATCAACGCTTTCTTATGATTCGATATCTTTATTGCAATGCAAACTTGGTACCTTGGTATATACCCAATGCGGTAATCAGTGGACACAGTTTCATTTCATCCTAACCACTAACCATCTACTTCTTCCTCTCCTCCATCTCAATCTCCTTCTTCTCCCAGTTACTAAAATAATTGTGCCAATGATGTTTCTCCTGAAACCCAAGAAGGTGTTTAATCTTCGCATTCGAAAACGGCGCCTCAAACTCCCCCATCTCGCGCGTGATAGGTATATCCGGGAACTGCGACCTCAAAAAGTCCTTCGTGGGAGTAAGATTGGTAATATGATCATTGGTAGCATTGAAGACCTGAAACCCAAGCCCACTAGTCCGCAACGCCGCCTCACACATCCCACCCAAATCCCGCGCATCAATATACGACCACCCATGCACCTTCCACAGCGCCGGCTCATGCACATAGCTGTAGAAGATATCGTCATTGTACTCATGGGGCTCGATCAGGCGCCCAATACGCAAACTGTAGATATCCGCGTCGAAACGCGACGCAAAACTGCGTGCGATGCGCTCGTTGCACAGTTTCGCGATCGCGTACGTATCCGTCGGGTTGATGTCCAGATCTTCGTGGATTGGGAATGAGGGGAAGTTGGCATCGCCCTGTGCAAACGATACCCCGTACACTGTTATGCTACTGGCGATGATGATCTTGCGGACCCCTAGTTTGCAAGCTGCCTCGATGACGTTGTATGTGCCCTGCGTGTTCGAGCGGAAGGTCTCGTTGTCTGGCACGAGCATATTGCGTGCGTATCCTGCGAGGTGGACTACGGCATCTGGGCGTGGCGGGAGACCTTCCGGGAAGGGCTCGGTGAGGGTCCATTGGCCGGAGAGGGCGTTGAAGACTTGGCCGCTGTCGGCGAGGTCGGTTTTTAGAGTGTGTACGGCTGGGTGTTCCATGTGTATTAGGTCCAGGTTCAGGATTTTGTGTCCGGCGTTGAGAAGCTCGCTGATGACGAATTGGCCTGCTTTGCCGGAGCCGCCAGTCACGACGATGTGGCCCATGCTGGTGATGGTGTCTGGCACGACACGGGATTAGGGTTAATTCTCCGCTCTAGGGATATATTGTTTGATTTTGGGGGAGTCTTTAGAATGAACAAGCTACGCGGGCACTTATCCAAGGGCTTGGGCAGCACCACCGAGATCGAAATCATCATGATGCCATTTGCCTCCATGCTCACGGCTTCTCATAGGCGGGAGGATGGCAACGAGCATTTCAAACAATGTGGATTCTAAATAGAAGCAAGCTAAATTGTGGATAACATTTCAGCCATTTCATATATTCATACATGCCGCGATTCAGTTTCGCTTGGAAACCTGACTGTCGGTCCAATCCCAGAGCTTGTGCGCCAATTGTGCGTTCTGCACAGTCGCAGTGCCACCGCTGCGGTACCCAACGGGAGTGTAGTAAGCTCCATTGATAAGGTTTTCCCTTTGCGTGCCAGCCGCCCAAAGAGAATTGAGGGCCCCACTAGCGATATTCCGGAAGATCATGGAGCCAGCAGTAGTGATGCCGTACTTCATCACTGAATTGAGACCTTTGGTATGTCCATAGAGCCCGCTGTCAACCGCACCGGGGTGTACAGAAACAGATAAGATATCAGGATACCGACGGGCTAGCTCGGATGCAAAGAGGATGTTAGCCGACTTGGAAGCGCCGTAGCGCGTCCAGGTACTGGCAGCCAACAAGCCAGGTGTAGATGTAATTTCCTCAAAGGTGGAGGGGCCAACACAGTGAGCTGCCGAAGCGACAGTCACGACCCGCACATCGGGAACCTCATCCTTGGCGCGCTGAAGATCAGCGGTCTTCTGCAGGGTAGGCAGAAGCAGTTTTGTGAACAGAAAGTGTCCAATATGGTTCGTGCCGAGCTGGACCTCGAAGCCCTCCTCCGTCGTGGTGGGCGGGTTGCCCATCGTACCCGCATTTAGGATCAGGATATCCAGCCGATCGTTATCGGCCTGAAACTTGTCTGCGGCAGCGCGGATGGATTTGAAAGAAGAGAGGTCGAGAGGAAGAAAACGGATATCGGCGGGGGAGGAGAGCTGGCTTTGTAGGGATTCAATTGCCTCGCGCGCTTTGCTCTCGGTGCGGGCGCCCATGTAGATGCGCGACGGGCGGTGCTTGGCGAGTTGGAGGATGGTCTCTTTGCCTAGGCCGGCATTGCCTATATCAATCAATCACGGTGTCAGTGTGCTGAACGCTGTAGATAGATATAAAGAGGAGATATACCTCCTGTCACAAGGACGACCTTTCCGTCTAGGTCGCGAATGTCGCGATCTGGCTGAAACGATGTCCCTAAATAGCCGAAGGTGGCCTCATTCAGGGTTGGGCCAAAGCTTGACAGTGCCTCTCGAGGATGACGCAAGCTGTAGGTCGCGAAGCCACGAGCGGCTACAATATCACGAAAATCCATAGCTCCAGATCAAATTGAATATGAAGGGTTGTGGAAACGTTAGCTCAGGGGTTAAATAGCCAGTCAATGAGGTCAACGACTTCGAGCCAAGGAACAGCACCATTCTTTTTCACATGTGTAAAGCCCAAAGCATCCATTTTATTTTCTTCAAAGATTTCTGATCTTATCAAGATTTCCTATTGGTCCAGCTGGCAGGGATTTCTACAGAACTTTGTCGTTCAACTTTAAAGTACGGAGTAGCTTAAAAAAAAGAAAGACATTTGTATATCTCACCCGCCAAGCTCTAGTCCTGCAAGCCCCGCCTGCAGGTTGATCCCCCTTGTACCTCTCGAGACAATTCTCCCGGCCACCTGTCCTGTAGTCTTTCTCTCTTCTTTTTCTCGAATCTCAGGAACCAGACGAATCCCGTAACACGACATTCCGACCTGGTTCACTATAATCTCGTACTTGTCCAACATTATACGCAAGCATACACGAAATCCATAAGCACCAAAATGCGATTTCTTTGCTTACACGGCGGTGGCACAAATGGTGAAGTATGCATATGTTCAATTTCGACATGGAAAATACTGACCAGTCATAGATATTTGAAATCCAAACTGGAGGCCTCCGCCAGGCACTTGAGAAAAATGGCCACCGCTTCAAATTCATGAACGGAAAGGTGGACGCCAAAGTCGAAGAGGGTAAGCTCTGCCCCCTCCGTGTATATACACAGCTACCACCTAAGCCACCTATTAACCCAACTCAGAACTCGAAGGTATAGTGGACGGCCCCTTCTATAACCACTATATCCGAGGTTCCTCACCAGGCTCCAGCATCCACGAAGCCTTCGACCACACCAAGAACTTCATCGCAAAGGAAGGCCCCTTCGATGGGGTGATAGGTTTCTCACAAGGCGCGGCACTAGCAGCTTCACTTCTAATTCACCAAAGCAAGAACTACCCGGCTGAACCGTCGCTCTTCCGCGCAGCGGTGTTTATATGCGGCGCGGCGCCGTGGGATAGCACCGGACTGCAACATATCGCACCGCAGCCGGATACTTATCCGATTTCCATTCCGACGGCGAATATCGTTGGTAAGGCGGATGCACTGTGCCCTGAGAGTGTAAGACTATTTGAACTTTGTGAGCCCGCTAAGGCGGCTTTCTATGATCATGGTTCTAAGCATATGGTTCCGTTTGATGTGAAGAATACGGAGGAGATAGTTAGGGTTATCGAGCAGACTGTTGCGAAGGCTATGAGGGGTTAACTGCGAGTGGCTGTGTAATGAGAGAAATCCACTTTGAAAACCATCCACCTCTAGCGGGCTTAGCCAAAGCTTTTCTGGTAACTCTCACACCATTATATAGGTCTAATTCTCTTCTATCTCACGTTTCTCCAGAATTCTGCTTAGCCCGATCCAACACAATGGATACCCAAATGGACAACCATGGTGACTGTCTACTTAGGGTACCTGGGGTCAACGCTACACCCGTGGATTATGAGCTGGACGTATCAGTCTGGTTTTAAAGCCATGGAATGATACTCTGAAGAAGGGAGCAACATGCAGATACCCGCTGCGCACCAAAACATTCGGATTTGAAGCTATCGATCCCGACAAGACATGAGGGCAGATTTCAACCCTATAACTAGAAGAAGCTGGCATGTCACACTTGGACACAAGATACATGCGCTGGTTATTGGATTAAGACGAAAGAGTATCCAGCCTTGCCGGAACTTGACCAGAAGTACTGTGTCTAACACTAGGAGCCAGATGGGCTCGAGGAACCGGATGATATTCTGGGTTCTGTTCAATCATGGATATGCGAAAATTGAAAATGGGAGGGCTTTTCGAAACATATAAGATGTGCTGATTCGAATTCAACTAGTCATAATAAGTAAATAATTTAAATATTCAAATTGTCATAATGGCTATAAGTTAATGGTGGACTGTTTACCTTCCAAGTAAAGTGTGCTGATTCGAATTCAGCTAGCCATATATTTATAAGTAGGGGCGACTCTATACATTCAAGTACCCATAGGCCGGGATTTCCTATACTTACGAGTACAGAAAGAGAGGGAAGACAGCTAAGCCTTTCATCGGAGGAAGGAAAGTCTACGATGACTCTTTGGAGGACGGCATGTGTGTCAATCTATCTCACACTGGAGAAACCCTCATTCGAGGGAGACAATGATTTCCATCTGGAAGGTCTCCTGAATGAACATATTGTCGCGGTGGCCAGATACCACTACGATCTCCAGAATATTACCGACGCACACATTTCCTTCCAACAAGAAGATGACCTCAATTCGTGCGAAAGCAGATTTGGTCCAGATGCTATACACAAGATATTTGGACTCCTACCATTTGTCAGATATGGTTACTGCCCTGAAAAGTTTAAGATCCTTGGCCCCGGGGCCACACAGCATGGTCGATTCCTCGCCCAGTCCAACACCCTTCGTTACAAAACTAGACCGTTTGTACTAAAAGATATGGATCGCCCCAGTCACTAACGTTTCGTATCTATTTTCCTGGTAGACCCCCATTACCGCATTTGCTCGACCCAGAATGTACCCACACAGCAGCATGAGGGGTAGCGAGATGCCGTCTATAATGAGCTGGGATCTTCAGCCAAGCTACCCCAGGAGGTTGCAGATGTGATAATGGAGCAGATAGAAGACTGGACTATCAGTTTTGTTGAGGTTCAGAGATATAGCTCCCTCTTTTGCGATATGAGTGTCGGCAGAGAAGTGGTATCCCGATGAAGAAGTGGATCCCTGGGAGCAAGAACGGTACGACTTCGCAGCTCTGATTGAAAATATGGAACACGACATTGTATTTAGTCCTTCTGGGGAGCGCACGCTTTATGGTGGACCATATGATGAATAAATCAATAAATAAAAAGCCACACTAATACCGAGATTGCAGGTGGAACGACGAGAAAGCCGATGAACCAGGTTTTATAGGACTTGATGAAGATCGGTTACTATAGTGCTTCGAGCTAATAAGTCAACTCCTGCGTTGAGAAGTGGTGTTTAGCTTCAGCCTTGCTCGACGCAACCATTAGGCTCTGGGATGGGATCACAAAAAGAACGACAGGTCCTTAATAGCCACTGTGGTTGGGTTCCAAAAGCGTCTGATGGCCAGGTATCAGGCTCAGACTTGGGGTATGAAAGTACCATGTTCGTGCATGGGATAATGGACAAAGAGCGACAGACATTGGAGAGCCAATCTGGTTTCTGTCATGAAGGAAACGATCAAATCTTCATCGCAAGCGACTTCGTAGTCTTTAGAGGCGAGAGTATTCTTTGGCTCCCGATGGAGTACTATGTATCGTAGATATTCCTACTCGGCGTTTCATAAATGTTCCCTGGCTTTTGATATAGCGTGTTCTCATTGTGGGCTTCAACACATTGATGAAATGTATATCTTGCATGGATGTTTCAATATCGGATATGCGTTTGTTTTCTGTCGCAAATTTTCTACCTAATTCTCATGCTCGCAGCCTGAGGCTTTGACGTCGAGTTGGAAGATTGTAATGTGGACTAATGAAAAGGCCAAAGGGTCCGGAAAATGTTACCTAATGCGATTTGCTACTAAGAATAGCACACGGGTTCCTCGAGCAACACGCTTCTAACGGCAGTATCAATAGGCAGCCATATATATAATGATCAATAACCATGGAACATTTATGTATTGAAAAAATATATACATACGTCCATGGATATGCGAAGCATGAAATACCTAACGCTATCTATCTACTATTGTACACACTTGTAGTGTAACTCCCAAATTGTGCCTGTTTGGGGTAAATAAATTTGAATTTTGTGAAGCTTAGAATAGCACCACGAAACTATCTAGGTCGAAGGTTACCGATGGCTTTTTCAACAATAAATGCCAAGGACTTGAAAATAATGAATATCCAAGACCCGAAAGACCAAAGCTGGGGGCCTCCATAGTACGCTTTGTACTGAAAACGCCACAGCACGTGACTCTGGGCAAGCCGTCTCAGCGGCAAGTCACCCTTGTCAGCTTCACTCCAGACAACAACCGTTAATTCTTTCCCTCCGTCACTCTCCGTTGCGCTACATCCCAGTCTTTATCATCCTACGATAGCTCTCGCTCCATACCAAATCTTGCGTCGATTCTAGTCACCTAGACTCCCTCTTTGCTACACTTCCCCATCAAAACAGCACAACCCCTAGTGTTCCCGCGAGGTCGTCAAGACACTCCCAGTTTCCTGTCAATCCAACTCTTGAGGTTTCCTCGAACTCTTTTACGACTTTCATAATGGCTGCTACCGAACAACCTTACGACCCTTATATCCCTTCCGGCTCTGCTGGAGCCCCGGCTGGTGGACAGAATGGCAACCAGCGAACTGCCGCTTTGCAAGCAGTGAGTTACTCCTCGACAATATCTTGACTCCTAGCAACCCTAGCCATCGATAAAATAGCTAGATAATTATACGGTCGATGTCGCATACTTGTTATTTTGTTGATCTACCGAAATGCGAAGGCTGGGGCACTTGATTCCCGAAATGGGGCTAACGTGGTATCTTCTATAGCAAATCGACGATACCGTCGGTGTGATGCGCGAAAACATCAACAAGGTCTCCCAGCGTGGTGAGAACTTGGATTCTCTCCAGGACAAGACCGACAACCTCGCCGTCTCAGCCCAGGGCTTCCGCCGGGGCGCCAATCGCGTGCGCAAAGATATGTGGTGGAAGGACATGAAGATGCGCGTGTGCCTTGTCATCTGCGTGATTGTCCTTCTCATTGTCATCATTGTGCCGACCGGTATGTATTTTCTAACAATCTTCTACCTGACTTCCTAGTTCGCCACTAACGCCTTCCACAGTGGTTGCCGTCAAGCACTAAGCACCTCGCCTGTGCGCGACTTACGACTTCTCTTTGGACATGGAATCTTGAATTTTACTGGGCTTACTGTTGTTGGGGCCGTGTGCCCTTTTCCGTTTTCTTCGCAGCCGCTAATACCTCCTGCTGTTTTTTTCTGGGCGTGTTTTCAATGACCAAATCCTCTTTGACTTTTCCGCAACGAAATGAGTTCATCCGATTTTGGGTTGTGTCGCTATATGCGACCCGGTCGACGGGTGAAGATGTAAATGATACTTCTATGACGCCGTGTTTAAGTATGCTTACCACATTGCCATTCGGGTGCTTTCTTACTGCAATGAATCTCCCTTATAGTGCGCTTTTGTCCTTTCTTTCTTTCTTTCTTTTTTTTTTTTGGATGCCCGGTCTTGGGATACCTGAACAGCATAGCTGTGCAATGTAGAACGTTTGTGTAGATCCACACTTTGATAGGCAAAGCCAACATCCAACATCCACCCTTCTCCATGCTCGGCGATTGAGTCTCGGTCTTCGGTCTCATGAGTATGCATGACTGGCGATGGAAGAAAGGCGATTGAGTCTGGGAGTTGGGATCGCCCACCATTATATTTCTATAGACCAGGTCACTTAGTCTCAGAGCTGAGAGCTAGCACACTGTCCACGTGGCTCAAGACCCATCTGACCTGTGAAGCTCCAATTCGCCAATGAGGATAATGCAAGGAACCCGCTGTGTAGGTATGCTCGATGCCTTTGGCATCAGGTGTCTACTCATTAATTAACTTAATCTCAATATGTTCCCACCGTGGTTCGCTATAGTGTAGCAGTGCAAGTCTCTTTCCTGACGAATCCTTTCGGAAACGAAGCCTGTTGAGTAGGAAAAATCAGATAATGGGAACTCTTGGCACGAAAACAAGTGTCCACCAATTCCTCAATTAGACCACTGGGAGAAGCCCTCGTAATACCGTCGGTAGGAAGCGCAGAGTGCTAGACCCAGTCAGGGTGGAGGAAAGTGGATAGGGGTGGCCCAACGCAACGAGTGAGAAGAAGGGACAAGATCAGATAACTCGGACTAAAAAACCCAAGCAGGATGACGTTTCACGATATCCGAGCAGAACCTTGGAAGAAGTGGATTTTTTCGGAGGTATGGCTATTGAGGAAGTCATAAGGAGATCTCCGATGAAAGCGTGAATTTTTTTTTTTTTTGAAAGTTTTTTGGTCCCGGTTAGGGCACCACACAAATGTTAATATTGTGCACATATAGGATAAAAGAAGTCAAGAGAAATTACTTGGAACATAAATATAACGCATACTTAGAATAAAAATTATAGGTGAAAGAACATTGGAATAAATCAAATGTCGCACGTAAAGATGGAGATAAATCGCTCGCTAGAGGGGTGGTCCACCGCCTTCTCCCCGTCATTGGGCCAAGTTATCGCTCCGAGGCCCGGCCGATCTGAAAAATATCTCTTGACTCAACACTTTTTCACCTTCCACCTACCCTTCCACCTTTTTTTATACATATTTGGGGCCTCTCCCACCAAAGGGCCGACCGTGAGACCATTGAGGCTGCCGCATGTGTGTTGCTAAAATGATGTCCCTTCGCTCCGCTGTGCGGAGAGCTTCGTGCAAGCCCCTCCGTACTCTCTCCGCACCGACTGCTCTGCGAGTCTCAGCTGCAAAGACTGCCACCTCCCTGCGACCAACTCGCAACTACTCCCGCTCGACGGATCCTCACCTGACCTCCACCCGCAGCACCGTCGTGCAACTGTTGAGTAATATTGGCTCGAAGCGCGAGGTCCAACAGTACCTGTCACACTTCACCTCCGTGTCCTCTCAGCAATTCGCCGTGATCAAGGTTGGTGGTGCTATTATTACTGAGCACCTCCAGACTCTGTCATCCGCGCTTGCATTCCTTAACCATGTCGGTCTGTACCCCATCGTCGTCCACGGTGCCGGCCCCCAGCTTAACCGCATGCTGGAGGCCGCCGGTGTCGAGCCTCATTTCGAGGATGGAATCCGGGTGACTGACGGTAAGACTCTGGCCCTCGCCCGCAAGCTCTTCCTGGAGGAGAACATGAAGCTGGTTGAGGAGCTCGAGCGTATCGGTATCCGTGCCCGTCCCATTACCGCGGGCGTCTTTTCGGCCGATTACCTCGACAAGCCCAAGTACAACCTGGTTGGTAAGATCAATGGCGTTGATAAGGCACCCATTGAGTCTGCTATTGCTGCTGGATGTCTGCCCATCCTGACCTCCATGGCCGAGACCCCCGATGGGCAGGTGCTCAATGTCAATGCCGATGTCGCTGCCGGCGAGCTTGCCCGCGCCTTGCAGCCCCTCAAGATCGTCTACCTCGCCGAGAAGGGCGGTTTGTTCAACGGTGACACCGGTGAGAAAATCTCTGCCATCAACCTCGATGAGGAGTACGACCACCTGATGAGCCAGTGGTGGGTGCGCCACGGTACTCGCCTGAAGATCAAGGAGATGAAGGATCTCCTCAACGATCTGCCTCGCTCGTCTAGTGTCGCAATTATCCACCCTGCCGATCTCCAGAAGGAACTTTTCACTGACTCCGGTGCTGGTACCCTGATCCGCCGCGGTAACAAGATCCACGTGAAGACCTCTCTGTCCGAGTTTGAAGACATGAACGCCCTGAAGGAGGTTCTGGTCCGCGACCGTGAGGGTCTTGATGCCCGTGCCGTTGTTGACCGCTACGTCGAGGGTATGAAGGACAAGGACTTTAAGATCTACTACGATGAGCCCATGGAAGCTCTCGGCGTTGTGCTGCCTCCGCAGCCCAACTCTCAGATGGCTCACTTGGCCACTTTCACCATCACCAAGTCTGGTTGGTTGACTAACGTTGCCGACAACGTCTTCGCCAGCATCAAGAAGGACTTCCCCAAGCTGGCATGGACTGTCAAGGAGGACGATGAGAACCTGACCTGGTTCTTCGACAAGGCCGATGGCAGCTTGAGCCGTGATGGCCAGGTCCTCTTCTGGTACGGTGCCGAGAACGGCGAGGAAGTCAAGCAGCTGGTTCAGGAGTTCAACACTCACGGTCGCCAGATGTTCGGTGATATTAACCTCGAGGCGCGCCTTCATCGCGCTGCTGAGGCTGCCGCCAACATCGGTAAGGGTTTCGGCGCTAGCGGTGCTTCTGTTGAGCAGAAGCGTGGATTCTCAACCACCACCAACGCCCTGCGCATGACCCGCGCCAAGCGTCCTGCTGTTGCCGTGAACTCTTTCCGCACCTATGCTACTACCAACCCTAACCCTCCTCTTGGAGAGAAGAACATCTCCAACACCCAGCCCGCCAAGGTTGCTCTCATTGGTGCCCGTGGTTACACCGGCCAGGCCCTGATCAACTTGCTCAATGCCCACCCTAACATGGATCTTCGTCACGTCTCGTCGCGCGAGCTGGCTGGTAAGAAGCTCCAAGGTTACGAGAAGCGCGAGATCATCTACGAGAATCTCAGCCCCGAAGATGTCCGCAAGATGTCTGCCAACGGCGACATAGACTGCTGGGTGATGGCTTTGCCCAACGGTATCTGCAAGCCTTTCGTCGATGCCGTCGACGAGGGTTCCAAGACCGGTAACGTCATTGTTGACCTGAGCGCTGACTACCGTTTCGACCCCAAGTGGACCTACGGTCTTCCCGAGCTGGTCGAGCGGTCTAAGATTGCCCGGGCTACTCGCATTGCCAACCCCGGATGCTACGCCACTGCTGCTCAGCTTGGAATTGCTCCTCTTGTTCCGTTCCTTGGCGGCCAGCCTACCACCTTCGGTGTCTCTGGATACTCCGGCGCGGGTACCAAGCCCAGCCCCAAGAATGACGTGAACTTCCTCACCAACAACCTCATCCCCTACAGTCTGACTGACCACATTCACGAACGTGAGATCAGCGCACAGTTGGGCACCAGCATTGCGTTCATTCCTCACGTCGCTGTTTGGTTCCAGGGTATCTCCGTAAGTGCCCGTTGGCCCCCTCATTGATTCCCACAATTACTAACATTTGTATCAAGCACTCTATCAGCATTCCTCTTAAGCAGAAGATGACCTCCCGCGATATCCGCAACCTCTACCAGGATCGCTACGCTGGTGAGAAGCTCGTCAAGATCGTTGGCGAAGCCCCTCTTGTCAAGGACATTGCCGGCCGCCACGGTGTCGAGATCGGTGGATTTGCCGTCCACTCCAGCGGCGAGCGCGTAGTTGTCTGCGCCACCATTGACAACCTGCTGAAGGGTGCCGCTACCCAGTGCTTGCGTAAGTGTTGAATCCATCTACCTGACTATACCATGATGCTAATAACCCAAATAGAAAACATGAACTTGGCTCTGGGCTACTCCGAGTACGAGGGCATCCCTCTCGACTAAGCTCCCACTTGAACTCAGTGACGAGTAGTTGTCAGGGCATGTTTGTGTATTGTTTTTGCAAGTCTTTTGTCTCATACCCCCCGTGCATCCTATACATCGCTCTGGGTTGGAGATTTCTGGGTGCTTCCTATCTATTTTCAGATCTTCCATAGTTGATTATGTCTACACTGTACTTTTGTGCCAAAAGAGTGCGGTTTTTGTTGGTCTTGGTCCATTTTTGCTCCTTAGAATTCTGCTGCCTCCTTTCGGGTGCCTCTTCGTTTTTCATCCCCTTGTGCTCAACTGATATATAGTTTCTCAAGAGTCTCAAGAAAAGTAAATTTTCTTTCTAATGTTGGCGTTTGACTCAGTCTCTCCCACGAGTGTTCCCTATCTCAGGACCATCCATGGACATACGAATCGAGTTGATTTATTGAATTGAAAAACACACGGGGAATCCAATTGTAATTAGAACAATATATGTTAATCGTAAACCTTGTGTCCCAGCTCATGGGTGTAGTTATAAGCGTGAACCTGGGATGCCTAACGCATCTCTTCAAGGGTCTTATGCTCAGGCCGAGACTTGCATGCTTCTTCACACATCATCCGCCTTCTCCCTCTTCCTCATATCCTAATTTCGGTAGTCTTGTCACTCGTGCTTATCGAGGGCACTTTCACTGTATCTTTCTATTCTCTTTCACCCAAACTACTCCAGAGCCACCCACACATTACCCTGGTCCACGGGCAAACTCGAGGTCGCAGCAAACCTCTGCAACTGATATCTTTCTCTTCGACGTCAACTCCTACCAGAAAACATTTCGCTCAATCCGATCACACTATCCTTAACTCGCATCTAATATTCCAAGCCGTGGAGAGACTCGAGGGCCTGTGGGTCATTCGAGTCCACTTACGTCGCAAACATGTTCTACAGCCATGAAAGTAAGTCGAAAGGTCCCGTAGGTTATGGTTATCTCGGACCAAAAGCTCACCTGCTTGTCACGCTCTAGTCCTCACCTCGCCAGAGCATGGTGTCGCGACAATATGGTAAGAACACCCACCACTTCCACGATTTCAAAGTCAGGACTATTAATACCCTCTTCACAGGCTAGTCGCAACTCTGGGATCCCGCTCTATTGCTAGAAGACTGAACCGAAAAGCGATCCTGGATGTGGATGTACCCAACGCATGCCGAGTTATCATCAATCCAGACGCACCCATGGCCCTTCGACTACAGGGGAGCTTGCTGTAAGATCTGCCGCATAGTGGTGTCTCTATGGGTACGTTAACAAGTTGCCTGTATTAGGTACGGAGTCTCTCGAGTGTACAATCAACAGTGCGGGTACACACTGCTTGACACACAGGCGATGCATGACAAGATGGTCTCCAAGTTGAAGATCATTCTGGGGAGTGGGCTTGATCCAGCTGCCGGACAGACCAGGTGAGTCCCACTGGTTGGTGGTATAAATTTGTAAGGCGTTGGTCGAATACTAACCCCATCCCAGGCCCAGCAATCTGATCCTACCTTACGACCCGTCTTTCCTACCCGAGACAGCTCTTCCGGGACTTGAAATTGACCTATCCTATTTCACTACCCCCACGGACGATAGCTCGAGCCAGCTCAGTGGTATCTGGACCAAATCGCCCAATAATAGCTTGTCTGGCACTTCGCAGCTTTCAAGCCTGCACCTTGAGCTCCCATCAGATGATATCTTAGGGGATGGTACTATCCTTGGGCTTGATGAGATAAATGGGTCTGTGCAGAAGAAAGACACATTCGGCAACATGATGGGGCTAGGCCTAGGCAATGAAGAGGGTGTTCTCCTTCAACCTGACTTTGAATTTGACGAGGATGGCAATATCATCGAGCTCGGTACCAAAGGGCAGTCCCCTCGTGCAAGGAAGTCCACTGTTGGCCCGAGGGAAAGCGAAGGACCGACAGACGACCAACAACGCCAGCTCTCCGAAGACCCTGTGAGTATCAAGCATCCATACCAAACCCAAAAAGATGTCCATTAACTCTGCTCAATAGATGCAGATTGACAACGAGAAGGATAGAGTGGCCAAGACTGGCCACATGATAGAGCTCGACATCCAGACTGCAGGTACGACAATTCCCCAGACAAATGAAGGCCTGGATGGGGTTCAAGACACAATCGAGATCCAAGCAGCGAGGATCCGCCAAGTCAGGCGGCCAAAGGAAATCATCTCCGACGATACCACGACGCTTCGAAATATAACAATGGCTCAATGGAACAATGAATACGTTGCGAACATGATCGGAGCACTGAAGCAGAAGCAGCAAAACAAGATTCCAACCATTTCGAAGAAAAACGCTGCTTTCTGGGTTTTCGGTCAAGGAATCGGCTCCGTTGGAGTCGGAGTCGGAATGGACCGTGAACTGCACCCGCTCAACCTCTACTCAGGCGAGAATCTGTTTGAAGCCGTTGGTGGATACCCTCAGCGAAACGACCGCAAACGCAGTGCAGATGACAATGGAAGATCAGAGGGACGTCGAGTACGCGCTAAAGACGAACAAGCAGAGCACCTCAGCCGTGAGAACATCGACCGCCTCAACATGGAAGTTGAAGTCGGTCGTGATGCCCCTTCGAGTCTGTTTGACGACCACTCATCCCAGATGCCATGGAACATCACCGCTTCTATTCAAAGCTCTCGACAAAGACATCGATTCGGCAGTGTCAGCGAGCTGTCTTCTCAAGGACGTAAAGCCAAAAGTCGTCTCACGAGTGCCAGTCCCCTTGCCCGGCGTAGTTATCTCGGTGGACAAGACAGACTTAGCGTCGAGCTCCTGGGCGAGTTTGGAGACGACCTAGATCTCACCCGTTATCTTGAAGGCGAGCTTGCGACAGACCGCAAGAATATCAGCTCAATCTCGCCAAGCAAGCGCTCTGCTTTTGAGCGCGCTAAGCCAACTCTTGATCAGGAAAGCTTGAATTTCATAGAATTTATGCATAGCAAGATGGGTACTGCTAATGATGGCGAAGTAGGAAATGCACAAAGCCCAAACAGCAACACGTCTAGCCCGGTCCCGACCAGACTCAGTCAGACCACGTTCGCGAGTCTTCTTCCTCCTGGGGGTACGACTCGAGCTGTTGCGACTCAGGCTTTGATGAATGTTCTCACGCTCGCTACAAAGGGTGTGCTGCATGTCCACCAGGGCGAGTACATTGACGAAAGTACCGAGTGGGCAGTCCACTATCGCTATGGCGAGATTTTCCTGCGACTATGCGGAATGTGAGTGTGAACCGTGCGTCGTAGGTCTAAATGACGACCATGAATGACGTCGATGAACACATGCTTGATGGGAAGCACATCCAAAACACGAAGGATGAACAGGAACGACGATTATGAGCGCTGATGATATTATTGACGCGATCTGTGCTGGCGTATTACATCACCGGGATACGCAATGAACATTTTTAGTAAGAGAGAGGGCGAGATGTTACGGGTATACGTATGGTCGCTCAAGACCTTGAAATCTACCAATTTATCTTTATTTTTCGATATACCCCAATCTTACCAGGAACCTGTATGTTGTAACTCTGAAGTAGTTGACAGTATCGCGTATGGGATACGGGACGTCCAAGTAACAGTAATACCTGATGTTTCGATCGCGTGGAAATGAACATGTATACGGAGAAGTATATAAAATATCAATGTCTTGTCTATTATATGTATCTTAGCCTGCCTTTTTTGCTTCTGCTTATTGCGTGAGATTCAGATAGAAGAATTGTCCCCCACTAAATCCAATCATAGCCTGATCCGAGTGTCTCTCGTTTGCCCTGGATTATCCGACCGACTAGGCTTACCAGGTTATAACTAAGACTGCCCAGGGGTATAAGAGAGGTTGCGTTCATAGCAAATTATCTATGGAGATTCTTCAAAGTGTTTATTTTGGAATTGCTTTTTGTTGGGCAGTTATTCATTATTCTTATACATTTCATATTTCTAGGGTCCCCGAGCGCTAGTCTCATCCTTTGGCCGATGTTTGTCGACCAAAGCAGCAGATGGAAGGGAAAGCAAAGAACTTAAGTGAGATGACTCTTAACATATAGATTTGAAATTAATAGATCAATAGACTGATAGACGAATAGCTATATACATCTAAATATTGTAATATAGGTTACAGACGGCAGGTACCGTAAGCAGTGCTCCAAATTACGCAGGGCGCGTAACCCGCGTATTCTCCCGTCTTCGTCTTTCCATTTTCTTTTCTTCTCCCTCACCCCTCCAACTTTACCTATACGCGACCTTTACCCATTTTCTTTCGGACTTTCTTTGTTTATTCTCTTGGACACTATTATTCATACTCCCGTCATGGGTCGCACCGTCGACCAGGAGGTACACGCGGCGTTTGTCGAATTTCGCGCCAAGGAAGATGATAAGGTGCGTGTGTATTTCGTAATATTTCACCCAGTCCCTAATACGAAAACCCGTTTTAGTGTCTGTCCGTTCAGTGTATATACTGTCAACAAATTCGAGCAAAGAACACTTCGCGACAGAAACAACATCTCCTTGAATGTCCAGGTTTGCGCGGTCATCCCAACGCGCCTCAGCCTTCCCAGCCCGCCCAGGCCGCCCCTAACGGAATCGGTCCTCCTAATGGCTATCCCGGAACTCCCAATGGCCCGACAACCACCTCCTCAGGCCCAGCTGGTCCTGGTACTATCCCAACTCCCAACGGCACCCTCATGACCAATGGTGTCAACGCCCATGGTACTCCGTTGCAAACCCCACTTGGGGCTCTCCAGAACCGCGCTACAATGGCAACTCCGGTTCCGCCCACTGGCCCTCCCTCCGCGCCGCCAAGCGCCGTTCCTTCACGCCCGACTCCCAAGCCAAAGGCCAAGACATCAAACTCGAGCTTGCCCGCGCCCCCATTAGACGATGTGCATGCAGCTTTCGTCGAGTTCCGCGCAAAGGAAGAAGACAAGGTACGGGAAGCTACTCGGCGTTTATGTGTTATAACATACAAGCTAATAGTACGGAATAGTGCCTGTCCGTTCAATGTATTTACTGCCAACAAGTTCGCGCAAAGAACACTAGTCGCCAGCGCCAGCATCTGCTCGAATGTCCCACCTATCTCAGCGTCATGAAGGACTCCATCCCCGCCAACAACCTGCTCCACACATTCCCCGAAGGCGACGTTGCCCGATCACTTCAGATCCCTGCGCCCTCGCTGGAGCTGGATTTCCGCATGAGCATCAAAATGAACCCCAAGGTGTCTGTTGGCCCCAGCATCTGGGGCCAAAGAGAATGGGTCTCGTTCATCGGCGGTCAATGGGCCGGTCGATGGGGTAAGGGCATCGTTCTGGTAAGCCTGAATCGCCTCCAATCATTTCTTGTCAGTGTTTAACTTTTGAAAACAGCCCGGTGGTCAAGATACACAGATCGTCACCAAAGATTCCACTACCAACCTTCGCGCGAGTTATATCCTTCAGACTGTCGATGAGCCACCTGCATTTATCATTGTGCGCACAGAAGGATGGTTGACAGGCGCCAAGGATGTGCTCGAAAAGGTCATTGATGCCAATATGGCAGATGGTGTCAACCCCGGCAGCTACAAGTACCGGGTTAACCTGTCCATGGAGACCGGCGATGAGCGATACACATTCTTGAACACCTTGATGTGGATCGGCAGCGGTTGCCGCAGAGGTCATGAAGGTAGGGTTCTTTGATCCTTTTTTCCCCCCACGATTCTTCCGTACTAACTAGTCATGCAGTCATCTTCGACTCGTTCCGTGTCAACTAGGTCAATATCCTTGTCAACCGATGATGTCTTGTCCGTTATTCAGCGAGTTCGTGTCTTTTTAACTTCAGCTTCCACTTTCTGATGGGAAAACGGTGTTTCTACTTTGCCATTTCTTGATACGCGGCGCAACGTTTCTACGATTCGATTCTTCTCACCACGACTTCGTTCTTCCGACTCTATTTGTTTGATTTCGAACCATGGGTATACCCCGCCAACCTGGTTTCTCATGTGTCCGCCGCAATGAAGCCGATTGTCTGAGCTCTGCGATATGCCTGCTCTTGATTTCGTTCGTATTTTATGGTTTTTCTTCTGGTGTAATTCTTTGACGGCTATCTATCTCAAAATAGTCGGCCTTGTAAGGTATTGCTAGCCTTTGAGATGCTTCTTGTTATATTGATCTCAATTTTTCATGCCCTATCTTCACGGGGTTTTTTTCCTTTCGAGTCAAATTTCCGTCCAAATTTGATATGCAATATATTCATGTTGTCATTTCATTTTCAATGATACGAATGAACATCGGTCCCGGTCTGTTTAATTTCTCTTCTGTTTCATGGTACTTGATACAAAAAAAATCTTGTTGGTAACTATATATTTTACATTTAGCTATGAGAGCAGTAATGTCACCTTCTATATACATATATAAGGAAACATTCGATTTTGTGTAGATGTATGCAGATACCTGAATTTTCGAAGTATCTTCGGTTTGAAATAATATAGAACGGGATATATAACCGCCGTCATGTACCACAAGACCGTACTTAACGCCGACGGTATATACCTGTACGTACCACAAATATAACTTCGAATATTTCATATACCACTTAGTTGTATATCATCATGTAGAGAAATCGAAGAATTAATTTGACATTATATCCATGCAAAGCCCTTGTATACCAATACAAAAACACCGTACCAAATCCAACCAACCTGCCAAGCATATTACACTTCAATCAAAATTGTATGGTAGAGACGGATCAATCTCCGGCATACTCAACATACCAGAGAAACTTTCTGATCCAGTGAAAACAAACGGATTGAAAACCGAATCATCTGCACCCCACGTAATCGCAAACGGGTTCCCAACTGAGTTAGAAAGCGGGCTTCCCAATTGAGGTGAACTGATCCTCTGAAGCGCATTGCGCTCATCGTTGAAAAACTCCTGAGAAAGGCCTAGAAATTTCTGGTACAGGGTTCGTAATTGTACAAGGGGGTAGCTGATTCCGGTTTGAGCTAGGCAATCCGCGATAGCTTTCATGAGGTTGAAATCGCCGATGTCGGATGTCGCGACGACGTTGCAGAATAGGACTAGGTATGCCGTTGCTGGGTAGAGTAGAATCGTCCTGTGTATATTAGAGATGAAATATTTACCTAGTGTGGGTATTGGGTACTCACCAGTTCAAAAAGTTGACTGCGGTTTGCTTCTCTGCCGAGTGACACATAGATACAAGCGCCGAGAGTTCTCGGCGTGCTGACTGAAGGTAGCTCTCTGTTGAGCGGGTTGTTTGGGTGGGATCGGATTGGAGGAGGTATAGGATTCCGGTCATGACTGATTGATAGGCGAACTTGAGGGCGGACATTTCGGTCTGCGAGTCGAGTCCTTTCCACTCAAATGACAACGATGCCATCTGTACCCGGGTAAGAAATTGCGCATGAAGGAACAGGGAGTATGACTCACGTGTGTCATTCTTTGCTCGATATATTGCATCTGCAGTAGCATGTATTCTCCAGTGCTGTACAGCAACGAGGAATTGTTGAGAGCCACTAAGCTATCAGGCAGATATGAAATCACCGTATCTTGCACCCGAGCCAGATCTAGATAAATCAAGAAATGTTCGGCCATGGGAGGGTAAGTTGGATAAAGGTCGCTGAAAGTGGCTGGTAGCTGAACGTCGAGAAGGCAGCGTGAAGTTCGTGATTTGAAAGCATGGTTTCTGTCCAAAGTGTAGCACCATAGGAAACAGAAAAGCTCTTCCTCGCTTGCACTTCCACAGAGAACTTTCGTTTGAAGATCCAAGTCAATGCATGTGTTACAGGCGGCCTTGGTGAGGTCGCCGCTTAAATCGACATCTCCAGACCCTTGGTGAAGGAATATCTAGGTATGGATTAGTTCCGTCGAAAAAAGAATACAGGGACGGGATTCAGGGACTTACACCACATATGATAGCCTGTAATAGCGCAAGAGATGGGGGTATTAGCAGTGGGATCTGCTTTAATGCGGCCTGGGCGGTTGCTCGATATTCTGTGGCATTCTTCCTCAGTTCGAGGGCGAGGTCGGTGTCTTGTTCAAGACTTATCACCGTAGTGATAAACTTGTAGGCAACGGCATTAACGCAAACGGTGTAGATGATGGATTCGCGAGTTGATATGTTGCCACGAAGGAGTGAAAGACCCATATTCTTCAATGACGGGATGGAGATATGTCTAAAGTAATCCACAACGAAGACTCCAAATCTGTCCGTGCGAATATCTGGAGTTTCATGATCAGTATTGGCTTTGTAACGCATTTAGTTAAATATCGATATACCTTTCAACATCCAGGTCAGGAATTCCACAGACAGGCTTCGAGAGGAAACTTCCTCTTGACGATCATTAAGGCTGTCTTCTACCAGTGATCTCGAATTGTCAGACAATATTCTTATGACGGATAAGGCTGTTTCAAGCACACTGCGTCTGTCTAGCGTGAGACCGGGCATATGGTATAGTTGATGCCGGATTGTCATTTGCGCATCATAAACCGGATCATATAAACCCCCAGCGTTAACTCCACGTAGATCGGTGAAATCGTGAGCTGGGTTAGAGCGGAGGACTGGTAAGATTTCCGAGTTCCCTTCATCAACATGATGATCAGGCGTTACTCTTCGCCGGGAACGGTGGGAAGGGCTGCGGGAGTAAGCCTGGGGGCGGCTCTTCAGACACTTGCGCCTTACAGCTCTTTGACGATTACAGGAGATACCTGCATCCTGGCAATTGCCACATGGATCGCGCCTATCGCACCGGACCTGTGTATCTAGTCAGCAAATTGCGGATTGAATATAGGTATGTACATGTATAGATATAGATAGACATATTTCTCAAGGGGTCTTACCTTGCGCGAATGACAGAGGTCACACTGCAGTTGGCATTAGTACCGGCCAATTTGGGGGGGGGGGGGGGGAGTTTCGGGTGAGAGATACATACCACTAATTGAGGCCCCTGCTTCTCGAGTGACATCTCGGTCGACATCCTTTGCAGTGAAATTATGGCGAGAGTGGAGTAAAATAAGAGTCCAGCCTTGAGAGGTCTAAAAATAATAAAAAAGTACGATTTGAATCAGAAATTTCGTCCAGCGGAGCAAACCGACATCTGGGCAGAATAGGCAGCATTAATCGCTCTGGGGCGGATTATACTTTTCTTGGCATCCATATATATTTGTCCAAGTGTTTATTACAAGTTCATAAAGGCGAAATAGCTCGTTCAGTACTTTAGTAAAATTAGAGAGGTGATTACATACTACATCTACGTACTACATGTGCAACATAGGTGCTTCTCCGGTCAACCTGCCAAGCGTTCAGGTATGGGTGCTTGGCATTGAACTTTTGCTCTTATACTCTTTCGGGGGAACCTCGGCTTGAATTTGAATTTGTAAGCCTGAACCATGGTATGGCATTAGATAGTTTATGTATTTTCTTGGAAGAGACATGGTGTCTAACAAAGATAGTATAGTCTTGACTCAATCAAAGGACCTGCAATTGTCCACTCTCCAAGCCGGAACCCCTCTAACATTCCGAGCCTGGATTCAACGCCTGGAAACGCAGCACAAGACCCCGGTCTTCACTAGGAAATACAGTGCTCCAAAGAATCGGAAAATGGAGAGACCAGAAGTAGTCCACAGAATGATTTTAAAATACCATGCGGTTCGAGGTGTAGATGTTGACTATGTCAGTTAGTGGCTGAAAATAAACAGGAGGAACTCGAACTCAATTCAACGTACCGTTAGGCAGAGCCGGTCGATGCTGAGGTTGTTGATTAACAACGCCAGAAGGCCATTACTGAAGGTCCATAGCAGCACTAGATTTGTTCGGAATGCTTTGTATGAATCATCAAGGGCCACTCCGTCGTCCTCATCCGGTTCTTTCCAGGGAGTCAAGGCCCGCTTCACAGTGGTTGCAAATTGCTCATCAATGTCGATTTGAGGCTTGTCCAGCTCCTCAACAAAAGGCGCTTCATCATCCTTTTTGGTTTGCGCTGATGGAAGCTTCTCGGGTGCGTCGGATCCCTTTGTACCCCATGAAACATCATGCCAATTGCAAAATGCGTAGACCATCAGAACATTGATCGAGGAAGGCATTCCAAGGAAATAGGCCCAAGATGAAGTGAACATATGCCAGGGGTCGGCGTAGAGTATGCTGGCAAGGAAGTAGATTCCGTATGTTGAGACCAAGGCGATCAGAACAAGTCCACCCGTTGAGGCAATAAAACCCGATACGAGTGCCGCAAACCCATGGTCGAAATCGAATTCGAGGTTCTCGGGTGTCATTGCCTGCGCAACGAGGTAAAACGACAAGATGAGGAGATAGAGTTGGACCACGGAAAAGTAGAGGAAGGAGAGCGTGTACAGGAATTTTGATCTGTGGTTGAATGTTAGCTTTGAAGCAAAAGGAAATAGCCATCTCTTGGCCCTAATACTTACCCCTTTGGTCGATTTCCGAGAGCTAGGATAAATTGAAGCATAAGGAAGGACAGGTAACCAATTTTCAACATGTTATTGACAATCGGGGTAGCATCATTCCCAAAAGGCCACCCTTTGAATTTGTTGGTCGCACTTGGTGTTCCCACAATGTCCAAGATGACAGAACTTGTGAGCCAGTAGGATGCTAATACATGTTAGTGGTCTGGCATAGGACTCATCGAAGCCCCCAAAGAGGACCAGCAACATACCGAGTGACAGCCATGTCATAACTAACTGGCACACATTGTAAACCAATTGGACATGAAGCAATATCAACCGAACGATGCTATGGCCGCTCTTATATATCCGGTCGAAATGCATGATGGAATATAGCGATGCCGCAAAAGAGCCATTCAGCCATCGCCGCCGTTGACTTAGGAACTCTGCTGGTAGTTCTGGGACGTCTGTTTCGCCTTTCGACGCTTTCACGTACGTGAGGTGCCACTGGTTGCCAGCCTTGGCCACTAACTCAAAGCAAAGAATGCGATCTTCTGCAAGGAACATGTTCTTTTTGAAAATATTCATCCCATCAATTCCTTTCTTACCGAGCTTCTGAGCTAGCGTGTGGTCTCCATGGAAATACTGCTCTAGAGGTCTGCCCATAATAGCGCGATACCGATAGGCAGAAAAGGCACCTGGAAGTACGCTCACATAGCCAAAACTGCTCTCTAACGGCTTGTCCAGGATGTTCGAGATTTTGTATTCGAAGTTTTGCGCCGCAACCAACGGATTGAGGAGCTTCTTCCATCGGTGGCCCAGAAGCGCGTGAATTTCACCACAGGCCCCGCCGAGATTCTTATCGTTGTAGAAGGCCTGCCATAGGGCTAGCAAAGACTTAGGTCCGGGTTTTGTGCCCGCGTCGATCAAAATGCAGATCTCGGGATTCAAAATGCGCCCAAATGCATTGAATAACCACCGATGTGAGTTGATCTTCTTAGTATTCTTCTTCTTAAGGCAAAACATCATCTGTACCGGGGGTAGATTCATAGGGTCGTCTTTGTACGGGCGGACAAGCTCTTGTTTTGGGGTAACCGACAACTGTGTGGTATATTCAAACTAGAAAAAGCATTAGAATCTGAATATTTCCCTGGGTATTGGAATCCAGAAGGGCTGAGAGGTGGGAATACAAACAATATGAGCGACCGTTTCTCTTCCATCCACATCTTGTTTCATCACACCATCTTGAAAAACGCCAATGGTTGCCAGAACGTCGAGTGTATTTTTATCGCAGGGATCCATCCCATCGAAGACAAGGCAGACGACAATCTTCTGCCAGGCGGGACCACCTCTATCCCAGAACTCTGTCCTTTTCAATTTCACAATATCTCGTACATTTTGCATTACCCCATGCAAGGTGCGAGCGGTTAGTACTTTATCCTCGTTGTAGTATGTGACGGCAATGAGAAGTTCAGTGTGCCGATTATACATCGAAGGACGGAGATTATAACCATTGCGTAGCGTAAATTCATCCGGATCACATGTTGCAGCAGTGTCTAATAAGGAAAGAAAAAAAAAAGTTAGGTTATCATGATGGGGTTGAATCTGGCACATTGCGACTACTCACATCTCATTTGCGTGAACTCTTCAGGAAGTTCCCCCTCCGAATCTCGATACTCAGGCTGAATAGCATTGCGTATAGGACTTGGTACTGGATAGTTGATACTTAAGACCGAGCCTTGGGTCAACTTGATTCGCCGTGTGGGATATCGACGAATGCTACTTCCTTTGTGTCGTGGGCCCGATTCTTTGGAAGAGGAGATAGCAGAGCCCTGGTTGGAAAGGTTGTGTAATCTGATCTGATCAGGGAGGTCTAGTGATTCCATCGACTCTGGTCTGTGGCTATTGACCTCAGCATATGAAGAGGGATACGGTCGGCGAGTCACTTCACTCGAAGAGACTGGGTCGTCGAAGGGGCTGAGAGACAAGGCAGTAGAATGGGGTGGAGGAAGTAGGGAGATGGAGTGCTCATTTGAGAGCTCAGTATTCTGACAAGGGCCGGAAATGTCAGTTCGGCTTGCCGCATGTCTGGAGATCCAGCAATCTCCACTTCATATACACTTACCCGAGGCGAATGGCCATCACCCAGGCCGTCGCTTTCATCGCCTTGTCGTGCATAATGAAATGAGTAAGGCCGATTAAAAGGGTTCATGATGCACCGACCTGGACTTAATGTGGAACAACGGAATACTGAAGGTGTGTAAGCTGCAAGTCCGAGACGCAGTCCTAGAAATCCTTGCCAAGCCGGTTTGAATTAAAGTGTGACAGGCTGTACAAATATGCCGCGCAGTACACTTTGCATGGAACATCATTGAACTTGGGAAGAATTGAAGGGTCCTCCTCGTTGAAGAGAAAAACAAACACCAAGCTAGTACACACTCTCTCGCTCTAACTGAAATTGAAGATAACCGGCTATTTTAAGTCGGGACCCCACATCTTCACTAGATGGATTGGCCAATCAGATAACAAGCCCTGTACCTTAGCATGAGGCTAAAACACCCTTATTCTTTGAGCCCCCAGCCAATAGGCATAGAGCAAACTATATTATGGGTCCAATTGTCCTACTGGGTCCTCCTGGTGTTCATCATTTTCATATTTCAACATGAATTCCCTGACCGATTAAAAATAACTAGAATTCCATTCCCACGAGGCACAAAATTCTGATTACGCCGAAATTCGGGGTCACTTGGAAGTGAGACATGCAGTGAAGTTTTCTTACGTACCATTATTTCTTTACCAAATTGAGAGTTTGCAGTGTTTTAACTGCCAGATTAGACCCTTTTAAGCATAAGTGCGAGAGTTATCACTAATTATTTCCAACCATACCACTCGCCTTAACTCATCTCCCCCCATGCTGTTCAATATGAGCTCACTCGGGTTCTCACAACCCACGATGAAAGTGGAGTTGAGACTGGACGAGAAAGAGCCAGAGTATACTCCTCGAGATACAGTATCAGGCGAGGTAATATTGCATACCGAGTCGCCGGCCGACTTGTCAACCATCGTCCTGAACTTGTCGGGGACAGCCACATCCCGGCTGAGTCAAAGCAGACGCACGGAAACGCATAATGTATGTGGAAAAATGGCTACCCGGGCCGTATCTTGCATCTTGATTATGATCATTAACATCAACAACCTTCAGCTGTTCAAAAAATCTCACCGCCTGTTTCCCTCCGACCATTTGATGAATGCAAACTGCTCCAGTGTAACTATCGGAAGCGGAAATCATATTCTCCAATTTTCTATCACTGTTAGTACCAATGACAATCAAAACAACTTATACCTATCTGTGTCTAATTGGGGGTTGAATTTGTTTAGATCCCACAAGTCATCGAATGCTACAAAACCGGGCGCTGGTCAAACAAACCGCAAATTGGATGTGTAAATGTTGGCTGGCCCAAAAGCAAATCCCACCTGTTGAGGAGGACTCCACCCTCGACAGGGGGGTCAGAGTCACTGGCTGAGATTCAATATTCGTTAAGTGTGGTTGTTGCTGGCAAAAGTATCGTGAAAAAGGCAAGGAACTACCCAATTTCTCCAACAATTACTCCGCAATGAAAATTGCATTGAACTCATTGCTGACCATCATCAAGACACAAAATATCACATTTCATGCATTGTCGGACCCGATACCTTATCAACAGCCCTTGAAGCAACAATGCTTCTTCAGCGTCAACCAGCGCATCCTCGGCGCTGATTCACCTTTATCCTTCCGAATCGACACCGAACTTCGAAATGGACCCTGTCTTTTCCTCGATAACTCAATTCCTTTGAGTATAAAAATCACGAAACTTGGAGATTCGGCCTGCAACATACTGCTGAGTGCATTCCAAACCATGCTGGTCGAAACGACACACGTCAAAGCGCAAGGAACATCAGAGTCATCTACTAGCACGTGGATCGTGCAAAGTATGGCCAATTTAAATTATCCGATAGGTCTTGGAGATGTACCTGGAGACTCAACGGTCAATTTGAATGATATCATATGGGCCAACCACCGACTTCCTCCTGAGGTCACTTCAAGCTTCGAAGTTTGCAACATCAGGAGAATATACAAGCTTAATTTAAGGCTCGCATTTCTTGTTGGGGATTTCAGGGTAAATACGGCTCAACGCTTCTTGGTTATTTTGATCATGGCTAATACTTACTTTTCTTATTCAGCATCAGACCATCATCCGAGATCTCGAATTTCCTGTCTACGTTATGGGCCCAACCTCATGCTCCAAAGAAAGGAGCTGAGTTTGTTTTTTGGGGTTTTCTACATCTCTCTTTTTGCTTACTCTTTCAACCCCCTTGTGCAGCCCTTCCTTTTTGTCTGATATTCCTCCATCTCCATGTTATTTAGTGCTATTTAGCTTTACCAAACTCATTCCCTTCATCATATCTCTGTCGGTTTTATTACCAGACATGCTTTGTCTTTATTTTCTACGGTCGTTGGATAATTTCGTATACTTGATCGCTGCGTCTGAAATCAAATACTGGAATCAAAAGACAACTTCTTGGTACTGCACCCACTAAGTAGATAAATATACTGACTCGGGTTGTGACAGAATTGGTACTCCGTACCAAACTCACAAGTTGGAATCTCTCTCTAGCGCCCTGTGGGCCATATATAAGCCCACAGAGCCAGCTACTTCCTATGGCTGACTTAGTCTGTTCTAACTTCTTCTGCCCCAGAAGATTTGTGAAGATTCGGCTCCTACCGACGATACAACAGGTATGTTGTTGGCTATGGAGGGCTTATAGTATTGTGGCTTTAGGGCTACCACAGATAGACAGGTAGTTAATCAAGCATATTTTGACACCTTTAGAATAAAATGACTTCAATGTTGCACTACTTGAGGAGGCCAGCCGACGGTATGATCCTCGGGCGCTCAGCACTCAAGTTGATAAGGCCGGAGTAGACAAAACATATCTAAACTGACTCGCAAATATAGCAGTTCCTTCGAGCCTCGTAGAGTTGGAATGGGCCCAACGACTGGATCACTGCAGGGGGCTTAGCATTCGCTCCCTCCTGCCTTGGCAAACCGATCGACGGTATAGTTACCATCTGCAGTACATTTTTTTACTGACCAAGGGCAATAGGAGGCGCATTTTGTGCAGGGCCAGGTCAAGCGACCAAACTAAGCATTGCCCGAACAAATGCGAGCCCTCGTCTCAAATATATGACTTTCATTGGAATCAGAAAATGCTGGAATCTCCAATATTCTAGAGCGAAGATGCCCTAAGCCATCGGAAATGGCAATGAAACCGACTTCAAAAAGTCGAAAGCTGTCGACGACATGATTTGGAAACTTCAATAGTTTACAGTATACAACTGTGTTCTCGGAAAAGGAGTGCCGAAAGTCATGCGATTGGAAACATACGTGCCGGGCCTCCTGCCCAGCTCAGCCCGACCCACTATAAACCGGGATCAGGAGAAGGAGGCGTATAAAGTGGTTTATATTGTTTTTGTTTTTATCCCTCTCTGTGGGGAAACGGAACATGTCTTCCTTATTCACCAGTCGCATATAAATTGCCTTGGCAGTTTCATGAACACTTGGCGCAATAACAAGACTGACAACACCGACTAAAAATAGCCGTCAATAGCCTAGGGCTATGGTTCAATCAACGAAGGGTCCATAAAAAAAGGGCCAAACGACTATAAAGGGTCATATGAACCAAAGATACGACACTAAATGAAATTAAAAGTCACTCCTCGAAATCCCTTCAAATCTCAAAATCATGTCAACTACAACAACGACCGGGGCGCTGGCAACCACCACGGGTTGTGGGACCGCAGCCCAGTACGAAATTCCCATCAAAGATGCATCATGTGGAGTCCCCAACACCGACAAGTATAAAGAACTCCTTTCAAAATGCGCGAAGCCCGCAGGGGTAACTTCCTATAACGATGACTGTGCTCTCTACGCCCTGGCCATTGATCAGTCAATTCAAGATCTTACCGACTGTCTTTACGACGCTAAAGTCGCCTGGAAGGACGTGTGGTGCCACGGAGAAACCAATGCCACTGCAACGGCAACTTCGTACCCGACTGCATCGGAAACGGAAACCGCTTCGAAAACATCTGCCGACAAGACATCAACGGGTACCTCGACGGAGAACGCAGCGACTAGCACCAGTACTAGCTCTGGGGCGGATGTCTCTGTGCCCAAGGCCCATACTAGCTTGAAGGCGGTCATGCTTCTTTCAACTCTGTTTGCCTCTGCCGTGTTCGTCGGAATTTGATCATCTCCAGGTTACTGTCTCTCTGCTCAAAGATTTATCTTCTTGATGGCTGTCATTCTTTTTTTGGCTCTGGGTTTACTGCCGTCTTCATGGGCTTTTGATGGACAGTCTCAATTCTTTTGAGCTATTCGATATCAGCTTTTTCATCATGTGACACCTCTGAAGGCATAGGCGCAACTATGCAATGTACAATTAGATTTCAAGTGCTTTCTTTGTTTACTTTCTTGACACCAATCTTAATAGAATAATAAATGTTTCCTGCCATTGCACTACCACCTATTTCGTCCCCAGTCTTCCAAACGAGACTCAATTCATATAATCATTATAGAATGGCGACTGCAACTTGCGTGTAACACGGTAACAGTTTTATCCAATGGTCTAAGGCAAACCCCCATGAGTTCAAGTCTTAAACTAACAGCAGAAGGAATAAGGAGTCTATACTTAGAGTACATGGTGCACCAGCAGCTTCCCGTCGAGTTGCTGCTTGATCTGCAGGGAAAGCCCGATCTAAATCGTCGTGAGTACAAGCCCAGACTTCAATTGGGCTTCCCTGAAGTTTATACCAATCTGAATCTGACACGTCCCGTAAATTCGTTACTCATTTGGCGATGTGCTCAACAGCAGAACTCAAGCCTGTCCAGCAACAGGCTATGTAGGGGAACCAGAAAATGTAAAATGCGAAAAAGTCAAACAGACTGCGTGTTTACGTTTACTGTTCTGATGACGGCCTTCAGATTTGTACCAAGACGACCATTTGAAGCATCGTCCCCCTTGCAGAATCATCGCGCTTTTATCATTTTGTGCCACAGCATGCAGACTTCAATAAAAAACAAGGCCAAACTATTTATGGGCCTAAGTGCCAGGTGTGGACTAAATCGAAATTTCCGAGCTATCCACGCATCGCTAGAGGTAATATCATCAGACTATACATATCCACTGGCACAATCGTTACGAATACCGTTCCACACACCCAGAAAAAAGACTTCTGGTAAGAGAACTATGAAACTAGTGGCTTTATAGGAAAGAAAACGAATAGAAGGAAATCCGAACTTGGACTTGGCGTCTCCGGAGTAGTACGGCGTGGCCCAATTCTCAACGAACGACACACATGATCTAAGTCATCGTTCAAAATGTAAAAAACAACATGTACCCATTTCTAGATGCTGTTTCTTAATCCAATAGTTTCGTTGCGTGCAGATGGACAAGAGAATTGTTGAAACAAAAAAGCACCTGACCAAGCTTCATCTCCGAAGATCGACTCTGTAACACGATCAAGACTCCAGATTCGATGCCGAACATGGATAGAGGGTTCGCAAAGAAATATAAATACCATCACCCTGCTGATCTTGACTTAGAAATCCCTCTAGTACCATTCCACATTCCACATTTCCAAAATCGAGACATACCTCCAATCTCAATATGCGTTTCATCTCCATCGCCTTTATGGCTATTATAGGCGTTACTTTGGCTGCGGACAAGCCCCCTGTTATGGTAAGTTTGAACAAATTAATACCGAGCATTATTGAAGCCTCTAACCATTGCTCAGATTGGCGCCGGATTCCCCTGCAAAGCCGATGGCAGCGCAGGATACTGTGCTAGCGGTTCCTGCTTGGTAGGTTTTTTTCTCTTGTGCCGAAGCATCGTGGCATCAAAGACTAATCTGTCATGCAGCAACTTGCTCACGAGAATGAGGGAGTATGCAAGTAGACTGCGGATCTCACATTGGTTTGGATTGAGCTACAAGGCCACATTTCTGCCCAACAAAAGCCTTAGGTCATCACTAGTTCATATGTAGATAGTTGGGAGGTTCGGAGCTTTGCTTCCTTTCCAATTTAACTCTCTCCTGCCTGCCTTTGGTCCCTTAACTCACCATGCCCCATAATTTCTAACTGTGGCTGGGTTTCTGAGTCTGACGGGCTTCCTAACTGTGACGCTCCAGCGGAATACGGAAGTCCACTCGAGGCGGCCATCCGAACACACAGAGATTCTAACGTTTCTGCTGGATTAAAATGGCGGGGGCCCTGGAGTTCCTGACAGAGAAGAACTCGCATTTTTCCCTCCCCGTATTGAGCCAGACTCAGCGGATCTACGGAAGACGTGTAGAGTTAGTTGGGGTTTTGTATAACTCCGAGTAATTTAATATCTCTTTGCTTAAACTTGAAATACTATGGTAAATTTAATAATACTGTAGTAATAGCTGTCACGATCTATGTGATCACATGTTTTGCTTGTTTCCTTTATTTCTTTATTCTCGGGTTGCTACTATTCCTATTCGGGTAATGGCATACTTCCTAATTAGGAAGAGTTTGTCTTACTGGGCTTCTGCTATAAGATCCTCTGGGATTTACTACTTACTTCTTCTCTCTTTTCTCCTATCTTTGCTTGTCTAGTTGAATGCACTCTTTCTTATTAACCGAACTGGGATGTAACAGTGGCAGTAACACTACAATAATATTGCCCTATTATTCTCACCCTCGCCTTATCAATAGCATACCACCTATCGTTACTATATGATCCTATCCAGCGGTATATCAAGCACATACGACCATAGGGTGTGGAAAACAGGGCTTCCCGTCCGCTCAGCCGTACTTAAGCCACACGCCGGTGAGTTAGTAGTTGGGTGGGTGACCACCAGCGAATCCTCACTGTTGTATGTTTTTGTGTTTTTAATTTTTCTGTTCTTTTTTTAGTCGTTCGGAAACTCCCTCTTGCTGCCTCCAATTGATGGAGTATATGGACATACTCACATGGCTGGGATGGTTGAGCTAGCTCGAAAGAGGTACACTAGTCGATGCTGTTAACTGAATATGACTTTTTTGGACAAAAGGTGCTCGTGTAATGAGATCCTGGAAAGTCTCCAATAATATCTTCAGTTGTTAAATAATAGCTATGAAAGCCACGTATGGTACAAGACCTAGGATTGAGAGGTATTTGGCCCGCCTCAATTGAGTTTTGACTATAACGTTCTACAAATAGTTTGTAAGATAGCTGAAAATGAAAGTTGTGACATTTGCACGTTATGCTGTCTCTGCTCATGGATGTATCTCAATATCAAACAGCGTCACCAATTTAAACGGTTGCCAATACATATATTTCAGTCAAAATTAGAAACCTAAGATTTGTTAGCCGTTTGCAGCTTTCATGGAGTGAATGCACGAAGACCTACCCTTTTCAGTGTTACCCTCACCCATGCTCTTGCTACTGCTGCTTCCACTCTGGATAGCGCCCATGATGCCATCCATATAAGGGGCCCCACTCCACTTCTGGTGGGTGAGAACATCGACACCAAGGTCCTTTTCGCGAGCTTGAACAAGGCGAACATAGGCCAGCATACCCTCTTCCTTGAACGCACGGGAAAGTTCAGTCGTGATGGTGGCATTACTGTGCAGCCCAGCCAGGGAAATGAGTTGCAAAACAAATCTGAAAGAAGTTAGTGGATCGAAGCAAGATAGATGCGATGTTAATCTTACCCTTGCTTGGCAATATCCCAAATAAAGGACTTGAGGGAAGCCTCATCAAATCCTTGTCCCATCCAGTTGAATGAAGGGCTGAGGTTGTAAACAAGCTTCTTGCCCGGGTACGCCGCCCGCACTTCGCCGGCAAGCGTTCCGGCCTTCTGAACATCTGGGTCGCCGGTTTCAACCCAGAGAAGATCTGCGTAAGGAGCAAACTCCTTTGCGCGCTTGGTCGCAGCAGGGAATCCGGCGGAATAGTGGTAGAATCCCTCGCGAGTACGCGGGCTATCACATGACCACTGAACAGGTGTTTTGGCGTAATCATTCGCCAGGGCACGGCGACGAGAGAAGGAAAGGTCCGGGTTCTTCTTGACATAGGCCTTGTATGCATCCCGAGCAGACTGGGGAGCGCCCTCCGACTCAAGATGGGCATCGACGGCTACATATTATTAGTAAACGATCGTTCGACAGAGAATCAATAAGCATACCTTCGTCCAGGGTAACAAGCTTGTGCTTCTTGACCCATTCAAGCTCAAATGCGTCGATCTCTTTAGGTGAGGCGCCCTCTCGTTCCATGGCTTGGAGGGTCTCGGCCAGAGGTTCCACATCTGCCGTGATACCAAGGATGAATTCGTGATCACGCACATCAATGGCGCTGCTGATGAGTCGGCCACTCTCGGAATCTGTTCGGGCAATGACCAAGTTCTCACATCCCATCATATCCCACTGGAATCGGGCTGCGACCAGTCGGTTGATGTGTTCACCCATTGGAACGAGCACTTTGCCTGCAAGATGACCACACTTCTTTCCGCCGTGCAACTGATCCTCAAAATGAACAGCTGCAGCACCATTCTCTGCAAATAGCTTGGCGAGTTTTAAAACAGCCGACAAGCCACCATGGCTACATCGAGAGAATTAGTAATACTTTGTGCATTCACTCGCAACTATTAACGTACCCGGTATCACCATCGGCAACAATTGGTCGCATATAATCAGTGTAAGGTGTAGCCTTTCGCTGATCGGGGGTCATCTTTCGCCTCGCGTCCCACTGTTTCCGGTCGTGCATGGACTGGGCCTTGAACAAACGCTGGACCTGGTTCGGCACGGTATTGTAGGGATAATCGCCGAAATCGGGGGATACTTCATTGGTACTGGTCAAAAGTGAAGAGCAAGCCCAGCCTGAAACATACAAAATCTCTTGGTTGGGGGCTTGCTGCGTCATTTGGACGGGGTCGATAGCTCCCACTTGTGTGCAGAACCGATGTCAGCTTCGTCGCAATTGCAGTTCAGCCGGTCAAGGACTCACTGGTATGAACGGGCTCGCCAGCAGCCGCTCGCTCATTGAGAAGATTAAAAAGTTTCCGCGCCATCAAAGAACTGGGGTATGTTTGTTGCAAGGACCCGCGCTTGCTCACAACATCTGCCGCCGTGTAAGGACGCTTAATGCCTTCGTACCGAGAGGAATTCCACCATGATTCCACATCGCGAATCTGTTGGTCGTAGAGCGCATCTTCAGCTTCCCCTGATTTATCTTGTGTGGACAAAAGCTGGTATGCGTCCGAGGGAAGGGTGGTGGATACGGGGGGCTGCACAGGCGTCATCCGAGTATAACCGCTTGTGAATGGCCGCAATGAACGTGCAGAAACAGTAGACACAACGGGAACACGTCGGGGCAATCGTCGTATCGAGCGAAACATGGCTGGCGCAATATAAGTGAAAGAGCAAGTGAATTGAAACAGATTGAAAAGAAAGTCGAGGAAAGAAAACAAAAGTAACCTTGGAAGGGCTCCGCTTGACCTCGGGCCGTGAACATCTGGGGTTTCCCCGCCACCGAGGGAGGTCCGATGTTCGCTACATGACTAATCCTTGGCATCGACCTCGGGACACAGGCAGGTCCAAAGGGCTACCTCGACTACAACACGGCTGCTTGTACATAATTTGCCAGTGCCGTCTCCGTTCTCGATATTTTATTCAGTTCTAACAGCCTCTCTATATCTAAATACACCGCCCAAGATTGTTTATTGGCGGTCGGGTTATAGACAATACGCCCCTGAACTGAAATTTAGTTTCATGATATATCTTTTCTACCTAGGATAGCACTCGATGTTTAATATGCAAAAGCCTTGGGGAATGATTCTTTTCTGAATAAGTAGTCCTCATGCGGGTGCCCCATCTTTCATCGTCTGTGTGGTGGTACATGGTTATTGAAATTATTATTACCTACGGGTCATGGTAACCGTCCAAGTGCCTCTTGATTAGAGATGGCCTCTAGTTTCACCACCAGTGTTATGGTATTCCTCCTACAACCACCTGTATTCTGACCTTAACAACCATCAATTTCAATTGACTTGACTCTCACTATGGCCTTACATTTCCTGCACTTCCTCATATCACTTCATTTCGATACTTCTTTCTAAAGCTTATACTTAGACCAATTGTACGATGACTCACAGCACATTACTCACTTCTATCTGATATTTCAAAGGTACACTGACAATAATCAATTCAAAAGATTTAGTTCACTCTTCAAACAAGGTGATCAACAATATGCATACATATTTACTCTACTTCATGGGTATGGGTGTAAAAGCAGGCATGGACAGGTATACCGACTTAACAATGCTATTCAGAGGCTCTAATCAACACATATCTATTCAAAGTTTATATTGATCAAACAGACAGCCCCATTGAGAGATTCATTGAGGTATCGCTCAATACACCTCACACTCCATAGAGACATTCACCTTGGAGAAAGAATGATGAGCTCCATTCAAATCAACTATCAATCGCCTCAATACTGCTTAGCAACATATATAACTTCGGTAGAGCTCTCCCATCTGTTCTCTCTTCTTTTTTCTCTGTAAATATAACCAATCTCCGCCTCCTCTCCCTCTTTTCTTGTTTTCTTTTCTGTCTTTTTCGTGTTTCGAAATGGTGCTGGACACCATGGCTCCGTTCTCGAAGAGCGGCCTCCAGGTACTCGCTGGCGAGTACCTGGCTGGTCCTCTTCTGAAGTGGGACGAAATGTCCCTGTTCGACGAGTTGTTTGCCACGGGCTCCGAGCCCGAAATGTCTGTCCTGACCTGGGAGCTGATCGAGCTCCTATGCAACATGGTCATCGTCGTGGGGCCTGGCTCTCCCCAAACCTACCTCCTCCGTGTCGTCCTCACTCCCGAGTTTGCGTGGTTCGGCTTACACTGGGCAGGGATGCCACACCCTGGCAAGTACCTCTCTTCAAGAATCGAAGGAAAAACACCTACTAACCCACGGGTAGCCCAGGTGTCCACCTACCCTTCCGACCTCCTCGGCCTCCTCCACTCCCGTCCCCTGGTCGCGTCCGTGGCCCTCCACCAAAACCTGGGGGTTGGCGGGGAGTGGAAGTCCATCGTTCTCCGTCTGTGGGCTCACCTTGAGCCCTACGGCTCCTACGTACGCGGTGGCCGGCTGCAGCCCGCAGCTGGCAATGACAGCGACGCCCTTCCATCAATGGTGGACGTCGGGTACCCTCCTTCACCCGTCAAGGAGGATGTGGAGGGTGTGCTGCCGCCCATGGAGGGCGTTGAATTTGTGTCCGTCCCCGGTGTCTACATGGACACCATGGTCCGTGATATTTCTCCGGACATGGATGTCTGTGGGACGGTGTCTGCTTCCGCCCCTCCTGCTGCCATGATTTTGCCTCCCTCTCTCCCCATCGTGTCTCCCTCCCTCCCCGTCGTGCCGCTATCCCTCCCCGAGGGCGGCCCCTCCACCAACAAGTACCGCCAACGGTACTAGTTGCGTTCGTGAAGACTTTCGTGCCTGTCCCCTCACTGGATGGGGGTGTCAGCCGCCGTTTGTTTTCTTCTTTGTTTTCTTCTTTGTTTTCTTCTTTTTTTTCTTCACTGAAAGATCTTTTTCTTCGTTTCAGTTTTGTTATAAACTATATTTTCCTCGTAGCTGGTAGTTATATCTGTCGTCCAAGCGTAGTACCGTTGGGGAAATTCCCCGCACGATGTTATGTTTATAGTGATTGATACTTACTAGTAGGTATATGCATAGATACTCTGGAATGGATACTTTGTAATGAACAAGCCCATTCAACTGTAGAATTAAATCAGATATAGCCGATGCCCAGCCCGGTTGAGATTGCAATGGAAAAAGCACATCTCCAAGATCGGCACCCCCGCATTGGCTTATCATCTCCTCTTCCCTATCTTCTACCATTCGCTTTCTCTTATCTTCCTGTCTTCCCTGCCTTCGTATTTCCATCTTTTCCTCCGTATGAATGGGTTTCAACGTCGACTTGGTATGGAAAGCATTAAAATCCGATCGAATTTAGATCCGCCCGACCCGGCATCAGCGCGGGGAAAACATGGAAAGCCAAAGCAGACAAAGAGTCGCAATGGTAAGTTAGAGTCCCGCGAAGCTGCATCTCTCTATCAAGATTAATGCAGAAGGTGGCTTCATCATATTGCACCGGACAACATTGACTCGAGTCTCCACTTTTATAGGTTGCATCACTTGCAAGGCAAAGCGGTTGAAGTGCGATGAAATTAAGCCCTCGTGTCAGCAGTGCGAAAGACGAAAAGTCCGATGCGGAGGATACAAGAAAGACTTCAAATGGCGACCATTCGAGGAGACCAACTTGGCTCCTGGGCGGCCTATAGTGGCCAAGGCCAAGAAAGGTAAAGGGTGCCATGTGGAGCTCGGGTTAGACCTGATATACTCACAAATCCTCTTTAGAAAACACCTCGTCCCATCAAACTCCGTCTGTCGCCAATGTTGGCCAGACCCTTCCTACTCCGCCAACGACTGAACAATCGGCATCCCCGATTCGCATACAGTCCCACAAGTTTGGTGGCTCTCATTCGCCTCTAGGCTCTCCTTTGCATAGCTCGCCCATCAGTATCAATAGCTTTCTATCTACAGATACACGTTCCCTTGAAGAACTACCTGCCAAACGAGAAGATGCTTCCATGGCCGAGTGCATCGAACATCATCTTGATACCAATGTGTCATTGTCCGCCGATTCTCCTTCTTTCGATTTTCTCACCTTTTTGGATCCCTTTCAGGATTCTCTGTCGCTCGGAAATTCGTTGATTTATGATGCCGATGTCGATCCTGCTAAGCATATTCCTCTTGGTCCAGAACAGCCAGATCCCGATGTATCTAGGCTGAGCTTCTCTCAACTGTTGGAGGATGAGAATGATGACATTGAGGAGATCATCCGGAAGTCGGACCCAGGACTAGGCCCTTGGAACTTCACCTTCCCAGAAGAAGATTCTTTCAATTCTGATGTGCCAAGCATGTCAAGTAGCCCATCTCTACCACCGGAAAGTCCAGAAATGCTCGTCTTGCGATTTGATAAGCTCACATGTGGGATTTTATCTGTCAAAGATGGTGCATTAGAGAACCCGTGGCGAACACTTATTTGGCCGTTGGCAAAAGACACGCCTGCACTTCGCCATGCCATCTTTGCTCTGACGGCTTTCCACTCGGGCAAGCAAAGCCCCCATCTTCGGGCCCAAGGAGCAAAATACATGCGCCAGAGCATAACTGGTCTAGTTGGACAAATCCAGAATATGAGAGCGGATGCTGCACTTGCAACTAGTCTGGCGTTGGCATTTGCCGATACCTGGGACCAGCATACCCGCACATGTATTCAACATTTGCGAGGTGCAAAAACCTTGGTGTGCAAGGTCATCGCAGCCGGGATGCAAGTGGTCGTCAGCGACAATGAACTGGATCGTATCCGGTTCCTCTATAACACATGGTCCTATATGGACGTGATTGCGCGTCTAACTTCTTTGGATGAGTGTGGCCCTCAAAGCTGGGATTCTTCGATTTTCGAACTTCCCAGTGATGCAGTCCATGATATTGATCCGTTGATGGGATGTGCAACTACCCTATATCCTCTCATTAGTAGGGTGGCGAAGCTGATCCAGCATGTGCGGAAAACCCCCTCGAACACGGTGTCGGTTGTGGCTCAAGCTATGGAACTGAAATCTCTCGTCGAGCAATGGGAGCCGCCGCACTGGTTTGAGCCACCAGATGACCCAAATTCCGATGTCCAGCACAGCATTCAAGTTGCACATGCCTATCGCTGGGCTACTTTGCTGTACCTGCACCAGGCCGTTCCAGAGATACCCTCCGAGCCAGCCGACGAATTAGCAAAGAGGGTCCTGATATTGCTCGCAACCGTGCCATATACCTCCCGGACTACCATCATACAGGTGTTCCCTCTTCTAGCAGCTGGCTCTGAAGTCGACACCGACGATGACCGAAAATGGGTCTTGGACCGATGGACCACAATTCAGTCTCGCCTAATGCTAGGTGGTGTAGACCGCTGTTTGGAAGTGCTGAAGGAAGTCTGGGAGCGGCGCGACGCAATGAATGCCAGAAGAGAACTTGAAATGGCGAGTTCACGACGTGATGAGACTTTCTCATCTGGAGACAGGGAGAAAATGAGTTCGTCATTGCCAACCGATTTCCGCAAATACAGCCTCAATGGTTCCCACAAGGGCTCCACAGCAGGAAGATCAGGGAAACCTGCATCGAGGTCTGCGCGGGGTTCAGCACTCGCCTCGCTTGAAAATATTGAATTTGAACGAACTGTGCGTGGAAAATTGCATTGGGTGAATGTTATGGCTGAGTGGGGATGGGAAGGTGAGCTTGACAACTGTCGAACTATTTCATCTAACGACTAACTCTGCAATTTATAGTTTTCCTTGGTTAGCCCGACAGCAGCCCAAATCTTGGTTGCCAGTATGCATGTCGAGCGTAAAGAACCTAATATTCTTTGCATCCTAGCTTGCTGTACTGACATGACGGCTAACAAAGAAAGCAGTCTGAGTTCTTGGTCTTTTCCTGGTTTTTGCCATAAGGTTCTCATTGTTTTGGCTCTTATTTCTTTGTGCTAAGGGTGAAATTGTACTTAGCAGCCCTCGGTGTTGCCTCGAACTAGCGCGGCGTCTAGGGATCTGACTATGTTTGCTTTATTGATTGAGACTCTTTTTCTGCAACTATGATCTACTCTCTGACTACAAATTATGGTTGATCTAGGAACTAATATTTCTACCATGATGGTGATTTATTTGGCTTCCACGCCCTTATTCAACTCTCCAAATACGCGATACCCCCATACTGGAAGCCCCAAGCAACTGTCCAGTTTCTGGCCTATCCCCACGACCGCCCAATTTAATGTCCAGTAATACGAAAACATGATCAGCTCTATCAAAACCCTAGGCAAATCATCCTCGTTATCACAACGACCCGATGCATCAGCTCGCTCGCATAATTACCCGTGCCGGTGTTAGCACACCCCATGCCCGGAATACCCACCTACCAGCCCTGATGACCCAACGCAAACATTAAGCCACGTTTGCCTTCGTAGGCGCTACTCAGAAGGGCCTCGTCTGACATTATCGTCAATACTGCGAGAATGTAAACATGCCAGAGCTCTATCCTTTTCGAAGAGATCATTCTCTGATTCCTACAACATTCTCTACATTACCCAGGATTATTGCTTCCCCTACGCGCAGAGGAACCATGTCCGGAGTCGGATTCTAGGGTGGGTTCGATATCGATTCATTTCCTGACATAACATGTCCTGATCCTGACAAATTGTCATATCAGGTCAGTTGGGTTAGACGTTCAGCCAATTGTGTCTTTGACGTGCTGGTTTTGAGATTGCTGTTGGCTCTAAAATCTACCAGCAGAATGACGACAACCTCTTGTGCGCTTGAGTCTATCTTGGATGAAATGATATTCATTTTATCTACTTTTTGAAGATCCCCCGGCTGCGTGTCAGTGTCTGGTCACTCCCACCATAGAGCTTGGGAATTCTTCAAAGTCCAATATTAAGAGATTAAGACTAATATTCTGATAGTAGCTACAGGAGTTTGATTATTGGTGAGCGCCCCTGTGTCTAGAGGCAATTACTCCCCGGGAGAACCCCAAAGCCCACTTCCAAGGTTGCCCGTAGCCCGTAGTTGATTTGTAAGTTGAGGGTTTTAGAAGTTCGGATTTATGTACAAGATAATTTACAATGCGTGCACAAAACCCACGTCCCTCTCGATAAGGGAACACAAAGTGCTCGGCCTTTGCACCAAGAATAGGCACGAAATGTTCACCCTCACAAATCTCCATAGCCCTTTGATAAGCAGGCCGATCACCAATCCGCTTGAGATAAGCCAGAATGTTCTTATGCTTCTGCTCATCAAACGCAATGGGGCAGAATCCCCTCATTGTGGTGAGAGTGCAGATCGAACCAGATAAGATCCGGTTTCACTGAGTCTCGCCTCAATCATTGAGAGCACACCCTATAGCTTCAAATTGCCCACCTTGGTGTGCGCTGCTTCAGGGTCATTGCTCAAGCACCGGGCCATCAGCACGCGGAACAAGGGTGGCTGTAGGGAGGCATTTGCCCATTGGTACCAGTCTAGGAATTTGATGTATTCCTCACTATCCTTGGGTGTGCCCGCGAAACAGCCTTCTCCGTAGGCGGCAGTAATGTAGTCGATGATTGCGCCTGATCCAGCGAGCACGATCTTGTTTTTCGTAAACGGGGAGTTGTCATCTTCGATCACCGGTGTTGTGCCAGAGGGATGCAGGTCTTCAAGTGATTGAGGGGCAAAGATAGGGTCGCGCTTGGTTAGACAAAGTCGTAAAATTGTAAAGAATACCGAGTTGTTAGGCTAGTACCTGTTGACCAGGCGAGACATGATAGTGGAGGGGGCTCAACACTTGAAGGCGGGAGTTTCTCAATAATGTACAAATGACAGCACCTCCTTGCTTGCCATTTGCCCAGGATATAGTCAAACCCATACGTTGTTTGGTTTCAGGGGTGATAGTCATAGAGATTGTCGTGTACAGGTGGGTAGGGATATTGGTTAAACTCGCTCTTACCTTTTGTCGTTGCCATAGTACATAGTACACCAATATGCAAGATCTTCCCCTAGCCTTCCTGCACTGTCGACCTATTATTTTCCCATTTCTCGAATTTCGAGCACGAATATGTGCTCCCATACCATTTTTCATTAATATATTATGCCAAGCATTATTGAAACCTTGGATGACAAGCAGTAGTGCCATGGATGTACCGGCTGTGGTTCCGGGGTTGATGGGGAAGGGCTAACCGCATCAAGTAAAGGAATCCTCCCAAACTCAGCATCTGTATTTCCCTATACTCCGTACTCTGTACTGCGTCTTATCACGCAAAGTAGGCTTTCTATAAGATCGGAGATTTTTCCGAAAAGCAATCCTGTCTAAATCGGTAGTTTTCTCGCCATAGTCCCCCACTCTACCATTTCAGGTCTTTTTCTCCAAACTTTCCCCTCGTCGGCAATCCCCTCATTCTCTCCATAGATTTCTCCCCGTTCTCTGCTGGACTGCCTAGTCAGGACATCAGATCCGACTATTGCTTTTTCTCCTGATTGAGTTGCCCTGAGATTTAGGATGTTTCTTTTCCAAGCACATCCCCTCATTTCACGCAATGGCTGTATAAAGCAGAGATAGTTCCCGAGAATTGACTAGATTATTGATTTATCTCTACATTACATTAGTCTTCATAGTCATACTGATTCCACCATGGCACTGCCATTCACCTACCACGCCAAGGCGCAATCCACCTTCAAGCCGCCGCTTATCGCAAATGAGAACGCCTTCTTAGGTGATGTGCAATCAAGGTACAGCTGATAAATAGTGTGCTAGGTAGGCAATTTTGCTGATATACTACAGCGAGAACGAAAACCCAGACAAGCCCATGTCATGCGGCTTCTACCGACTCGAAAAGGGCACGCCCCTCGTTTACACCTACACCTACGATGAAATGAAGATTATCGTCGAGGGCAGGTTTGAGATTGCAGATGAGACGGGCCAGAAGGTTACGGCGACTCCGGGCGATGTGTTTTATTTTCCCAAGGGGGCCAAAATCACCTTTACGACGGATGATTATGGACTGGCGTTCTATGTGGGTACCCAAGGCTGAATTTTGTATCGTATACGAAGAGACTAACAAAACTAGACTGGCCAACGGAAGCAGGGTGCTGCTTGAATAGAGAAATTTAATTTAATTGGAAATTTCGGCTTTTAAATTTTTTGGTTCCCTGGTTGTCATCAATAATCGGGGTCCCCGTGCCTTCAATCCATGGAACTCTCTCCTGGGTTGAGTCGGCTATTCCCAATTCGGTAGTTTACTTACATCCCTTGCGATAGCTTCAAAATTCATGTGATTGCAACTTGGGCAACTACAGCATATGAATTCAAGGGATTGACCGGACAATAATTGCTTATTCACCGAACACGGACCAAGATGTGCGACATTCGCTAATCTCATGGAATATATGTATGCAAAAGTCCAAAAAATCAGAGTGTCCCGACCATCGAGTGGCTGTTTCAGGTTCGACTAGAGTCGATCCCACTTCAGAGGAACCGTCAAAGCCCAATATACGATTGGAAGTGGAGATGATTTTCAGCTCGCCTCGATAAACTCATCCACTATGCTGGGATTCATAGGCGGGTTTTGCAATTTGTATGACGTGGGGGAGTTGCTACAGCAACTCTGTGAGGAAGGGGGGGGGATTATCGAGGGGAGTGGATTGTAGAAATTGAGAATCAAGATCCGTTCGATCTTAGGTGGAGAGTGATCGACTGTGAAATAATAAACATAAGCCAGATTCCTGAGACAAAGGCATTTTTCTTTTTTTCCCTCCTGACAAACAGTCACTTTGCCTTTGTTCACGCCCAATTAGTCTCGGCCTTATCAGGTCACAACACAACCCCTCTATCGCTCCATCGCTCCTCCATCAACACCATGGCCATTATTTCAGAGGACCATCTGGGTCTACGACTCCCTAATCCACCGCCGCTGTTGCATACTCGTGGTCAATTCGATCGCCCCTCGACTCCGGCCGATGGATTTACCAGTCCCACACAGACACCGCAGGGTAGCCCCAGCAAGTCAAGATTGCCTCCGGGCGCACTCGATCTGCCCAATGTCTTCGACAAGGCCATGAAGTTGACTCCCACCTCTCCCTCCAAATCGACATATAACCACTACAATCATCCGATGTTCTCTGCAGGCAAGAGTGGCGAGGATTTCAACGAGAGCGTTATCCACCAAACCCCTTCCAGCCCAACGCGCAGAGCCAACAAGGAGAATACACCCCCCAACCCAACGCGTCTAACGAAGGACCTGGGATCAACCCCGACGGCTGCTGCACTTTCACGTCGGGAGCCATATCAAGCACGCGATGAAACGACCAGACGTCAGGTGCAGATGCGCGGCCTGACCCCCGAGGAAATGGAGAAGCTAGCACAGCCAAAGGTGAAGCGCCTCGTCAATGTCACCCAACTCTGTAAGTGCGGCCCAACCCGACAATATAAGATAAATCGACTGACTTAGACCCGGGAGACTTCCTTGACCATTACTTCGATCTCCTCAGCTACGTTCACAACCGCCAAACCCGCCACACACAATTCAAAGCCGCCTACCCCGATCCCCCTGCCACCCCTGACGAAGAGCACGAACCCGCCCTCCTAAAATACCTCGGTCGCGAGCGCGCACACCTACGAAAGCGTCGCACACGTCTCCGCCAGGGCGACTTCCAGATTCTGACTCAGGTCGGTCAGGGTGGGTATGGACAGGTGTATTTGGCACAGAAGAAGGATACCCGCGAAGTATGCGCATTGAAAGTCATGAGCAAAAAGTTACTTTTCAAGCTGGATGAGATCCGTCATATCCTAACCGAGCGCGATATTCTCACTGCAGCCAAAAGCGAATGGCTAGTCAAGCTGCTCTATGCCTTCCAGGATGATACGCAAATTTATTTGGCCATGGAGTATGTTCCTGGTGGTGACTTCCGCACGCTGCTGAATAATACCGGTGTGCTCCATAATCGTCACGCCCGTTTCTACATTGCTGAAATGTTCAGCTGCATTGACGCGCTGCATGTTCTGGGATACATTCACCGTGATTTGAAGCCCGAGAATTTCCTGATCGATTCCACGGGCCACGTTAAGCTGACCGATTTCGGTCTGGCGGCTGGAATGTTGAGCCCAGGAAAGATCGAGTCAATGCGCGTTAAGCTCGAGGAAGTCGGGAACACGCCCGTTCCTTTTGGTCGACCCATGGAACAACGTACAATGGCCGAACGACGACAAGGATACCAGTCTCTGCGCCAGCGGGAAGTCAACTACGCCAAGTCGATTGTCGGATCGCCGGATTACATGGCGCCGGAAGTTCTCAAGGGCGACCAATATGATTTCACTGTGGATTACTGGAGCTTGGGATGTATGCTGTTCGAGGCGTTGGCAGGCTACCCGCCCTTCGCGGGCGCGACCGTCGAAGAGACATGGCAAAACCTGAAGCGCTGGCAGAAGGTGTTGCGGAAGCCCGTTTATGAGGACCCGAACTACTTCCTCTCACGGCGGACGTGGGATCTCATCACGAAACTGGTTGCTGGGAAGGAGCAGCGGTTCAAAAATATGAAGGAGATTCATGCGCATGACTATTTTGCCGAGGTCGAATTCGAGACTCTGCGTGATCAACGCGCTCCGTTCGTGCCTGAACTTGATTCCGAGACTGATGCTGGGTACTTTGATGATTTCAGCAATGAGGCAGATATGGCCAAGTACAAGGAGGTCCATGATAAACAGCGCGCACTGGAGGATATGGCCGATCGCGATGATAAGATGAGCAAGGGCTTGTTTGTCGGGTTTACTTTCCGGTATGTTCGATTCGAATCTATACTGGATAGGTTTATCTGTATGATCGTTCTCTTACTGACCACTCTAGTCACCGCAAACCCGCCACCGACAGCAATGGCCGCAGCAGCTCACCACGGAAGCCTATCGCGACGGATGGCACATTCGGGACAATGTTCTAGGTTTCTGACCAAGTATCCAGATTTCACATTCCTATTCGGTCGGCTCTTTTCTCTTCTTACGTTCCGCTGGTGCATGCGCGACTCCGAGCTGGATCTTGGTTTCCTTGTGCCAGATGTCCCAGTACTGAGTTTAATGGCTCATGTTTTCATCTTCTCTCTTCTTTCTATTTCAACTTCAACATCATTTTCAAGTTGCAACTTGCAACACCATACGTCTTGTCGACCCGTTCTAGCTTCATGGTGCGCTTGGAGTTGGTGAAATTCGATTCTTGTATGATACAGCCATAGAACAAACATGGCGCAGTTCCTGGCTTCTGCTAGTAATAGTTTCATTTTAGGGAATATGGAATTTGAGTTCGATCGTAATCAAATGTCAAGTAGACTATATACCGATTACATCTCGCAGTAAAGAATCGACTCTGTTAGTTGTCAGGAAGCTGGCGCACCATGCGCAGAATCTCGGACTCGTTGTCTCCAATCACAGCACGGCCATTGACCCAGTCAACTGTCTGTGGAGTAAAGCATTAGTAAAACACATCCAGACATATCTCCAACATAACAATGGAAGTAAGAAAAGGTGGGCACATACAATAGGTCTCACGAAATTTTCATTATTCTCCTTGAACTTCTTCAGCGCATCCTCCGCATCACGGGCACCCTTCACCAACTCTGCAACACCATACGTCACCTTCTCAACCTGACCACTGACACCACTGACGGGCGAGACATAGTCGAGGATACTGCGAAGCTGGTCTGTTGTCGGGGGAGAGGTGGTAACCTCCAGCTCGAACTCGCCGCGCTGTTTCTTTGAGTGGGTGGAGTGGTCGCTGGCCTGGTCTTCTGTGGCAGTTTCGCTGGCTGTTGCGGAGGCTTGTTTCAGGATGTTGAGGACTCGGGTTGAGGCTTGGATGGAGGGGGAGTGGAAGAGGGTGATTGGGTCGAGGGTTTTGCTCTGTTTTTGTGTTAATTGGCAGGTTGGGGACTGGGGGATGGATTGGTGGATTTGAGCGGGGGTTGCAGAGGTGGACGTACGAAGCGGAACATCTTGGCGGTTTGGATATTTGCAATTGATGGTGTTGTGGTGGTAGAGGAGGTGGATGAAGGTGGAAGACTTGGAGTTGAGCTGGGCGGCAGTTCCTGGATGATGTCATTTGCTGCCTCGGGTTGTGCCGGGCTACGTAAGCTGTTGGTCAGGGTGAGTCAACTACATTTGTATTTTATCTACTTTCTGAGCATATGCTACGGAAAACTTCGTTGGAAAATGCCACGGGGGATACAGAATTGGTTTCTGTAATTAGGTGTCTGGCCCATAACGTAAAGCGACATCACTATGTCCATCCAACTCCCAAATCCCCATTTTGAGAGATTTTGAACCTTTCTCAATCTCTCAGATTCCATCTTTGCGGTATAACTTCTGATCCTGATTAATTGACTGTCTCCATGCAGTCGATTAGACCCATTGTGTGGTAGCACTGACCGCTGTATTCAACGGGCTCAAGAACACAGGCTGTTGGGGATTGCGCCGAATTTAGGGGCTACGTGGTATTGTACCTCGCTCGCTGGAGGTGAGTATTAGACTCTCGCCTTTGGTAGACGCCCTTGACCGTGTCTGTATATACTGGTAAGTGTCAGGTAAGTGTCAATTACGCAAGAAGATACACGTACCAGGCAACAAAAGAACAAACTCTAGGGATTATTTTGTCCCTTCATAAACCAAAGTTCTCAACATGTAGATAGATCCCCTGCGCGCCAGTTCCTTTGTGCACAGCTCGTTCATCACTCAGAGAGACCACGCTACGGCGGACATCATCTGCTAGGCCACGAGGTCCACACACAACCACGGCACTTTCACCTTCGGCCTTCTCCAGGACCTTGCGGATGATAGTTCGTGGCTTGGGACGACCAGAGACAATATTGGGATAAATGATTGTTCTGCTTGTGAATTTTTCAGACTGAAGGGCCTTCGCATCCAGAGCAGCCTTCTCATATTGAACACGTGCCGGGCCGGAGCAGGTACAGGCACCGGCGGTACTAATCTCCTCGTCTTCAACTTGGGCAGTGCAACAGCAGCCTCCACCAGGGAGACACCCTCTACCCGTGACCACGGGGCCTGGAGTCAATGCTGACTCGGCAGAGACAGAGTGAATCGAGATATTGTCTTTCTCGAAGGTATTCTTGGTCTCACCTTGTGTAAAAGTCTGAATCGCGGAGAGAGAGTCTGTCTGCAATGGTAGTGTGACAGAGCCAGGCGGATCTAGCTTTTCATCACATGTGATATAAATACTAATTTCAATCTCCCTCTCGAAACTTAAATGGGTACGTCGACACTCATTCACGTCTGCCAACAGAGATTGCAGTTCGGCGTCAAAATAAGTCAGCTGAGAACGTGATTTGATTACCCAGACAAAACGCAACCGCTTGGTGGCTGTTAGACGAGCGAGACGAGTGGGTATCTGATCCTTGCTGCCGTTGCTCTCCATCTTCCATGCTGAGACAACGTCCCGCAGAAGAGGTATCGTGAATGTCGCACCCATGCCACCCGCCAGCAGTATAGCACTATCAAATTGACGCAACGGCCGGATGCTTCCATATGGCCCTTCGATGAAAACGGTCGCAGAGGACATGCTCGTCACATGTCCATCCCCCAATAGATTATCGCTCTTTGAGGCATAGCGGAAAAAACTTCTTGTTCCCCCGTTCTCGGCGCGGATGAAAAACTTCATCTTGCTATCTTCTGGGATTGATGCGATAGTGAATGGGTGACATTGCAATGGAACGACGGAGTGGCAAGTGAGGAAGACATGCTGACCGGGTTGCCACCCGATACCGGGGTTTTCGATAGTAACACAGGTGACATTTCCTGGTAGTGGAGTGAACGTAGCCGAGTGTGCCCAGAGAGCGTTGGCCTTGGTCTTTCGGTGGAAAATGGCCAAGTTGGCATACGCACCCCAGGTGTAGCGAGCAACCCTATCGAAGACCACAAGCCCAATCGGGATCCACACCCAGATCTTGACTTCCTCTGGCGCATGCAGCCATACCGCAACAATAAAGCCGACAAAAGTGACAAGATGCTGAATGACGAAGAACTCATAACTGAGCCGACGAATTGGCGCAAAGGAAGAGACCACAATAAAGGTCAGGATAACCCACGCTGCAAACCCACGCTTTGCTAACGGATCGTTGTAGAGCTGGTACGTGATATAATTCCAGCGAGCCCAATTGCGGAACCAGAATCCCATATGGATGGTAGTAGTCAGCCACAGTGTCCGGGTGACCCAGCGATGGTACCAGTTCAGTCTGACGTAGCTCATTCCTGCCAAGAACCCGATAATGTTCTGCCTGCCTGACAGCAAAAATATCAGTGGCAGCTGGCAGATTGCAATGAAACCAGTGCGGTAGCCGACATTCTCCCATTTCCATGGGTCAAGTGTGTCCAGCTTGTAGAAACAAAGGATCATGACTACCACCAGGTTGGCTAGCATGATCAGAACAGGGCCAAGTGGCGGGAAATGGAGGGTCAACCCTCCGAGTCTGAGCGGTCGTGGGGTGGCATAGCTGACTTCGCGGGCTGTTGCTGTGATGGTGGCGTAGATATTGAAGAACAGTGATTTTGGTTTGGCAGGCGTGAGTGAAGAATCTCGCAAGCTGATTATTATCAGTCTAGATCACTGGATGTCGAGATTAAACATACCGATGCCGAGCAAGAACGCGATCCACCACATTAACGAGTGTCGCTGCACCGACTACACTTCCCACGACCGCCCAGTACATCTTTTGCAGGGTGAACAGACTGGGAATGCCATCACCCATGGACATTGAGCCCGCAGGCATGTCACCCATTGACATGGACATCTTGCTGAAGGTGTAGAAGGAAGCAATCAAAGTCTACTAAGCTAGTGTAGGTGAACAGTCCCCTCGGGCCCGATGACAGGGCAGATTACCAATATTATGCTCAACCATGCTCACGGGTGGGACCGCCATGTGGGCACCGTTTTTGCCCAATGCGTCAATGCGTCAATGTCTAACTTGAAATGTTCTTGTTGTTCTTGTTTTCTCACTTTTATGTTCTTTTACTCTCATCACTCTCATCAATCATGGAAGGCATGGATATGGGCAGCTCTACACACAGTATGAGCTCGTCAAGCTCTATGAGCATGACCATGGTATTCCAAAACACCCACGACACGCCTCTTTTCTCCAATACCTGGACTCCTTCATCCTCGGGTAGCTTTGCAGGCACATGTATCTTTTTGATTGTTCTCGCTATCATTGACCGATGCCTCATCGCGTTTAAAGCAACTATGGAGCGCCACTGGCTCGCCACGCATCTCAACCAACGATATGTTACTGTAGCTGGGAAAAGCACCGAAGCTGGCAACATTGACTCCGACCCGGACGCGAAGATCGCATCTCTCGTCACTGCGCAAGGTGTTGAGGAATCAGTCAAAGTTGTCCGCAACATCACCCGTGGGCCAATTCCCTGGCGGTTCAGCGTTGATCTACCGCGGGCTTTGCTATTTCTATGCATTGTGGGCGTATCATATCTACTGTACGTTCTAATACTTACTGGTATTATTCGAATGAACGCTAATATCATGTTTAGAATGCTGGCTGTCATGACTATGAACATAGGCTATTTCTGCTCGGTACTTGGAGGCGCTTTCCTCGGAGAATTAGCGGTCGGACGCTTCATTCAAACTAATGAGCACGGACACTAAGGATCTTTAACTTCGACTTTCTCTGACATATTTTGCTGCATGTTGAATTATTTATGAGCTTGAGCAGCATTTGTCTGGCGTTATAGGGAATAATACTTTGGGAATAATATGACACGGATTGACTTGGCCCGCTTCTCCCGGAGTCAGACACAATAAATTGTTCTCGTCATCATAAATCTCTCTTTTTCGCTCATCCATTCCACTTAAATCCTTCGCTATATCCGGACCTTAGCCCAGAACTGCATGCAATCCCATGACTAAGCCCTGCGCGCGCAATTGAGCTAATTTACTAACCCTATTTGGGCTAGTCCCATCGGGTAATATCCACCTTTGGCGCTAGCGTTAGGCTTTAATTTACTTTTTGAGCAAGTATAGTCCGAGCCAAAACAGCAGGTCCATGTCATTATGGACTGTAATCTGAATGATTATTGTCAAAAATTGGAGGGTGTATTGGAGTGTGCTTAAGTGCACAGATATATAATTGTCGAGTATATTGTAGCAAAGAAGCAAGTGAGAGTGAAGTGCAGTGGGAGCCCAAAGATCACTTTATTGAGCAGGATACGGATGTCGGAATATTCCGAAACATGCAAAAGCTCAGAGGGGAAATGACCATGACTGCCGAGATCTGGAATCCAACGGGGTTCACAAGTGGACCCTTTTTTCAGGTCCCGCTAACTCGCCCACCTTGTATATTGCAAGTTCGTATAGAAGAGTTCAAAGAGCTGGGTTCTCCCACTTTTTCTAGTGCATTCACTCCCCTTCAACTCATTTTCTGTCCTTTATTCCTCTTCTCCGTCTCCCCCCTTCAACAATATACTCATAATGAAGTTCTCCCTCGTCGCCTTCACGGCCATAGTGCCCCTCGCCGCCGCGCACTTCAAGCTGATGTATCCCACCTCCCGTGGCTTCGATGAGGATACCATGGCCAATTTCCCCTGCGGTGGAATGGGCCAGTCCTCCAATCGCACCAAGCTACCACTGTCCGGTGCCTCATTCCCCGTTGCTCTTGAGATGCACCATTCCCAGACTGCCGTGGAGGTCCTTCTTTCTCTGGGCAGCGATCCGGGAGACAACTTCAACATTGTCCTCTCACCAACTTTCCAGGTCAAAGGCCTTGGCGAGTTCTGTCTTCCTCACGTCGAGATCAATCAGAAGCTCATCGGCCGTAACCTCACCAATGGAATGAACGCTACCCTTCAGGTACAGACCAACGGTGACCCAAGTGGTGGCCTCTATGCTGTATGTTCACTTTCTTACTTCTTCCTCTTTGGCTCTTTGTGGCGGTATACTAATGCAATATAGTGCGCCGATATTCAATTTTCCTCCGACGTCACATACCAGACACCATCTGCCTGTAGCAATAACACCAATCTCGTTGCCACCGCTTTCTCCAAGGATTCTGCTGCGCGTAATGCCAACGAGTCTACTGCTGAGGGCCAAGCACAGAGTGGATCGTCGTCCCCGTCCTCCACTTCCAAGGGTGCTGCTATGCCGATGCAAACCGCCGCTTGGGGGGTTATTGGTGCTGCTCTCATCGGTGGCATTGCTGTGCTGTAAAAGCTAGTTTTTTAATATTTTGCTCTAATTTTCTTTGATCTTAGAGTTTAGCGATGCATAATGAGCAATAATATCTTGTGCCCTATCATTTCCTACTCATAGAAACACAGTAAACACTGGCTTTCTAATTATGCTATAACCACATTACCCACAAAATCTAGTATCCTACTTGCCGTCCTACTCTCCTAACCAAGGTATCTTGGTCATACCTTGGACTGCGCCCATTTGGAAAAGAAATGACTATTCGATGACTTTGTTCAACAAAATTGTCTCAAACAAAATACCTTTTGCAAACACAATTTTTTTGATGGCCATTCGCAAATAGATACTTTAGCAAACCAGTACATATCTATATGATCCAGCATCCCATTGTCGCCCTTTTACGGCAGTAAATATTGCCTTTCGTGGGGCAAATGGGTATAGTATAATATATCACGTGTGCGGGTAGATTAACCTAAATCAAGCAGGAAAATCGATCAGGGGCCTTCCACTCCATACATTCTAGTCATCCAAAAAGCAAGAGAGGATTGTTTGCAAGGCGCTGGCCATAGTTTATCATGGAGGGCTTTGAGATACTGCGTCCCGTCGGTAAGTAGATCCTAAAAACAGTCGGGAACCTTTTCCGAACGTCAACAATTCCTGACCCCGTCAAGGTCGATTGGAACAATATTCAACGTCGCGCCACCAAGTTGGATTCTACTTAAACGTTGCTGTATCAGCAGCATATCTCCTACCAGACTCATTCGTGCTTCCTGTCAAAGACTATGTCTATCAGGCATGCGAGGCCGCAATCCTCGAACATCCGTCGCTATCCGCCATCGTGGCAGACGATCACACACAAGACCCCTATTTTGTGCGGCTGCCAGAGATTAATCTTGACCAAGCTGTATCTTTTCAGGACAGGAAACCGGGCTTGTTAGGTACCGAGGCCGATGGCGAGCCTGCTCCAGATCTTGACCTGCAAACCTTACTTGCAACCCAGCACAACACGCCTTTCAGGGCTCCAAATCCCTTCTGGAGAATCTGCATCCTGCGAAATATAGATGATGAGCGGCAATTTACCGTGGCATTTGTGTATCACCACGCCATTGGCGATGGAACCTCCGGGAAAGCCTTTCATCAAACGTTCCTACGAGCCCTAAGGACAGTGGACTCTCCGGACCAGACTAAATCCGTCATCAAGTCACCGGGGCTCCCTCTCTTGCCAAATCTTGAGATTGTGCACCCAGGATCTCTTTCCTTGCCTTATCTTGCCAAGAAACTCTTCCAGGCAAAAATCTACTCCCGACGGCCCACGGGTCTATGGACCGGCTCCAAGGTCCTGGTCCCCTCTCAAACCCGCCTGCGTCTTGTGCCATTCTCCAAACTACTCGTCACCACAGTAAGAGACAGATGTCGAGTAGAGGGTACGACGATCACTGCACTTTTGCAGACGATCGTCGCCCGCTCCATCTTCGCGCACATCCCGCCCGAGTTTACACTGCTCGCCTGCACTGGCGCGCTCTCAAGCCGCCGCTGGCTGCCAGAGGTTATTACTGATGAGTCAATGGGTGTCTGGGTCCAGGACTACGAAGAGACGTATTCCCGAGCGGCAGTCGCACTGTCTGATGGCTCCTTCCCGTGGGAAGAGACCAGACGGTCTCGCAAGACGATCCAGTCCGTCCTGAAAATGGAGGGCAAAAATGCCAGTACGAGTCTGCTGCAGTTTGTCGATGATTTTCAAGATGAGCTGTGTTTCTCCAAGGTTGGCAAGGACCGCGAAAAGAGCTTTGAGGTGTCGAATGTTGGCGTTTTAAACCCGCAAACGAATCCCGACCTACCTTCCATCCAGGGGATGGTGTTTTCCCAATGTGCCAGTGTGATGGGTAATGCTATTGAGTTATCGGTTGTCACTGGTGGAGATGGATGTTTGGTGTTAGCTGTCTCTTGGCAACAAGGGGTTGTAGAGGCTGATCTCGTCAATCAAGTCATTGAGTCGACTAAGCAGGACTTATACTCTATTGATGGGGTGTGATCACCGGGGATCATTGTTAGTTGGGTATGTATGTCCTTTATAATGTTTAATAATGCATCAATCGAACATTTCAAGGCCGCCATGCCCAGGTGGAGTTCATCTTCGGATGCTGTTATCAAATGGGCGGTGAGAGGTTGATAACATCGGTGGCAGAATCGTGGGGGAGCCAACCGTCGGGGAAATCTGTCGAGTTTTCCTTCAACCAACTCTTTTTTTTACGTCTCATAACATGTCGGCCTTCAATATGATTCGTGATCCCTACGTCGTTCCGGCGCTCACAAAGCACACCGCTACCGTTATCATGGCCCACGGGCTAGGAGATAGGTAAGTTCATCGCCGAAGCGGATAGACGATAGTACCAAGTCTGACAGTATTTGAATATAGTGGTGCCGGATGGTATGAACCCCCCCATCGATTTCCTAGTCTAAGCCTTGTAGTCTCGTCGCTTATCATCGGTTTCTAATAGGATGTCCCTTGCCCAGACCTGGCGCCGCCGCGGCATGTTCAACGAGGTGGCCTTCATCTTCCCCAATGCGCCCGAAATCCCGATTACAGTTGTATGTGAGCTTCATATATATCATAAATTGAATCCCGATTGACAAAATATTGCTTAGAACATGGGCATGAGCATGCCTGGATGGTACGATATCGCCAAGCTTGGCGGCAACGTGAGCCCTCCATTCCAAGAACCGCTGAATAAACTCCTAGCGCTAACCATAATATCCTTATATCTAGATGTCCCTAGAGGAATCCATCAGCACCCAAGACGAAACAGGAATTCTCCGTTCCCGCGAGTACTTCAATCACCTTATCAAGAAAGAGATGGATAAAGATATCAAGGCTTCGCGGATCATCCTGGGCGGGTTCTCTCAGGGCGGTGCGATGTCCCTGTTCGCCGGTCTGACTCACAAAGAAAAGCTCGGCGGTGTCTTTGGTCTGTCATGCTACATGCTGCTGAGCGATCGGATTAAGAACTACATGCCCGAGGAGTGGGCCAACAAGAAGACCCCGTTCTTCCTTGCTCACGGTCTCGAAGATCCAGTTGTTCCATTCGCTGCTGGAAAGACTTCGATGCTTAAACTTAAGGAACTTGGCCTAGAGGATGTTTCCTTCCACCAATATGAGTATGTTTTGGACGCTGTTGTTCCGGTGATAGTCTGCTAATTTGATATTCCTATTGTAGGAATCTTGGTCACTCGGCGACCCCCGAGGAGATTGATGACCTCGAGAAGTTCATTGAGAAAGCCCTTGCTGCTCAAGGAGAGGGCAAGGCTTCTGCTGGTTTATGACTTACTCAAGATCAGAGCGAGAACATTGGCCTATGGGGATATACCTTGATCGTCGGGTTTGTGGTGCTGCTTTTTGCTGTCATCTGGTCTAGATATCAATTACCACAACAGCAACAGTCCACGCAGAAGCAGAAATAACAACCCCAACCCGGGTTCACCTTGGGATTAATAACAATGTAATTCAAAGATACCCTGAAAGCTAGAAATATTGCGTGGTATTGGTTCATTTTACACGGTTCAATTTCACAGCTAGTAGTCATAGGGTACAGGACAGGCTCAGCCCTATAGGGGAGGTCACAGGTGACGAGGTTGCTACTGAGTAGGCTGCGGTGGTCAATGTTGTCAACCCGCTGGCCAGAGCACCCGTATATACCTACCATAGCCAATAGTACGCCGACGCACTTCTTATCTAGCCATGGATCGGCGTCGACTAACCCCGCATCGCCTTCCGGCCTTGTCTAATATCGTTAGATCATCGTTAATTGGGTGATTCCGATGGCGTGAAGCGGTCCTGGATATATATACATGCTGAGATCACGAAGTAGGCCGAGAGAGCGCGTGTGAAGCATTTATAAAAGGGATCGGAAGTGCGCTTACCGAGCTGGGGTAAAATAAATTCTTGCAGTAGACTTAGAATGAACAATAAACACCTTACTTTTTCACTGGGTTTAACAAGAAAACGAATGACTGAATACGTTTATTTATTATTTTCGACCATGCTGTACTCAGATTTCTAAGACAACCAATTAGTAGGTCGTGGAAAGCGTCAACTCTCAAATAACCGTCTTATCGTTCATTAACATCATTTCTCTCTTCAAACGGTGTCTTTACACCATATCTTTGCCCGGTTAACCACTTCTTCTGTTGACCGGATTTCAATTTGTCTTCCTAATATCGATTACCGATTGCAGATCCCACATTTTACGTTGTGAGACCCTCACATTCCTGCATCCTCAGGTTCGCATCAACTGTTCCATTCCGTGAGACGCCGCCCATCCAACTATGCATTTCTCCCTTTCTTATTATCGGGATGCCGGTCAATTACCAGGGCCTCTTCCTGATCAGAATGAGATTGAACGGGCAACACAAATCCTCCCCAAGAGATCAGATTACGGTGGGCGCCTAGTCGTTATCAGAGAGAACTATGTTGTGAAATATGGCCCGCTCGTGACCGAAAACAAGGGATATACTCTACTTTTTGTTGAAAAACGGCTTAACATCGCAGCGCCACGACTTTACGCCATGTACTGCGATCGGGACATCCTGTATATCGTCATGGAATACATCCCAGCATTTCTCTAGGGATGGCGTGGCCTTCGCTCACCGAAGCAAAGCCATCGCACTTCGCTCAAAAGCTATGTGGAGCGAATCAAATAGTCATAGCTTTCTCTCCGACTATCTTACTCGCCACCTCCCATTAACACTTCGCAATCATCCACCTGTATTCACCCACGGATATCTCTCCAGGGAGAATGTTCTTATCCGAAAAGTCACAAATGAAGAAGAGTAGGAAGTAGCTGCTCTTGTGGACTGGGAAGCGGCTGGATGGTACCCTTCGTACTGGGAATACTCTCATATCTTCCCCCTGTTGCAGTGGGTTGACGACTGGCCAGAATATGTTGAAAAGATTATCGATCCCTTGCCGCTGGAGAGTGCCATGATGCGGGTTGTCTTTAGTGATTGGAGTTTTAGAGCGAGATAATACCATGTTAACCCTGGTGTCTTTGTCCGGTCACAATGAAAGGCTTAATGGGTATGATTTGATCCAAGTTGTGTTCCAACTTAAAGTTTGATAGCTGGGGATTTGATTATGCTCTAAGAAGGACTGATTTTATTTACTTTTGAATGAGTGGTTTCCAATTCGAAGCTGCCGCCAGCCTTGCCTTTTCGCCTCTAAAGGTTACCCACTAGCCTTCTATAAAGAACGTGTTGGCTTCAGCCTACCCTTCTATCATACGGGCACACTGTGATCATTAAAGCTACCCCAGTGGAGAAACAGCATCGTCTTTAAGCGGAGGTGAATAATTATCGTCATCTCAAGAACTTACAAGGACATGAGATCCCCGTCTGTCTTGGAGTCTTTCAGCCATAAGTCGCGTATTGATACCAAGGCGGATTAATGGCCCAGATGATGATCTTGAGCTGGTCTGAAACGCTGGCTTCAGCATGTAATCAGCGATGAGAATTCTAGCTTCTCTCACTAAGAGTGCGATAAAGCTCTGACCGTGTTCCGATCGCACGGTGTCGTCCACAGCGACGGCGAGTGGCGCAATATGCTATGGGATGGCCTGGGTGGCCGTTTGGTTCTGGGCTACGGCTTATGGCGTGAGACCATTATGGACCATTATAGATACATCTGCTCCGCCATCAAGTAAAGCTTTGGCTGCTGCCATGTACCCGAGCTCGACTACATAATGTAGCAGGGTTCGGCCCTGATCATATCAAATTATAGTAGTGTCCTCCCTGACCGACCAGGTAAATACGATGCGCAAAGGGTTTCAGCGCCAGTCCCACAACGAACACTCAGGTGGCAGCGCCAAATTAGAAGAACACATTTTCCTCCCACCCCTCTGACGGTGCAGACATCAACCAGGTTAACCAACGCGGTGATCCATGGTTCCGTGGACCTTCATGTGCACACAGCAGTCGACCTGGTCAGGTTTCTCGACAGGGCAGTCAAACAGGGCGACCAGCATTACCTGAGTAACGTTTGGTGGTCGACTTTTGCCTCAGTTGGCTGGATGTATCTTATAATAGGTCCGTTCACAGACGAAGACAAGCTCCACGATTCTCTCTTAGTCCTACATCTGGGCACAGCTTTAATTCAACTGCAGAATACAATCAAGCATTAGCGTAAGTAAATGAAATTCGTAAATACTCGCACCGAATTACTTTCACTCACGGTGACTTTTAAGGCCCATAATATTCCCGTCGGAGGTGATGGTCATTTATTGGCTTTTCTTGATTAGGAATCTGCTGACTAGTGCCCTAAATACTGGGATTTCATGACTGCATTAAGATATAGAAAGAGTAGCTAGTGGGGTTAGGTGGCTTTATGGATTAGAGGAGGCTAGTACAACGGGGAGTTATCTTATGAGTAATGACGATAGATGATGCTGTGAAACGAGAACTCAGCCAGAGTTAATACGCAGGCTAACTAACTGGTCAGGATAACGTTACCATCAATTGAAACTGAGGCAGGGGACGGTTTACAGAGAGAGAAGTGAGAGATAGAGGGTGGAGGGTGCACTACACGATAATCATTATATGTCATTTCTTATGTGTGGGTTAGATGGATTTGGATTTATGGGATTTTCGGGGTAATACAGGAATAGGCTGATTCCGCACTATCTACGGTCAGCATCTGTATACATACCATCTGGGAGAGATCCCACTCGGCGTTTGGCTTCGAGTTCTTGCTTAGACTGCAACAGGTTAATTGAACTTTGATTGATTGATTGATTGGTTGGTTGACAAAAGTTAGGTGTAAAGACTTTGTCAAAGAACTTCTTTTTAGCTTAGAAACTTCGGATATTGTTTTGTCGTACTCCATACTTGCTCGCTTTTAGCGTGTTGCGGCAGAAGTTGTCGGTCAGACTTTTGTTGATGTTATGTTATGTACCCCGGGGGATATTGGCGCTAAACGCCGATATACCGTCGACGCGGTAGCTACATACATACATATATCTTTGCTTGTATATGGATGACGCAGGACCCTCGATATCGCTCCACGGGACTGTCCTTCCTTATCTCTGCCAAATAAGAACACATCAACAATGTATCGAAGTGACCTGATGGAGAACCCTCAGTCACTGGACTGAAGTTGAGTAGCTACACTTGAGTACATATAATCATACATGTCAACTGACCGCCATCTCATCGTGGGTAGCCACGCCCCCTGCACGAGGTTGTTACTCCTTCCCTGCACACACAACTAGGTACAAGCCTTATTTCTTCCGATGCCAAACCCCTGTTAAGTAATATTCAAAGAAAGTGCCTTACTCATGAGCACCCCGCCCCTGGGTTCGATTTTCAAGATTGCTTGGCTCTTGGTCTTTCCAAGCAAGGTGATCGCAGTGGAATGAAACCTCATTTCAGCTACCCTTGGCGTCGCATAATTCTTTTTAAATTCCACTTAGTCTCTTCTGCCTTCTTTGCCTCAACCTCTCTCCCTCCCATCATGAGATACTCCACACAATCATGCAGTGTCACAATCTTCCTTCTCTCCACGCTACGGCCACGAATGACGCATGCGTCTATTGACCTTGACTTGAACGATGACGGTATGTCAAGATGCCCATATTACCAGACACAATGTTCAATTGCTTACTCCAAAGGACCTAGAATCCATCAAAGCCGCTGCCAGAACCGCTGCAGCCGGCATGCTCCAATACTATACAGGTGACCATCCCGGCGATGTACCAGGAAACATCCCCGACCCATATTACTGGTGGGAAGCCGGAGCGATGTTTGGCGCGATGGTCGAATACTGGTACTACACTGGCGATGACAAGTGGAACGAGATCACCACCCAAGCCCTACTTCATCAGGTAGGTGACAACAATAACTACATGCCGCGGAATCAGACTCTGTCTCTCGGAAACGACGACCAGATCTTCTGGGCCTTTGCAGCGATGTCGGCTGCCGAGCTCAAATACCCCGATCCACCGAAAACCCAACCGCAGTGGCTATCGCTTGTCCAGAATGTGTTTAACTCGCAGGCTACACGCTGGGATGATACCACTTGTGGTGGGGGTTTGCATTGGCAGGCCTTTGAGCATAACAAAGGCTGGTCATATAAGAATACTATTTCCAATGGTGGGCTCTTCAACGTCGCCGCCCGATTGGCTAGGTATACTGGGAATGATACGTTCACAGACTGGGCCAACAAAATCTGGGATTGGACTGATGCAGTGGGCTTTATTGGCAAGGAATATCATATTTTTGATGGTGCCGACATTTCAAGCAATTGTTCCGTCATCAATCATAACCAACATGCCTATCTGCCTGCGGTGTATCTCCACGGGGCTGCCAATATGTATAACATTGTGAGTACTCGAGGTATATCGAATGTATACACCCTCGCTAAAGATATGACATTTGCTAACTTTATTAATCAGACAGACGGGTCAGCTATCTGGAGGAAGCGGATAGAAGGCATTATCAGCGCGCTGGGAACCTTCTTCCCAAACAACGAGGATATAATGGCCCAGCCCTGTGAAAGAGGGAAATGTGACCTCAACTCACGATCCTTCAAAGCCTATCTGGCACGATTCATGGGGGCAACAATTCCATTAGCCCCATTCACAGACGAGCTATTGCGGTCGAAAATCCAAACGTCGGCAATAGCTGCCGCAGAACAATGCAATGGGCCCAATAATGACTGTGGGCTGATCTGGACCGACCACACGAATTACAAGAGCACTACTGGGATCGGCGAGCAGATGGCTGCGTTGGAGATCTTCAAGGCTAATCTGGTGCACAAAGTTAAAGCGCCTGTCACATGGAATAGTGGAGGCACAAGTAAAGGTAACTCTGGCACTGGTGAAGACGATGGGTCAGAAGATACAAAGCAAAATGATATTCGAACTCGGACCATTGGAGGTAGTGATAAAACTGGTGCTGGTATCCTTGCCGTGTTGGCAGTTTTGACTCCTATTGGTGCCGCTGCGTTCATGTTCATGTCTATGTAACATTTGCTATGCATATTTTGTAGGACAAACCTTGTATTAAAACAAGTAATTCATATCAGTATTATATATACCAAGCACTTTCCACACTCTCAGCGACGTTACTAGTATTTTTTTGGTTCAGCGGAATATATATCTGTGAACATACCACATCAGAGTGATCAATATCCCAGCTCAATGACCGACTACCAAGCCTGTGCTCTAGGTGGTATGTGCATGAGTGACTAGTATTCTAAGTTGTAGGGGAGAAATTTCAATACCGATATAAATGTACATAGTTCTACCAGACCCCAGATCCAAAACATGACTATACAGCTAAGGTGGTAATGTAGATATATGCGGCGTGAATGCAGTATACCGAGATTTGCTTTTAAATTATAATCCTGAAGAGACACAGTTCGGAAGTCGGTAGTTGTACATTGATATAAGCCTCGGATATTGAGGCCGTAGATGCAAAGATGAGGGAAGAGTCGCAAACATATCGTACAGCCAATAAAAATCATGACATATAGACCCAGGGATATCCAAGATTGTAGAGGGCGCGTCAAACCTCGGGGCCTCGAAGCCCCGATGGAAAAACAAGCAATGGGAAAACCAATTGAGTCGATGGCA